CTGTATGATAACGTATTGAAAATGAAATTTTTTAATAAATTAATTTTTTAACGTTTTTGATAATATATTTTAAAATTTGCTTGATAAAATTTTTTTAATAAAAAAGTGTTGAATAAGAAAAATAGATAAATATCTACTTATCACTTAATGCAGAAAAAATTCAGTAATTTTTTTTTTAAAATTTTAACTATTATCCCCTGAACGCTACTTCATTCTTTATAATAAAAATAAAGATAAAAAAGTAAATGATAAATTATCAAATTTTAATATTTTCATACCCATCACAATATTATATCATTATTGCAATTTTGTAATATCTTACCTTTATTATACTTGACATTACCTATGTTGTGCTACAAATATGTCAATTTATGTATACGCCTCATAATACTCACTTTCAAGCTGTGAAACGAATCTTGAAATATCTTAAAGGAACTATCAATTATGGTATTCGATTACTTTTTTGCACTACACCAAATTTGGTATGCTATGTTAATGCTGATTGGGTTGGTTGTCCAAACACTAAAACATTCTACAATAGGTCACTGTATTTTCTTAGGTTTCAATCTTTTGGTGTATTAAAAAGCAAGTTTCTATTGCTCAATCTAATACTGAAGCAGAATATATAGCTCTTTCTATAGCTTATCAAGATATACTTTGCATTTCTTATATATTGAATGAGATTGGATTTCCTGTTGTATTACCTTGTTTTGTATATTCTAACAATATGGTTTCTACTCAACTTGCTACCAATCTAATCTTTCAAGCTCACACAAAGCATATAGAGACCTCTTATCACTTTGTTTGAGACTTTGTTTACAAGCATTTTCTTAATGTCCTTTTTTGTTTGTTCTCAATAACAACCAGCTGATATATTTACCAAATGACTTTTTTTCTCAATTTTTCATCCATTTAAGAACAAGTTCTTATGGCTCCCCAATCACTTGAGGGGTGTATTAGAATATGTTATCAATAGTTGTACACTTAGTTATGTGTAAATCTGTTTGTACTTTTTCATGATATAAATATACATGACATAACTCTAAATGGGATAGAGCAAAACATTTATTCTTTATAGATTTGTTTCAACAACAAGAAAACAAAGGAAATTCAGTGAGAAGAGAAACGAGAGAGATGTTCAAATGAGAACCTTTTAATCAACATAGGTAACATAGAACCAATTAATCAGAAAATACCAACAGTTTTGCCCAAAAATTTATCCGCGGATTCCTGGCAAATCAAGCATTGCTTAGATGTTAAGTCTCCTAATTTGGCTTCGATGGCCTTAATCTCATTTGACTTCATCTCAAGCTCCTTTCTCAAGGCTGCTTCATCGGCCCTTAGACTTGCCATTCTCCGTTTCAAGCTATTACGATCTTTGCGTGCTATTAGACCAAAGTAACCCTCAGCAATTGTCTTCAAATGTTGCAACGCAAATTCCACATCACATTCACTGCGTTTAGCATCCATGATTGCTTCTCCCCACTTCCGCATAATCTTTTCATTAACTTCTTCAAGCGACCAATCACCCATCTCTTTGATAGCGGCACAACACAAAATAAATATTCTCTGAGAAGTCATACCACTGTATTTGCATTTTGCTGTAATATCGCCATGGGCCTTGAAGATATCACAGGCAGTCGATACCAGAGCCCGTGGGATTGTATATTTGCCAACGCTTTCACGCTCTCCATCTAATAAATCTTTAAAGCTTTCGTGGTCCAAGTTGCTCGCAACGTTCTCATCAGTAAGCTTACCTATGAGTTCATCCACGAGAACATCAGAATACTGCATGCCAGGCCCACTCACAGCGGCATGGGAATTTAGACTAATTACGCATTCATCTGACACCTGAAACATTAATATAAGTTGGAGAAAAGATCCACAAACGATCTAGTTCAAAAGCAAGAATTAAAAAAAAAAAAAAACATAATGAACCTCTCTGAACAAAACAACTAATACAACGTGGCAATAAACATACAATGTACACGAGCATGTCAAGGGCAGCAAAATAATGTCTCATAACAGCCATTACGAGAGAAAGAGAAAAAAAAAAGTTGGGTAGACGTAACTAATAGGTCTTATTATCTTGACTTAATGTGTGAATCTTTTATCTTTATCAAAGGCACTCGAATATGCTTTTAACCTTAAAAAGGATAAACAGGCGGGAGATCAGATACCTGGAGACTACCAGGAGATTCCTGGAAGAACGGTAATTCCTTTTGCTTATGTTTGATGTGCTGCGATTCTATTGTCTTAAGCCTATTTATTGCGGTCTCGATTCCATTTTCATTGATTCCGCCGAACATGGAGATTATTTGCTCTAATCTATGTAACTTGGCCTCCATATGATGGAATTTTTCCAACTTCGTCTCCATTTCTTCAGTTCCACCAAACTTAGATTTCATTTGCTCGAATCGTTCAAAATTGGCGACCATTTGTTGTTGTCTGTAGTATTCATGATCGAGCTCCATTTGCTGGAAGATACAAGAGGCAGCAAAATACTGTTTCATCACAACCAAAATGTTGCCAGACAGAGACTAAAGGTAGGATACATATAGGATAGAAATAACTAATAGGTTTGTCCGTAAGAAATCTTAGTGTGCCGACTGGAATGAGCCATTTGCCCGTAAGAAATCCCAGTGTGCCGACTGGAATGTGTGGCTCTTTTTATTTCGCACAAATTGATTTTTAAAAAATATATTTAGCAAAATGTTTATATTTTTCTTAAAAAGTAACATTTTTCTATTGTTTGAAAAATTAAAGAAAATTTTTTTTAAAACCTGTTTTTTTAATATTAATATAATTATTAAAATATTAAAAATTATTTATTATTAAAATTATTAATATTCAAGAATAATTATATTAATAATATTATTTAATATTAACTATTATATTAATATAAAAAATATTTAAAATAAAACTATATATTATTCTTTAAATTAATATTTTAAAATATTTAAAATAGTATTACTATTCTTAAAATATTATTTTTTATTAATTATTAAAATATTTGCACTATTAAAATATTTATATTTTATATTGAAAGTATCTATTATTAAATTATAACAAAAATCTTTTTATTTATATTTATTACTAAAATAATAATATAAATATCTTTATAAATAAAATTATAAAATTATATATTTTAAACTAAAAACTATTTAAAATATTCATATTAAAATTATAAAAAATTAATTATATATATTATTATTGATTATTAAAATAATAACATTAAACTATTTATTATTGAAATATTTAAAATATTTATGTTTAATAATATACAAAATACAACTATTTAAAATTAAAATATCAAAAAACTTTTGATGTTAATAATTTATTTTTTAAATTAAAATCTAATAAAATATTTTTATTAATATAACAATATTTTAAATAAAATCAAATCAAATTTTAACTTAAAATATTATATTTAAAATCTTATTTGAGTAAAATTATAAAATTATTTTAAAATTAAAATATTTAAAAAATTTTAAAATTAATTTTTAATTTTTTAAATAATATTAAATAAAAATATTATTTATTATATAATAATATTTGAATCGAATGAAATTAGATTTGAACTCTAAAAAAGTCATTTACAAAATCCAATTAAAGTAAAATTATGTTTAAATACTTAGATAAATAGTTTTAATCATAAATAATTTTTTTCAAAAATATTATTTTTCTTTTTGAAAAAGATAAAACAATTTCTAAAAATATTACTTCATTTTATCTTGAGCAATTAATAATTTTTTATTACCTAATCAATTTTATATTAAACAAACATTTGAGAATACAAAATTATTTTTTCAAAATCATTTTCTGCCGAACAAATAAAACTTTTGCATACACAGCAAATTTTTATGTCCAGGTGAATCTCGATTTTGTTTGGGATTTTGTGACTTGCTATTTAAGCTCAAAATCCATTTATGAGACCCAAAGCTTTTAAGCCCAAATTTATTAAATTTTAATTATTTAAAAATTTAGAAATTTTATTAAAAAAAAAAAAAACACCTGGAGGGCAACAGTCACCCTCACCCAGCCTTATCGACTCTCAGATTCCCATCCCATACCAACCACCCTAGCGCCACCTCTTACAGCTGAAATTCAGCTGCCATCAACCCTCCATACCCAAGACCATTTTCTCCATTAGATCACAACAATCTTCTTGGTCTCTCCATTTATCCCAAAATTATTTTTAAACTGAGCCAAAAATCAAGTGGAGGCCAATTTTTGAACGAAAAATCCTGCAAAAATCCCTTCTATCCAGCACTGCAACCACGACCATCAACCCGCACTTCATCCTAAAACCAACCCGAGCAGACCCAAATCCCCCCTTTGTTAATACCCTAAGCCAAACCCATCAGTTACCCACCACAACCACCTGCAAACCAAAAGCCAAAATAAACAAACCAAAAAAACGCATTCCACTGTGGAGAGAAGCAGCGTCAAAATAAAAGAAACAAAAAAAAAAGCACAAAGAAACGAGGAAGTCTCTTGGGTTTTTCGGCTTTAAGGAGTTTGAAATGGTGTCGGGTCTTGATTTTCGGTAAGGAGGGAGGCTAGGACGAGATAAAGGGCATAGTTTGGAACAGCGGAAAGGGATTTTTTTGGCTTTGAGGCCGCCGGTTCTAAGAGTAGATCCAGGGAGTGTGGTCGATTTTTAAGAAAATCTAACGGGAGAGCGTTAATGAAGAGGTTGAAAGAAAGGAGTGGGTAGAATTTAAAACTAAGCCGACGTAGGAAATCAGCAACAGCGCCAGCGACGGCTGGCACCGGTCGGTTTCTAGGAAAGGGAGGTCGGTTGTTTAGCTTGCTTGAGAGAAAAGAAATTTTTTTTGAAGAAATGGTTTGAAAAGGTTTTTATCAAACACACTTGTGTTTTATAATTGAAAAAAACTTTTCTGTTTCTGTTTTTGTTTTGTTTTGGTTTTTTTAATTTTAAGATTTTTAAATAATTAAAATTTAATAAATTTGAACTTAAAATGCTTGGTCTCACAAATGGACTGTGAATCTTAACATTAAATAAAATAAAATAAAATAAAAAATGATCACAATAAAATTAAGTCCATAAAATCCAATTAAATTGATTAAATGTGTTTTAATTTCGAAACTCAAAATCCCGAAAAAAAAATTGAAATTTATTCGAATAAAATTAGTTTCTACAATGGTACGAGTGTACGTACGTTCATACAAGAGGTCAACTAAGGAGGGATCACTAATCTGACAGATGGAAAAGAGGAAATTAAACTATAAACCATAAAGCATGGAAGGATAAGACTGAGGGAGAAACTATAGCCTTCCTAATTTTAAACCTTCACCACGTCGAACCCAAAAGAAAAGTAAAGCTAAAGATACAGAGAAAGAGAGACGTACCTCGTGGCTACCAGGAGATGCCTGAAACTGATAAGATTCCAGTTCCTTTTGGTTGAACTCTATTTTCTTCAGCCTATTTATTTCCGTCTCTACATCATCAATTCCAACAAACAATGACTTTATTTGGTCGAGCCTATTTACCTGGGCCTCCATTTCCATTAATTTATCCAGTATGGACTCGGTTTCCTGAACCCCGAACTTAGATTTTATTTGATCTAATATATGGGACTTGGTCTCGATTTCCTTGTCACATTAAGAATCATAAATCTTAACATCGGTTAAATTAACATGATGCAAGTAAAAAGTCAAACTTAATACTAACATGAGGAAATTACAGCACAATAAATACCTTGAATTTATCCAACATGGATTCCATTTCCAGATATCCACCATACTTCAACTTCATTAGCCCTAATCGATGGAAGTCCGTTTCAATTTCTTGCTGGAACATGTCGTATTCTACCTCTTTTTTTTGGAGTCTATGTAACTCAGAGTTCATGTGATTAATCTTTGACTCCATTTGGTCAATTCCCCCAAAACTGGATGCTATTGTAATCAGTCTATGGTATTGATTCTTAATTTGAATACAGAAAACAAAAAATTAATTTACTATGAAATACATAAGTCATATATAGCAACCGGAAAATTGAAAACATAGATAATTCATTTACCTTAAGGTTTGCACGATATTTTCTATCTCGCTCTCTTTTTTTCACTTTTCTTTCATGTTCTTGCTCTTCTTTCAGAATTCTTGTTTCGCAATCCTTTCGTTTCTGTCCAATGGAAGCTGCAATTGATGATCCTGCTTCATCAAGTAGGCTCCTTGCTTTTTCCATTGTTGTCCGCCTTGGTTTACGATGTTTTCGTCCATTTGAAGCTAGACCAGCATGATCCAGGTGATTTAAGTTTGGTTCAAAAGACCCAACTCTCTGTTCAACAGCGTCTCTTTCAGAGCTATCCTGAGAATTGAACTGCTGTGGCAAGTTACGATTACCTTCTTCTTCTCCTAGCGACGACATGTACATGGCTGTTGCAGATGATATCCAAATTGGATTCATATCTTCAGTCTGCACCATGGAACCAGGCTGCACTCCAAATTCCGGCTCAGGCAACGGCTGCTCATCATCACAAACTGATTTCAACAGCAGCTGGTAGAACTCGCAATCTGTCTTCGATAACGTGAATGAAAATTTTGATTCCCGATTTCGACACGAATCTTCAGTCTGTGCCAAAGAACCAGTCCCTGAGTCAACGTAAGGCACTGCCACCTGAGCAGTAAAGTTCACAGCGACTGAATTCACCGGAGACATGGCTGTTAAAAGCAAGTTTCAACTCAAAAATTTTTGTCTGCTGTTTGGGAACGGCAGCCTTTGTTTGGTTTGAATCGTTCTAGATTGCAACCTAGTTTTTATTAAGAAAAAAACGCGCGTCAATATTAGTTACACCCCATTTTTTATTAAGACGTAATATCAGGCAATTGTCACGGGGCGCGCGTTGGTAAACAGTGCGACGGTGCGGCTCCAAAATGATTTTCAATTGAGATGTTCGCCTTTTTTAAAGTCCGCGCGACCGCAAAAGTATTTCGGGGATTAAATATTTTTTATTTTAAAATATAAAATATTTTTATTTTTTATTTTAATATAATTATTTAACTCACTTAATCATTTAGTTTTGATTATTTTTAATAAAATATTATATGTTTAATTTTAGAAACCAATAACAAGGGTATATAATAATTTAATATTTAATTAATTTTATATTATTTAAAATTTAATACATAATTTAATATGAGCATTATAGTAATTTTGAAATAAAATGTCACATATTAACTTCTTTTAAAACATTCATATGGATATTTACATACTTATGATATAAAAGGTATTATAGTAATTTTAACTAATTATAATAGGATAGGCATTTTTATAATTATGATAGGATGATATTATAATAATTTTAGCTAATTATAAAAAGAGAGATATTTTTATAATTATGATAGAAATGCATTATAATAAATTTGTATACATGTCAACATCATTTTAAATAAATAAATTAGAGTTCTAGTAATTTTTATTGGAATTATTTTAATATAGTTATTGAACATTTAATAAGTAATTTAATATAAGTATTATAGTAAATTTCAAGCAAAATTTCATATGTCAAATATTTATGAAGCAATGGCAAGGGTTTTTTAGTAATTTAATATATAATTAATTTTATATTATGTTAAGATTTCATATGTAATTTAATTAAGGTATTATCGTAATTTTAAAATAAAATATCATATGTCAAATTTTTATAAAGTAATGACAAAAATATATTAATAAATTAATGTGTGATTAATTTTATATTATATTAAAATTTAATATATAATTTAGTAAATCTATTATCGTATTTTTTTAAAAAAAAGTCATATATCAACTTCCTATAAAATATTAATAAAAGTATTTCTGTAATTATGATAAAAAAGTATTATAGTAATTTTTGGTTAATTATGCAATGGTTATTTTCATAATTTTGGTGGAAGAAACATTGTAGTAATTTTAGCTAATTATAGTCGAAGGGTATTTCTATAATTATTATAGGAGGGTATTATAATAATTTTAATTAATTATAAGAAAATAACTATTTTCATAATTATAACAAAAAGGTATTATAGTAAATTTGGATACGTGACAATATTATATTAAATAAACAAAAGGCTATTATAGTAATTATCAAGGAGTTTGTTTTAATATATGTTATTGATTTTGAAACAAAATGCTACATATCAACTTTCTATTAAGCTTTCATAAGGATATTTTTGTAAATATGATAGAAAGGGGCATTATAATAATTTTGATCAATTATAAGAGGAAGGTATTTCTATAATTATAGTATAATGGTATTATAATAATCTTGATCAATTATAAGAGAATAGATATTTTTGTAATAATGGTATGAAAATATTATAGTAAATAATTATAAAAGAAAGTATTTTTGTAATTATAATATGATGGCATAATAGTCAATTTCATCAAATGTTAATTTCTTATCAAGCAATTGAAAAGGTTATTTGATAATTTTTTTAGAACATTTCTTCAATTATAGTATGAGAATATTATAGTAAATAATTATAAGAAAAAAATTATTTTCGTAATTATAATACGAAGACATAATGGTCAATTTGATCGTATGTCAATTTCTTATTAAACAATAAAAAAGATATTTTGGTAATTTCTTGCGATATTATAGTAAATAATTATTACAAATGGATATTTTAATAATTATGGTATGTAAGTATGATAATCAATTTGATCAGGTGTTAGTTTCTTATCAAGCAATGAAAAAAGTATTTTGGTAATTTCATAGGAGAGGTATTATAATAAATAATTATAAAAAATGATATTTTTATAATTATGGTATGAGGGCTTAATAATCAATTTCTTTTTAAATAATGAAAATAACATTTTAATAATTTGTTAAAGATTTTTTTATGTATTGTAAAGATTTTTTTCATAAACAATTCTAATGGTACATTGAAATCTCACATAATAATTTCTTTTAGCTTGATCTTGCAGAATCACTCGCAATATTTCAAAACTCTTCAAAGAAGGACAATTAACTCTCACCATTAATCTATATGTTAACTCTGAGAGATCTCAAGCACCCAAATAACATTATCCAAACATAAAGATCTCGAGCATCAACCTTTTAAGAATTTGTATAAATGTGTAGCTCTAATTTTTTTTATGATATTTTTTTTAAGTATGGTCAGAACCCAACATCATACCCGCATGTAATCTCCGCAACTCTCATATCTAGAATCTTGAGGCACAACACAAATAATGGCTTACAACTAGTTAATCAGGAGTGACACTAACCTCAAAGTATCATTCTCGAAGATTATATCTTAAGGTGCACATCCCTTAGCTTCGCATCCAGTTAGTTTTAAGCATGATGGACACTTGACATCATGTCCATGTCTCATTAAGTATTCGCATGTGTTACTCTAGCTGCAACACACTCTTCACACGTATTTTTGATCAACCATAAGGTTTTAGAGATTGATCTGTTGTGGTTTTACTAATTAAAAAAGATTAAAAAAAGATAAATAAAAAAATTTGTTAACCAAATGATTAAATTTTTTTTATTTTTATAATTTAAGCATTAAATTAACAAATTTTTTATTCTCATTTTATTTTACCTTTCCTAACCAAACATTGCTTAAAATTTTACATTGGCCGACAATGTGGAAAGGAATCCGTAGGTTGCATGTGTTAAACCAACAAAAAAAAGGCCTATTTAAAATAAAATAAAATAAAAAATCTCTAGTGACATAGATTACTTCTTGATCCAATTCAGCTAATCTGACTACTGTGTGGTTTGTCGCAACGAAAGAAGACAATGAACGGCGGCTGCGGAATGGATTTGTTGCAATTCAACTAATCTGACTATTGTGTGGTTTGTTGCAAGAAAAGCCAATCGATCGAAGAAAAAAGTTCAAAGTTCCTTGTCTTCTCTGTTACTTTTACAAGTATCTAATATTATTTTGAAAAATAATTTAAGCAAATTAATTCGGATTAAAGTACTTAAAATTTACAAATAAAATTACACATTAACAACGATGAAAATCCCTTATCAATACCAGGGATGTCAACGGTTGGATAGGAGAAGTTAAAAGTATTTTTCATTCTCAGATTTATATTTTAATATTATATTCATCTTCGTACTTATAATTAATGGATATTTTAAATTTATTTCTTTCTTATCATCAGAGGTATTTAATGAATAATGATAATCTTCATATCCATAATTTTTAAAAAAATTAAAATAAAATTTTATTAGGTAATTTTTTATAAATATTTATTAATATATTTTTTTAATAAAAATATATTAATTTTAATTAATCTAAAATAAAATTTTATATTATTTAATAAAAAATTTATTATATATAAATATATATATGTAAAATACAAGCACAGCTATAAGATGAAAATTATATTACCTGTCTTCATCCCTGTACATAATAAAAATTTAAAATTATATTCATCTTCATATCCATAATGTAATACCTATTTTTATCTCCCTCAAGTAAAAAATCAGATTCTTCATTAGATATAAGTAAAATTAATATCTCTAATTAATACGAAATCCGTAAAATAGACAAATCTTTTTTTTTATTAAATTGAGCTAATCAAAAAAATATCTTGAGTTTTACTAATAGAAATAATAATTTGACATGCCAGACTATTTTGTATTTCCATATCTCATCTTATGCCGAAACTATAAAAAATTAAAATTGATATTTGATTTTATTTAGTTAGATAAATATCTCAGTAAGAGAAAGTGAATTTTAAAAAAAAATTATCAAAATCAAATAAAGTTATATATCTTTTATTATTTAAAATAATAAAAAACCTTATATTTTGAACTATGAAGACTATATTGTTGTGCTTGTGTTTATTCATATTATGAGTTTTTGTTTTATATGTGTTAATTTGTATTTAAATTTTCTATATAATTGATATTGTAACAAATGTTTCAAATTCTTTAAATAGAAGTTTTTTTTTAGTTTAAAAAACATTAATATCTTTGCATTAATAAATAGAGAGTTTGCCCCCATTGAGAAAAAATTATGAATTCGTCCCTAAGCTGAATTGATACTTTTTCCATTTGAGAAAAAACACTTGATAGTTTTTCAAATTAAAATAAAAATCAATGATAGAGATATTTTTGTTCATACCTTGTTATTTTAAGGGAAAAAAATAAAAAAAAATAATGAGAAAATGAGGTCATAGGGTGTGGAGCTGGATTGAAGTAGTTAAAAGTTACAAACAAAACTCAACGTTATAGCAGAAATCCATGATCAAATTGAAAATTTTGTTTTTAAAATGAGCTAACCAAAAAATTATCTCGAATTTTAAAAATAGAGATAATAATTTGTCGGGCGAGTCTAGCTACTATAACACTTAATACTTTTTTAAATTAAAATAAAAGTAAGTGATGGAGATATTTTTGTTAATATACTATAATTTTAAAGAAAAATAATAATACAATGAGAATGTGGGGTCATGGCGTGTGAAGCTGAATTGAAGTAGTTGAAATTTAGAAACACAATTCAATGTTAAGAGCAACAGATATCCATGATCATTAATTAATAGATAATTTTTTTTAAATTAGGCTAACCATAAAATATCTCATGTTTTAGTAATAGAAATATAATTTATTTTTCAGAATAAAATAAAAATAAAATGATAAAGATATTTTTGTTCATATAATATAAAAATAAATGATAAAGTACATTAAAAATTAAAATATATAACTAAAAAAATAAAACATGTGATAATTTCTTAATTTACTTGTAAATTTAAAAAATTATATTTTCAATTATAAAAAGGAAACTCTTACTTCATGTCATTTTATTTTGGCTCTTATATCTTTTAATGGATTAAATCAGGTCTAAAGAGTCTTAATCGGTTGACAATCATTAAGAACAACTATTATTTAATATTTAAAATGTTGAGATTGCAAAAATTTTAAAAATGATAATTTAAATTAAAACAAATTATGTTAATTTTTTGAAGTAAAGATTTGTACATTGTAATTCGGATATGAAATTATCGATTAACTCAATAAATATAGCCCAATCAAGTTACGGTTTAATGCAAAGACTATAATTTAAAAAAAATTAATATAAGAAAAATCAACTTACACAATATGAAATTAAAAAAATTGTACACAATTTTTGTCAGATATCCAAGAGATAAAATTAAATTACTTTTTTAATTTTTTACTTATCTCTCTAACCGTTTAAAATTAGTATAAAAAAAATCAACTTACACAAAATGAAATTCAAAAAATTTTACACAAATTTTGTCAGATATCCAAGAGATAAAAATTAAATTATTTTTAAAATTTTTTACTTATCTCTCTAACCGTTTAAATCTTAAAAAAATATGTTAAAACTTTTTTAGTTTTACTGTAAGTAATTTTTATGTTAAAAACTACTTTTAACCCTACCTCAAAACTAAATGACAAAAAAAATGCGACTTTTTAATCTGAAAGCATGATTTTCAAACCCAAACCAAAAAATCTCCTTAAGATATGTTTTTTGCAGTGAAATATATTTGATATAGAAAATCATTCTATTATCATTATATATATATAATACTTCATTATTCTATGTATATTATTTTAGATATGTTAATTAATCAATATTTTTTCATATAAAATATCAAACACTTAAAATTTCTAACTACACTTTTTAAACACTTTTCCCAATCCAATCCTTTTTCATCTATAACAGTAATGCTAAACTAATCCTAAATTATAGATAAAATCAATCACACAGCTTCAACTTAAATCAATATTGACAACACAGACACCAACAAAATAAGGCAATCTCCAAGAACAAAAGAATCACATAGAACAAAGAGAGAGAATTACATAAATCAATTAAAATTCAAGAAAAAATTTCATCCATGCTGTTTAAACATTTTTAAATGTTATATCTAAGATGCAGAGTACCAATGATATTAGATCATCAGATCAAGAAAGTAACAAGCAAGCCAAACATGAAATTCTCCATAGTATAGAACTACAACACAAAACAATCCAGAACATCCAAACTGTTTACGCAGGGCATAAACAGAAACCACTATTTTGGTTCTTCTATTTTTAGGGTAGGGATAACTAACATAATTACTTAGCAATCACATTTTGCTGGGCCTGATTCTCCTGCTGCTGCTGATAGTTGAGAGACCTCCTGAAGAGCATGATGTGTGGTTCAGGGCGATGAATAGCATAATGGACCCAACCACGACTCTGCTGTACTCCAATTGCACGCCACTCATTCTACAAAAGCATATCAACATCAACCAAATCAAACCTGGAAATCCCGAAAGCTAAATGACACAACAGCATCAACACTTTTAGCCCCAAAACAAAGGAAAAACAGTGAAAAAACACAAACCATAAGAGATATATATGTCTCAGGTTTTGTAAAGCAAAACAGAACATTTGACATTGAAAATCAATACTTCATTCATCCAAGTGCCGAAGCCAATGATATGCTGTAGCGAAAACTGGTTATTTCCATGTTCATGGTTCATGGACAATCAAACTCAGAACTCTTAACAACCATCTAAGCAAACTATTTCTCATAAAATTTTATGCAAATCGAAATTAAACAAATATTGCAATCAATTTAAAATATAAACAAAACTACATAAAAAGGTTTTTTGAGATTTCAGTAAAACCCTAAGAAACAAACATACTTCAGAGAGGAGCCGATTCTTGGGAAGAAGTTTTGCCACTTCAGGAGGAAGAACAACATGCCTGTACGGTCATCACCACCAAGAAAGGAAATTGAATAAATATAAAACAAAATCAAAATTACAAAAACAAAGAAAAAAACATTTCCCAAACCTAACGTTCTGAAAAATCGAACAGAACGAAGAAGAGATCTAAACCGGTGAAAAAGAAATGAAATTAAGTTTTACCTGTACTCATAAGTATCATCGAAGTACTTCTCAGAGTATTGGATCTGACCCATTTGATGCTCAGAAAAAAAAAAATCACTCAATTTTCTTTTTCTAATTTAGCGTCGACGTTCGATTTCAGGATTAGATCTGCAAAAACGAAGCAATTGAAGGCAGAAAAAAAAAAAAAGAGATAAAGATAAAGCAGCGAAGATTATTCGATCTTTTGTAAAATAAAAAAAAAAAAAAATTACCTATAGAGAAAAAGAAGAAGAAGAAGCGGAGCGCACCTTGAGAGAGTGAAATGAAGAGTGAAGAAGGAGAGAAGGGGAAGGATTGGGATTATTATAGAAAGAGGGCAAAGACGTAATACGATACTCCTGGAGAGGGGCAAAAGGTAAATTGAATTTCCTATTACGGGTTTTATTTGTTAAAGATACTAATTTGGCTTTAAAAAAAGAATTTTGAATTTCGAATTTGAAATTTCTCCCGCTTTTTGGATTGAATCATTCGTCCAATGAATCTTCCATTTTTTTAAAAAAATTGTTCAATGTTTTTCTCCAGGGGTTTCTCCACAACGTTCTATTTCTCTCTAGTTTTTACCCTTTCGGGTTTACGATTAATTAGATCTGACGACGTTTACTTTGCCACGTTGCGCCCAACTCCAATCTGTTATGAATTAAAATTTCTTTTAAAACAGAAAATTCTTGGCATACTCCCAACTAAAACAGAAAAGAAAAAGATACACAATCTTAATAAAGGAAATTTTCTTTTGAATAGATTGGACTAATTCGAAATAAATGAACAAAAAATTTTTGGAATATATTCAGCATAATATCAAAATTTTCGAAATACCTCAAATTAGCTTCCCCTAATTATTGGTGTATTTCGTCTCTTCCTTTTTTTTTTTTTTTGCTTTTCGTTTCTGTACTACAAACCCGAAAAGAAAAAAATGCAGTATTTAATTGACTTGTATTTCCTGTACAAACAGATAAAAGAAAAGCAACCCTGTGTACATTTAGTAGGAAAAGTCTATTTCAAAAACTAGCTTCTCCATGCTCAAAATTTCATATGCCCCATCTCAACACTGCAATGACATTAGTCATTCATTCTCTGATTTACTACTAACCAATCGAATTCCTGGGACTGGCTTCTGCAGTATTGATGTACCCTGGAAGATCATCATTTGGTAGTCTCTTTTATATTTGTTCAGCTGCAATATAGAAGAAACTTTACATTCATCAATAGATTCAAGGAAAGCAGACAGGCAGGCAGGAAATGGTGTCATACCTCCTCCTGGGTTATCTTGCTGAATCCGAATTTCTTTGTCCAGATGGATTCCGCTTCATCAGCTGCTGGAAGCACAAGGTTTTTCACTTTTAGGAAGCCAAGCAGCTTCTCAAGGCATGTGAAAAGGCATTGGAAATAACCCTGCAAATTCCAGAACGCACGTCGCCTTATCAGATGACCAAAGAAGAGCTTTGAGAGGGGAAAGGTTGTTGCCATCAGGCAGCACTAGTGACATTTACCTGCCCTTGACATTCAGTACTTGTTGCAACTAAGGGAATTTCAGCGACTTCCTTCCCAAAAATCCTAAAAATACCAGCTGACACAACCACTTGACTGCGAGATAAGAAAAAAAGCATCAGCATTCAGATATCCCCATTGTAGTAGGTAACACTGAAAAAAAAGTTAACAAAACAAAAAGTGAGTCTCACTTGACCGTTAATATTGCACAGTACATGCCACCAAAATCTTGGCCTTTGACAGTTCTCCTGCAAAACCAATTAATGATATTATTCCCAAAGCAAACTTCAACAAAGAACGACAAAATGGCAAACATCAGAAGACAACCAATAAAATACATAGGAAAAATTATTGCATACCCGTAAACCATTGATGGGATGAGATCGCCTTTACTTGATCCAGAATCACTTATAGGATCAAAGCGGTCCTAATAAAGCACAAAGGTAACATCATAAATCAATTAGTACTAAACTGGATAGTTTCCTGTTAATATCAAAGAAAGAATCCACATAAGCTGCCTACAAAAAGATGGCTTATGCCTTAGATGCACTGCAGCAACTACAAAACTTAAAAACTTATATTAATTAATGCCAGGATGCCCAGACCCTAGAGGCCCAAAACAAACAGTTTACAAAATGGATGATCAGCAGTAATTTTCTAAAGTACAAACAGAAAATTACATACATGAAAGATTGCAACAGCCTTCGAAAGCAATACTCTAGTGTTATCAGATGATGTCATTTTACCACTGAGAACCCTCCATCTTATATCAAGATTGGCCTTGCTTTCCAAACTATTGTCAGCATGCTTCTTCTTTACAACAAGCAGAGACGAGTCAGGAAGCTTCTCTTCCCCACGAACAATCAATTTCTGTAAAGCAGAATGAATTCTATTGCAATCTGTGCAACAAAACCACTTTCCTTTTGGCAACTCCTGTTGAAAACATGGCATCAATACTACTTTAAGAACAGAAAAAAATTAGGAAAAACTATGCATTGTTCAACAGAAACAAATGGCACCTTAAGGTCATCCATGTGATGATCCCTCAGACAGCCCACATGATACTCTCTCTCACACTGATAAGGAAAAAATATCGAACCAAGATGATTAAGTGTCGATAACAGAAATAGCAAATTAAGTACTTAGAAGCTTGAATTTGACAATGCAAGCACAAATAGATCCAAGAAGATACCTGATCACAAAGTATAACAGTACGAGGACCAAATCCTGACTTGCTAAAAGCATGACCTCTGCAAATATCAATAACATGTTAATAAAGAAGATGATAAATAAGGTTCAAAATGATTACACAGATAAATTAAGACAACAAAACAATGGGACCAACAAATCAAGCCTCGACGAGTGCAGCAGCAGACCATGTTGAGATCAAAAATTAGTCAATTGGCAAATAAAGACAAGTTCTGGGATCGGATTGGTAAGCAGTTTCTCAGCATTGCAGACTGTGAATTAATCAAGTAAGAAATTTTAAAAGTCTAGAAGATTTCAGGTATAGATTGTAATGTTAAATTTAACATCTTTTTGCAATTGTTAAAAAGGTAATTGCAAATATTATGTAAGACAAATGTTATAAATTTATTACAGTTAAAAGATCCACACTCTTTAAAGGATTTGGCAAATGGGTGTTTTGAGGATGAGATGAATGATTCAGGTATAGACTGCAATATTAGATTTAACATCTTTTTGAAATTTTTATATAGGTAATTGCAAATAATTTGTTAGACAAATGTTATAAACTTATTACAGTTAAAAGATCCAAACTCTTTAAAGGAGGTGGCAAAGGGAGTGTTTTGAGTATGAGATGAATGATTCATAACAACAAAGAAACATTCCAAATGGTCATGAAAGAATGAACCTGACCTGCATAGCACACACACGCTAAGAACCTCTGTCTCTGGAGTTTTGATAATACGAATGCATCTTTTTGTTATCTGTTCTATAGGATCTATTCCAGCAACTCTTCCAGCAGCTAGAGCATTGGCATTATGTTCCACAAACTTTTCCTTTTGGAAGGTATTCTGGCAATATCTACAGTGCCAAGTACCGGTTGGAATGCTTGGTAGAGAAACACACTCTGCAATCAGCCAGTAGTAAATCATGAGTCCAACAGGAATCTATACAATAACAAACAAGTACTGACCGAAGTAACTCAGATATTAAGCATTCTGTTTGAATGGAAAAACATGGATTGTGATGCCAAGAGCAAGAAGAGTGCATTTCTGAATATTTCATTTATTTTAAATGCAAAAGAATGCATTGCCAAGTGTTGTAAAAGGCACAAAATGCAGTCTAAACAACCCAAGGCATGAGGCGCATTCTAGGCAACCCAAGAGAAACACAAAAATACAACATAACCAAGATTAAGTAATAAAAATGGCTACAAGATGGTAATAAACACTCACCTCTCAATACAAAGTTAAGTTGCAAGGAAAGGTAACAGGGTAAGGGGGGAAAGGAGGAGAAAAAACAGTCCCACATCAAGAGCAAGTTAGGTTCACATATTTATCACTCCCTAGAATACTAAAAATCCATAAATATTCAATTTCACTTTGCAATATCATTAACAACATAGGTACTTCAAGTAATTGGAACATGCCCCTAGAACACAATTTGGCCTTCACTAGCGCCATTCTGTTAAGAAATGCATAACGGCCAACTAAGAGCAAAAGTCATAGTCCTCAACTTCAAGGTAACAGATTACAAGACAAAAAAGAAGAAAAGGATTAGAATAAAAACACAATAAAATAACAGCAGGCACTAAGATAAATTGTTCATGAAGTTTGGAATTTGATAAGGGCATTAATCAGAAAAGTTCAGAATTTAGTAATGGTTTGACATTCCAAAAATATCAGAGACGTCATGAAGGTTGGGAGTCAAAAACCACAAGGAATCATTTACTGTACGGTAGAGTTACTTTCTTTACTGCTATTGTTTAAATGTATCCAGCCGATCAATGATAAATACAATCAATTGCAGCCAGAAAAGTTTCCAATAACACACAATATTCAATGAAAAAGTTGAAAACTGACCTTTGTGAAAAGCCCTTGGACATGTATCGCAACACAATAGATTCCCTCCATCCAAACAGATGCTACATAGGTCATCATTCTCATTTGTAGAGACCTTCCGATTTTTCAACAGGGATATTGACAATTCATGGAGAGATACTCCATTTGATGTGTAAATGTGTTGAAAACTGTAAACAAAGTAAGGACATGTCAAAAACACACTAACTTTTATAGATATATACACGAGTTGTGGCTCAGTAGTATAACAGAGACTTACGGCTTGCGACGAGTTGCCCAACCAGCATGAGCTTCAAACTGTGAAGGGCTTATCTGCTCATTTAACAAAATGAAAATAAAAAATCTGACAGAACTTACGAAACAACTTCATTGGGGAAAAACAAAAAAGGTACCTCTGAATTGCAGCATGTGCAAAGTATTCCAAATCCCCTTTTATAACCAACAAGCATTTTCTGACACACATCAAATCACCACTTAGAAAGGACGTATCTAGTTAAAATAGACAAAATTTATTCTAAAATATACTCACGCCAACCTGTCCACAAACAAAATACCCTAGTTCAGCTCCATCTGGCAACCCATTTTCTTCAAATACCAATTTATGCATCCGTAGATCCCTTTGAAAGCAGTATCAAAGAGATTAACATGATATATAATGTCAATAAAAAGAATTATGCCAAAAGTAACTACATCAACTATATACAACAGAGCAAATGTCAAACAGGCCAACAGAATATATAAACACAAAAATGATACTTACTTTCTAGTTACTCTTCCTTGACTCTTAGTTTGTGATGAGCTGCATTTCAAAGCACTGATAGGTGACTTTGAAACCACAGTTGGTTTGGGTGTTCTGAAAAAAAATCAAACAAAAAGAAAATAACATTTTAAAATAAAGGGGGTGAATGAGTTAAACTTTAAGAGAAATATCCTATCTTTGATCCTGCAGAATAAAGTCGTGAAAGTAAAAGCAATGCACCGACTTTCTGTGTGCATTTGCATCTATAAGTTGCTAGCATACAAATTATATAAGCAGCAAACATAAGTTCTAGTTAACATTCACACAAAGTTACTGCTCTTTATTATCAGCAACAAGCATAAAAACACCATAAAACTCTTAAGTTTGACAAGAATTGATACCAAAATTTTAGCATCTGCTGACAAAGAAATGTGAAGCAACCAAGGAAAAACAACATGGTAATATGCCACAAAAACAGTACCGGACAAGAAGTTCCAATATAGGACAAAATTGATAGGATATTCTTTTCTGTCTTCCAAACTCAGAAGAGAAAGTATATTCCTATTCTTATTACTGATCTAACAAGGCCAAATCATAAAATTTTTGGGTTTAGTACAAGTTAATGATTCTGAACAAATTATTACAAAGGTGAACCAAAAAACACAGACTAGAAACGCAGAACAAACCATACCTATAAGTAGCATCAGCCACCTCAGTTGAGCTCTCTTGAGACTCTTTTACATCCAGGCATGAATTACATAGAATCATAGGTTTCCCGGAGCCAGCTCCAGTAATAGACTCTACAATAATAAAAGGCAAACAACGTTAAACTGTCTGGACAAACACCAATGAAAATGACAAAACATGTACATATAACAGAAATGTAAAACCAACCTCTGCAGTTCAAACAAAAGCTGGATTTCTTCATGGAAGAACCAATCACCGTTTGAAGAGCATTCTCCAACGTGGTCAATGAATTATCTTTGCACGCATTCATTACATCACGCAGGGTATGCCCATTCTCCAGGTAAATATACTCTGCTGGACGTTTGTTTGAGCTACTGGCATGAATCTCATATAAGGTCGGGGGACCAGCCTACACTCACAATAAAACATCCGAAAAAGCAACATTAGGGTATTCGGAAATTTGCAAAATAAGGCATCATAAGAAAATAGGTTAATAAATAAATTAATAAAGAAGCCCTTACTTTAAGCCCCTTGCAAGCACTGCAAAAACACAGTATCCCAGAGCCACTGATTATTCCTCGAAGCCCATTACTCCCTGAAGCTCTTGTAACCTACAATAATGGAAACATTCAGGAACCAAGATTTTCAAAATAGAGGAGCAAGATGTCCAAACATTTCACCTACAGAAAATTTTCCAGAACCATACCTTTGAGCTTCGTAAATACCCCACATTTACTCCTTCAAGCATACCTGAATCGAGAAGATCCCTTAACTTTGTCGGGAAACTTCTCACAAACTTAGGAGACACATTCGTTTCGGGCATCATTGGACTATCCACAATTTCAACTCCACTATCATGGCCACCACTTTTCACATTACTCACATCCACAACAACGGCATTTCTCACAGAAGTTTCCTTCACTGTCTCCACCTTCGGTTTCAACAAGGATCGAGTAAACCTCCGTAGAGGCTTCTCTTCCTTCACCATTTCCTCTATCTTGCTATCATCCTGGCAACGAACCAAAACCGGCATTCCCAATTCCCCTTTTCTGGACTCACTTTTTATCATCAAATCCACCTTTCCCTTATCTTCTTCTACATTCTCCGTTGCATTTTCCAATTCACTTTCCTTCTCGCTAATGTTGACATCCATTTTCGATTCCTTATCTTCCTCCTTCAGTTTATCTTCTTGGGAACCTATTACCGTGATTTCAGCTTCACCTTTTTCCTTCCCTTCCTTGTCAACCTCATCTTCACACATTGGTTCAATAACCCCATCTTTAACTTCCTCTTCCTTTTCCAATTCCACCCTTTTTGACTCCTCTTCTTCACAACCAACAACCTCTCTCTTCGGCTCTTCCACATCTACAACATCGCTTTCCGCCTCTTCTTCACTCATCAAATCCACCGATTCCTCCACAACCATCACAGATTTCTCCGAATCACTCTTATCTTTCTCAACCTTAGATTCTTCCTTCAATTTCTTGTTCCTTCTGTTACCTGGGCTCCAAACCGGTTTATTCTGGGCCTTCGTAGACCGAGTCCGCCCCAACGACCCGCAGATCTCTGCTTGAACCTTCAAAGCAAACTCGAATTCACGCTTCACACCAGTCCTTACCTGAGATAGCACCACGAAATCCTCCGCATCCGTACCGTTCGCCATATAATTTAAATAAAAAGAAAAAACAAACAAAACCGAAGATCAAGTCAAAAACCCTAGAGAGACTTCGTTTACAGAAACAAATCAAAAGAGATTTTGAAATACATGCATGGAGATGAATCGCCAAAAGGAATTTTTGAAGCGTCTTTGGGATTTCGTGAAGAGTAAATGAAAAGAAGGTTAAAAAAATTAGGGTTTTGTTTTGTTTTGGTTTTGTTTGTTTCGCGGATTGTAGAACAAAGACTATGGGGTTTCTTTGATAAGGGAAAAAAACAGGAAAAGGGCGAGGAAGGAGGAAGAGAGATTCATGCGACAACCTTTGTAGTTGTCGAATGACGAAACTAGCCCTTACGTATCGACGTTATCTTTTAGTTTGTCTAACGGGTCACGTATTTTTATTATTTTCATTTGGTCCCCGTAATTTTTTGTTTTGCGTTGGGAAACCCTTCTATTTGGGAACTTTGTAAATTAAAATAGGTTGTATTGATTTATTCATGGTATAATAGCATATTTGGCCTTAATCCTATAATCTTTTTTAAATTATTATGATTCAATGGATTTCAACTCAAGTAGGCAATATATTATTTTCTCAAATTTTTTATAAGATAGAAGTGTGGCATCATATATTAACTTGATCTAAGTTCAGATTGTATTTTTTATTTAGGCGACAATGAAGAAAAAATTACTTGTTCGTAGTAATAAGTGATATATCAAACTATAATTAAAATTTTAAATGGTAATATATCTTAAATTATAGCTAGTAACATAGCTTCAAAAGAGACTAAACAAGTGATAATTAGAAGATGCAATTTGATTTTTCAATACACAATTTTAAACGATATCACTTTAGTTGAAATGTAACTTAAAAAAAAAAAAAACAAAATAAAGCAAACCTCTTTTAAGATTATGGTTAGCATTTGTCCTTAATCCATGTGATTGGTAAACCATCATTCAAATCTGTAAACTTTGCTTGAAGAGTTCTTGAATTATCATTGGAATATCCAACTATAATTTGAGAGATTAATTAGCTTAATAAGATTATTTAAATGTTAATTAAAAAATCTCATTTATTAATCAATGTCATGTATTTAATGAAAATGAAACATATGTCAACAATAACAAGATATGTTCACAAGATATAAACATTTATATGAAACATTGGAGACTTATTATTGCTATAAACAACTATTTCAAATTTATGGATAACAGTTTATTTTTCATTATGACTAGACAAGAGCATTATAACTTAGTAATCCCTTCCACTAGAAATGACTATAAATAGAACATTTTTTAAGCATCAATGACATCCAACAATCATCATTACTCTATTTTAAATCATTTTAAGTTATCTATTTAGCAAATTAGGTTATTTATTTACTTTTTGTTGCAGCTATCATTTTCTCATCTCTCAAATCACTCTATGTTTCACTTGAAGCATTTCATCTATTATGTATTTATTCATTTAGTATTAATAAAGTCTTATTTACTTCAATATTTACTCTGTTTTGAACACCTAAAAACATAATATAGTCAAATCTTATTTTGTTTATCTTTATATCTCATTTCTAATTGTTAGCACCAACTTAATCTCATATCAAGTTCCTGTCAAAATAGTTACATTTAACAATTTTGGGTTGAGTCATATTATGAATTTACTTAAAGCCCAACAAGGAGAGTCATTGACCATTTATTCGTCGACAAAATCTATGGTTGGCAGCCCAACTAGCATCCAGCGGGTTCTGACCCAACCCGACCCTATAGGATCAAATTTTTTTTTTTTTAAATTGAGTTTTGAGTCGATCGAATTAGGTATTATTAAAGAAAAATCAAGGTCGAATCAGGTTCAGGTTTTAAGTAAACCTAATCCGACCTGACCTGATATTATTATATAAAAATTATTTTTTAATTTTTTATTTATATATATTTATATTTAAAAAAATAATATTTTATTAATTTTTAATTGGATCAAGTACGGTTTATATAAGATCGAAATCGGGATCGAGTTCGACTATGAAAAAAATAAAAAAAAATTTGGGGTTGGGTTCGGGTTTTATAATTATAAAATCAGATTGAATTTGAGACGAGTAAAAATCCGTCTCAATCCGATCTGTTACCAACCCTAACAAAAACAAATCCATTAACAATTGGTGACTCCGTTCCATTCTCTCACAAAGTGCCACAACACACATAGTAAAATCCTCTTCAATACCTTTCAAAACAAGAGAAAGGTTTACATTAAACAATTACATTACATAAAGCATATATCTTTTTCATTTAAATTATGTCATATAATTACATTATTAAAAAAAATAATTATTTATTGCATATCGCATATGATAATTAAAATGGTAAATATTTATTTTAATAGATTAATTAATTATTTTAAAATAAATAAATAATTTTGTTCCAATAATGTGATTATGTTACATGATTTAAATGAAATGGATATATAATGATAAAAGGTAATTGTTTCACATAATCATTTTTCTCAAAACAAATATAAGTTAATACATTAATTTAGTAAATTCACAAAAGATGTAAAGATCAACCACTAAAGAATTAAAATGCACTTCATACAACATTTTGAAGAATTGAAAAATAGACTCAAGGTATTCTATACCTCAAACTAACCAAAAAATGCTAAATAAAGTTATCATGAAAATTTCAAGCTGGTAATTACAATAAAGAAAACATGCAATGACTTTTTAGCAAATATTTAAAAATACGTAAGAATGAAAACACAATAAAATTACAACTCCACTACTGTAGGGGCATTATCGTCCAATGATGAAATTCGGAGAGTAATCCAAACTTAATTCTCTGCTCCTCGTTTTATAAAATTTTTTTGAAACTCGCGAATTTTCGCGGCTGAGCCAATAAACCTTTTTCGACCAATCAGATTTCGCCAAATATTTTTGCGAGAGCTTTAAGATTCTGCTGAGCTAATACCATAACATAGAAAGACACGTAGCCGACATGCCTTTAAAGCGCGTGACGTTTACATCATTGCTCATGGCTCCGGCTGCTTCCCTCTACAGCTTCGTCTCGTGCTGCCATTGGCTGGAGTTACGTGTTATTTTATGGAATTGAATGTCAGGGAAACGTCTTTTACCCCCGTTAAGGCGGCGCGTGAGATAAAATAATGGATTATGCCTACGCTTTATGTTGGGAAAAAATGTTAATATTGTCAAATGACAACATTTTGGAGTGAAAATGAGAATTTTTAAAAAGGATGGCGGGAAAGGAAAATGGAGTGCCACGTGGCTATTAATTTTATAGCCGTTAGTGGATTTAAAATTTTGGAATTTGACCGCTATAAAAAATAGTACTACATTTCAAATATTGGTATAAACAAAGGAAAATTGGATTGGGCTTCGTTGATTCAAATTTAGTATTTTTTTTAATAAAAGTTTAAGTGAAGAGAGAATATTTTGTTTTACGATTTAATTACATAGTAAATTTTAATGAAAATTTATATTAAAAATTAAGATTTAATTTAATATTGAAATTTCCCATAACTAGTGAAATTTGATGTAAGAAATTCAAAAAATGACATGAAAGCGTAAGGGGATTAGTTTATGTGATATTACTATTAGCAAGGTTACTTTAGAATTTTTTGATTAAGGGTGATCCAAACGAGAAGCAAGGAATTATAATTTGCTAGGAAAAGTTACCCCATCATACACAGTTTTGTTAAAAACTATTTTTGGCACTAATAGTTGTTTAATTAAGCACACTAATTGTCGAATTTTGTTGATAAGGATCTCCTCATACATTTTTGCTTTTTATGTTTTTGAAAGCCGAAAACAATACTATAACGGATAATGTTACATATTCATATTTCATATACATAAATTGTTGCATGTATATAAACTTTCTGATAGCAAATACGTCAAGAACAAAGAATCTAAATGTCATTTTTTGGCAAGGTAAAAGACAATACCCCTTTTGTTTTTGAAACTAGAGACAATATATTTATGTCCTTTGCCTGGCAAACTGCCGGGCTCCTTCTTCTGGCTCATTCATATTAGTTATGGGCCACACCTTGGTAGCTTTGAGAACCATGAAAGTCGACTCTCAGTATGGTTATACTTTTACTTAGAGATGTTAAATGGGCTTCACAGTCTATGAGATCGCCCAATTTAATACAATGTGGATGTGTTTGGTATGATTTATTGATATAATTATAGATTAAGTATGGCTTTTATATTTGTATCATATTGAGTTTAGGAGTTTTGCATCTATTGGGCATATAAGTTGTGTCATACTTGCTCAATCAATTAAAGGCTAGCAACAACATGTAATACATGAGTTAATACATTATGATATATAAATATTAATATGCCGTGTCATATAAATTTATAAATTGTTATAAATAAATTTAATCTCTCAATTCTTAAGTTGTATTTCATTATGTTTATGTTAGCACTTAGGTAACAATTTCAAGTGCCAATTTTACCAAAACCAATGCATAGGCAAGTGAGATCTAACCCAATTCACAAATATCTTTAGCAATGTGAAAAAAAAAAGAGTGAGGTATTCATTAATATTTGAGATTATTATTACTTATAGAACAAAAAATCGTATGATACAATTGGGGTTGAATCTCTAAATATATATATATATATATTATATTTTCATATTGTTTCGAGTGGGATTGGGGTATCACAATGATAGCTATGAGAACCATTAAAGTTGACTTGAACTTAGGTGAAGGAAATTGTGGGACTTGACAAAAAGTTTTAGGTTCAAATCAGATATTGCTCCTGTTGCATAAAAGTATAGTCTTTTTTAACTGTTGTATGTCACCAAATATAATCATGGTCCTATATAAAAAAGCATCTTTCGGCGATACCATGGAATAAACCCATCACATGCTTTAAAAAGTTCTCTCCAGCCATTAGCCATCGTATCAAAAATATGGTATCACCCATGAGTTATAACCAAACTAATTTCTTGTTTTCTGTCATTATCATGACGCTTTTATCGAAACATGCTCTAAATTGATGATCAGTTTGATATTAAGAAGTTACTTACGAAATTTAAAGTCTCTAACTAAAGTAGCTGGCTCGTTTTTTTGGATCCAGTGAGAGTGGGTCCTGTTGAAAGCTAAGTTAGTGAACTTATGAAATTGTTAAAGACAAAAAGCTGATCAGGGGATTTTAGAATTAGAACATGTTCCGACACTTAAATCAATGAATTATAGAAGAGAAGGAAGTAGGTTAAGGAGTTTTACATGCTTACAACTCCCTTTTATATTTCACAAGTGATGTCGTGATTGTCTATACAAGGGACATGTCTGCCTTGAAATCATGTATGATGCCTTCAAATCATGCGTGAGGCCTCGTGTAAATCATGTGTTAGTGTTGATAACATGGCTCAAACATATTTCTGAGTAGAGTTAACATATGGTTTTTAGAAGAGGAGCCAGAAACAGATAGAGACGTGTTGATTTAAAATTCTACTGATAAGACAATCGGAATATTTCTGATTTTAAGCATGATCACAGGCTTAAAAGCCCGCTCTTCCACTTTCTATTGTCTGCGTGCTCCAAATTGAACTTTGGAACATTCAGCACTGTTGGATGGAATTGGTCAGGTTCAATATCTTTCTCAGGAAAATAAAAAAATCCAATATCTTTGATAGTCAGGTGTCTTTGTCTAATATACCAACAAATAATAATAAAAAAGTTGAAACCACCACATCCTCAACAACTCATTTTCTAATTAACAGAAAGGCCATTAATGCTGTCTGCAAGATGCCTTTTCTGCTGCCCTTTAGGCCCGTGCTTGAGATAGCAAGAAAGGGCAGAAATGATGGATGCTTGCCTACTTTTTCTTGCTGTTGAGTTTGCTTTCATGGTCTTGAAAGGCGGAGAAACGCAAAGGCAGTGTCATCTGCTCTAACATCAATTCCTATTAGTGTTCAGAGTTTGGAGCTTCCTGTTCTGTTTGGTAATGAATTATGAGCTTTGCAGGATCTTAACAAAATCAGGAGCCCAGCTTATATATCCTTTTTTATGCGAGTCTTTTTAAGTCTTTACATTGTAAGAGTTAATGCTTGTTGAATGTTAGCACTGTCATGCTATACTTCTGGCCTATAGGCTGAATTGTTTCTTCAGGTTTCAACTCAAGGGGGAGATATAGAAGGCCTAATTTTCAAGTTGGCAAGAGTATGGGGTTAGAACTTGATTGCCAGGTGAAAAAAGAAATCTTGAAAGTTGAACATAGTTGTAGTCTGTGGAACTGTGAAAAGGCTGTGATGCTTGACAGGATTAACAGAGTCCTCGAAATGCTGAGGTTAATTAGGGTTTGAAATCAGTTACACTTATCTAGTAATACAAGATATACCATTGCCACCTGGGGGTATGTATAACTTCAGTACTTTTTAATGTTTAATTACTCATAATTAAGTACTTCGATGTGGGTCGTATCTGTAAAATCATGATCGATGTCTCAAAAAATACCACATTAAAATAATGGACTGATTATGTGCATGTGCAGTGTTTCCAACCTTTTTATTTAGTGGGTTGCATGGGGTTTGAGTTCTTAGCCATATCCCATTAGCACAATGGAGCTGCTGGTAATAATAATAAACTAAACAGGAAGGATCAGCAGCCTAAACAAAATGAGCTGTGCCGTACATTTATTTTGGAGGACTAAAAGGTCTAACATTAGGCTGCAAATCAATAGAACGATTTGGATTCGGAAATATCAGATAAACTATCATTTTTTCATGATTTTTGTATGGTGCATACAGCTTGCTTGTTAAATTCTGATACATCCAGGAGTTACGGAACCAAAATCACAAATGCAAAGACCCCAAACCATTGCTTTGCTTATTTCATATAAACATGAACTAAGATAATATGAAAAGAGAAAAGAAGAAAAAACAGAGAAAAAGTAAAACAAAGATTAGCAAAATAGAAAACTAACTCTTGGCTATGCTGCAGATAATACTTTGTAACCTTTTTCCAATGATCTAAGCACATGACACAGAGAGAAGTCGAACTGCCAAAGGATTGAAGTTGCCCTGTGGTAGAAACCAGCCCTTCAGTGAAATCTGATTGCCATAGAAAAACCCAGTTTCTCCAATCACGTGAAGTGAAGAGATAAGAGATCATCCTCAACTAAAAGTGCATGCCAAAGGATTATAGTTGCCCTGTGGGGGAAAGGCTCCTGGAAGAGTAGAATTCAACCAAACCCTTTTCCCCCATCATATCAAATTCATAACCTGGATATTTATACTCTGCCACCTCCCACCATGCTGAAAAGACCCGCTAGGCCCTTTGGATCTGTTGCCAAGTTTGTTGGGTGGGGGTGGCACCATGACTAAGTGAAATAACTAGCAATCATAATCCTGAATGGCTTCTATCTTGCTGAGGATGATGTATGTGAGGACAGCTATATATAAGACAGAAACAATGTGTGATTATTTGAATTGTGGGTTTCTTCTCCCCTTGGTTTACCAAAATGAAATAACCGCATCTTCCAAGGGATATGCGACGACCAACTCCATTGCTCCACATTTGGTGACCACAACTTTAGTCCTTTTTGGCCTAATTCTTTTGCATATTTTCCCTGCTGTACCAATAAAATAGTAGTATGCTTCAACTTTGACACCCTCCCACGCGCTACACGCATTGTTTGATCGGATTCATCTTGATTCTTGCTTCTAATGAGGACTCGATGAACGTGTCAGATGTGAGTAGCGCGTGGTTTTTAGCTGCTTAACATGCTTTACCTCAAAATACTTTGCTTGGATGTGGATTTTACTTTATCCCCATTAGTTCTTTAGCTAAAGCATATATATTGTTTTTCATTGTTATTGCAAAAGGAGGGGGAAAGGGAAGATGCCAAGTAAAAATTCCATCCAATTGATGGCGTAATGCATAATTTTGAATTAAAATTTAGCAGATTTTGATGTCATGTGAAGATCACCAGAGAAGGGAATGAACAAGAATATTGGAGTTAGAATGGAAAGATTATGATACTAACTCTAAGGTCAAAACCAATTGAATATAAATAAAATTTGTTTGTTTAATTAACAAATCTTGAATGTTGTTCGTGATTATTTATTAAATTTAATAAATGAAAAAAATTAAATCTATTTATGAATTATTCGTCAAAAGTTCTATTTAATTATACTTCACTTAACTCTAATTATATACTATGGATTAAGTAATACATAGTCTCCTATCTCCTTTGTTTAATTTCAATGTGGACTGTCTCATAAAAAAGTGTGAACTGTGGTGACATTCGATGAAATTTAATTGTTTATCAGCGTATGGTTTTGTCTGCTAATAGTAAGAGGATAGCCTAAACAAGTACTGGAATCACATTCAACAACCTGTCAAGCCACAGCATTTATAGCATGGATTCCGTATTAAGTTTTAATGTTTCATGAATGAGTTTATCCTCCTATCCATATTCCATAATAAAGTTCAAGTGAGGGTGGCTTAGGAATTACTTAGAGGTGAAGCAAGAACCATGAAGGAAGGTAGGAACCTTAAGTTTCCCTGGAAGATCACTACAGATAGAAAAGAAAGTAAGCCAGCAGGAGGATCAAACTCAGTTCCAAGAATCATAATCTTGAAAATATCAGCTTCTAAATTTATTGGTTCCCGTGTTAATGACTTCATATTTTTGTGGCATATGTGATACACTTCAAAGAATCCTTTCTCCTTTTGGTTACAAAATTTTACTGCCAATTTTTTAGAGGTTAGAGCATCAGCACCATCATCTTTTGGGGGTAAGAGACTAAAGTTTCAGATGTTTAAAAAAGTGGATTGGAATACCTTGGATATAAAGCAAAGGACCAGCAAGTGAAAAATGAAATCTTTATGCATATCCTACTGAGCTTCAGCACATATCCTTGATTGGATTAGTAATGTTCAAGCCAATATCTTTGTTCAATGCTCCTCCAATTTGAGTTGAAATGGCAAACTATTTTGCCTGATGACTTGTTTTTAGGCATAATTAACCCAATAATGTAGCTCAAAGTTGGGTATTGAGCATAATTATTCAAATTAAACCTAGTCCAGCTGATCTTTTCACTTAAAGAAAAATCAGAAAAGTGAGCGTCAATGCATTATATGTATATGCTTGGCCCAAGGATCGATTTATGGGTTTATTGATGCAATGTCTTTAAGCTTCACAAAATTTAGCTCCTCCAGCAATGTCTGCCAAGTGGCAACTGATATCTAGTGGAGCCTATGAATTATCACAAGACTTACAGAAATTTAAGGCTTGTTGGTCTGAGGGAGATTAAGCCATGCCAGGCCTAGCCAATGCGGAAGAAAGCTTAGACAAGAAGAGAGGAATTATAGGAATTGCCTAATGAACTATGCTAAAGTGGCAATCTACTCAGACCAGCATCTAAATTAACCTAGTCGGTGAAGCTTCTAAACACCAGCAATTTAATTTATTCTTTAAACTTTTTTTCCCTCGTTCTTTTTTGGTGGGAAAAAAAAATTATAATCATATATGTCAGTTACGAGCAAAGCCAGTTAAGACTCGAATACGGTATCAAACAGATACTCTATATGAAAGCATATTCTTTCACTTCATTATTCGTCCAAACAAAACAAAGTTGCGGCAATGAATCTTACAACATTTGAAGCAGAAGAAAAGAACAGAACTTGAATCTTTCAGATGTCTTGAGTTTCATCCAAGAAACCTTAAAGTCCATCGAAGGGAATAGACAGAGAAAAAAGCAAATAAAAGAAATTAAAGAACAAAGACAACAGAAAATATTTCAACATTCTCTTATCTATATATAAGTTCATTAGGCAAAATATTCCCTAACTTTTTACCCTGTATAAAGCAGCATTCAACATTCTGACTTCAGAGTTCAGATCATACAGTCCTTAAAAAAATGGCTAATGGCAATACAGCACCGGCCACCCAACAGCAAAGAAGACATTTTAACCTAGTAAGAAATGTTGCCACTTGCTTGCTAGCCCTTTTTGTTCTTGTTGGTCTAGCCGTGCTGATCGCTTGGCTTGTCATTAGGCCAAAAAGGTTTGTTTACACCCTTGAAAATGGTTCAGTCCAAAATTTCAACCTAACCGATAACCATCTCAATGCTACGTTCGATTTTGTTCTTAAGGCATATAATCCTAATAGCAGAGTCTCTCTTTACTATGATTACATGGAGACAACGGTGACGTACGAAGCTCAAACTGTAGCGTTCAATACGATCGACCCCTTCTTTCAACCCCATAGGAATGTGAGTCGAGTAGAAGCGAAGCTCGTGGCTCTGAATTTGGCATTGTCACCATCAACATTTAAGGATCTCAGGATTGAAAAATCATCCGGGGAGATTGAAGTTGATGTTCATTATAAGTCAAGGATTCGGTTGAAGGTAGGTATATGGAAGTCTAATCATCGTATTCTAAGGATTGTGTGTCCCTCCGTGATAGTGCACTTATCTTGGTACAGACATTTTGATAAGATACCATGTGAAATAGAACCTTAGTGCAGAGTGATCTTTCTTTTTCTGTTTTGTTTGTGTTTTCCCATTCTCTTTTACGTGGCTGAATTGGTGTCCTAATGTTGCCATTTTGTCTCTTCCATGCTATTCTTGTTGTTTTCTCCTTTAACTAATATGGTGTGAAAATTGATGTTGTTCTTTTTACCTGCCATCATCGAGTATGCATAAAAATCAATGTATTAGTCGGTGTTCACCTTGTCATTTAAACTTTTTTTTTTTAATCTTTATGATCCAAATCCCAGATTTCATGTCATTAGAATGAAACATTCCAATTTCCAAGTATGGGTCGTTTATATAGTAAAGCCTTGGTAATAGAACGATAGGTCATTGAAAAATTTGAATAGGGATGGGGGGACAAATTCCAACTTCCCAAACTGCCTGCAGAAATGGCCCTGACCTGCTTGAGCTAGTCTGCTGGTTTGGCCCATAACCTAAATGGGCTGTGCTATCATTGACTTTATCACCAAGGCTTCCTTTTTATAATTTGGAGAAGGAAGGTTTCCAATGCTCCTCATTGAGGAAAAAGATCATGCACGGATTTACTGAACAAAATCTTGGGTGTGTCTCAGTTCTCTGTTTAATGGTTAAAAGGCTGATCTTCTCCAATGCTAAAAGGGAATGACACTATACAAGTATCCCAAAAAGTGAGAAGATTTTACATATATTTTCATTTAGGATAATATCAGCAAAGCATTCATTGTTGAATTGTGGTGAAACTGCCTGACCTTTTGATATTAGTAAGTAAACATCATTTCATTTCATTTGTTCTAAGATAAACGTTGACTCCAAGTGAGTAAAAACTCAGGTTCATTTCATTTCATTACACTCTTCAATAGCTTACAACTAGAGAGCCCACAGATTTATATATAGCACTGAAAGTTTCATTTAGCTTGATGGGTTGTAATCCGACTAATCTTTCATTGAATGAGACGATTTTCATCCTATGAAAATCTCAGGACTCATTCTCATCTACATATATGGAGTAGGTAACAGAGTCCTAATCGCCATATTTACAAAGGAAAGTATGCCATTAATGGCACTCAGCCACCAACCCTGAATACATACATATAAACACGAACAATTCCATATTTTGATTTACTAAATACACGCGTCAAATCTGTGAATGTAAACTGAAAATTAGTAAAGGAAAATGATATGGAGAGCTCAATCAATTAGGACTATATAAGGTATTAGTAGAAACTGTTTCGATCCTTTTTTTTATCTGTTTTCGGTCATTTAGAACCAACACCAAAATCGTTTCAGACCTAAAGTTTATATTTATTGTGTTGGGCTAAAAGCCTCCAATCCAATCACACCAGCGGAAGCGAAATCAAATAATAAATCAAACACACAAGAGACAACAATTTAACGTGGTTCGGTCCAATTGACCTACATCCACGGATGAGAAACAAGATCCACTAGTTGTAGAGAATTACAAACATACATCATATCATCAACCTCACTCAACAATCAATACTCATAAGACACTCTCAATCTCCTCTAGTCCTATGAAGTATTCTCTACCCAAACAAACACAAACCCAAACCTTTGTGCACTCTTTCAATATAACCAAACACATACCCATATGCTCTCATACATCATACCTATGTGGATCCTCTCAGTCTCCTCTAGTCCACTCACAAACAAACATACACACCCATAAGACGTAGAGCCCCAATACTCCTATGGAGTGTCTATCCCACAAAACCCTACAACTCTCTTACATCTTTTTCTCATATCTAACCCTGACCTAAAGTTTATATTTATTGATCATTAGTTTGATGATCACTAATCTGTGATTTCCAAAAAAGTGGATTAACTGTTCATTCTATGATCTAAAAACCACTAGTAATCAATAACTGGTCACTGAAAAAGACTTTGGGGCTTCAGCATCATCAGCTACATTCTAGTGATTTCCTAGAGAATGACTGAGAGAAAGCATAATTATAGTGATAAACTATAAAAAAGCACCAGTGCATGACAAGATATGCCTAATGTGCCATTAAGAAGAGACGAGCTGGGCCTCACTTTTGGCTGCCAATGCCTCAACCATTTGCAGATTTGTTCCCCCTAATATCTGTCAATGGATGGGTCATTATTCAGTTGATCATATATATAGAAATTCTATCCATTATTATTTACATAATAATAATAGTTTTCATTGTCTAATTATTGAACACTATCATTATAACATTTACTAATTATCCTTGAGATAGATATTAATAGGGTCAAAAATTGGGATCCAATCAATATATGATAAGAATTCAATCTAAAATCTTTAAGATTTTATAATTTTTTACCACTAAAACAAGACATCGTTGGCTAACTTTTGATATTTGTACCTGCAATATTTTTGGCACTTGGCATTGATGAAATTAAGGAACCATAGCATGCATGAGAAATATTATTGTAATTGATGAAGCCATATTAGTATTATATATGAACTTTTCACTTAAAGAAAAATTAGAAAAGTGAGTGTCAATGCAGTATATGTATATGCTTGGCCAAGGATCGATTTATGGGTTTATTGATGCAATGTCTTTAAGCTTCACAAAATTTAGCTCCCCCAGCAATGTCTGCCAAGTGGCAACTGATATCTAGTGGAGCCTATGAATTATCATAAGACTTATAGAAATGTAAGGCTTGTTGGTCCGAGGGAGATTAAGCCATGCCAAGCCTAGCCAATGCGGAAGAAAGCTTAGACAAGAAGAGGGGAATTGTAGGAATTGCCTAATGAACTATGCTAAAGTGGCAATTTACTCAGACCAGCACATGGGCAGATGGTGAGCATGGCCAAGGGGGGGGGGGGGGGGCCTACGCCGAGATTTTTGAAAATTTTCCATTTATTCATATATAGATAATTATATTTGTATCAAATAAATTTAAATTAGAACCTTTTTTAATTTAGATTTTTTTAATTAAAAAATAAATCTATATTAATATTTATCTATTTATTTTAATTACTAATCACATTCGACAAACATTTAAAATCAATTAACTTGTGACAAATATTAAGTCATAATTCATGTGAATTTAAAAAAAAAAATTCAATTTAACTTATACCAAGTAAGATAAATTAAATTTAAAATGTCAAATGAAACAATTTGAATGTGACATGCATAATAATGTGAAATATCAAAATTTATCTTTTTATCATAATTCTGCCTTATTTTGATAGAAATTGAAAAATAAAAAATATTTTATCTCATTAATATATTGATCAAATTTAGTTTAATTCTTTTCGATATCTAAATAATTAATCGATTGAGACAACATTTTTAGCTATAAAAATCATCAAAATAAAACTATAAAATAACATGAAATGTGAGTTTTTATGGATAATTTGGTTGTCAATATAGAAAAAAAATTTAATTCAGATTTAAATGTTGAAGATTTTATTTTTCTTAAAAAAGAACGTTGCTCAAAATTTTAAATAAAATTATTTAATTTTTTATACTTTTATTTTGAATTAATAAAATTTAAGATTTTATAAGTTTATTATTTTTTAACATATTGTTAAATATATATTTTACGTTAATAAAAATATATAGTAGTATAACTCAAATGAAAAATATATATAATTTTAAAATTTTAATTGATCTCTCAAAATCAAACTGCAAGATCCGGGACCAGCATCTAAATTAATATAGTCGGTGAAGCTTCTAAACATCAGCAATTTGATTTATTCTTTAACCTTTTTTCCGTCTTTCTTTACGGTGGGGAAAAATTATATCTATGTTTGTTACAAGCAAAGCCAGTTAAGACTCGAATATGGTATCAAACAGATACTCTATATAAAAGCATACTCTTCCGCTTCATTGTTCGTCCAAAGTAAAAATTACGATTAGTTGTTAGATAAAAAAGCATCAATCCAATTATATCAGTGAAAATAAAATTAAATAATTAATCAATTACATAAGAGATAATAATTTAATATGATTTGATCCAATTCATTTACGTTCACAGATGAGAAATAAGATTTACTAATTGTAAAAAATTACAAACATACATAAAATCAAATCATCAACTACTCAATACCCATAAACTCTCTCAATCTCCTCTAGTTTTACGGAGTATTCTCAACCCAAATAAACACATACTCATGTGTACTATTTTAACACAATCAAACACATACCTATATGCACTCATATATCACATCTATGTGGATCTTCTCAGTCTCTTTTTGTCCACTCACAAACAAACATACACATTCATAAGACATAAAATCCTAATACTCATATCGGATGTCTATCTCATAAAATTTTACAACTCTCTTATATCTTTTTCTCATGCCTAATCCTATAAAGACTTCACTTATTTATAATCATACAAATTTGTCAATTAAGAATATTTTTTTTTTTAGAATTTTTTTCTTGCAAGTCAAACTTGTCTATTAAGAATCTTCTTTCCCTTAAATTTTTTTTTTTGTAAGTCTTCTTATCCATCAAGCAATATCTTACCAATCCCAAAAAAATTTCTAATAAATTTCAAATAAATCTCTTATGAAATTTAAACCATTATTCCAATATTAGCCGAATCTTTATTACAACATTTGAAGCAGAAAAAAAGAAGAGAACATGAATATTTCAGATGTCTCGAGTTTCATCCAAGAAACCTTAAAGTCCTTCAAAGGGAATAGGCAAAGAAAAAGGCAACTAAAAAGAATTAATGAACAAAGAGAACAGAAAAAATTTCAACGTTCTCGTCTGTACATAAGTTCATTAGGCAAAATATTCGCTAACTTTTTACCCTGTATAAAACAACATTCAACATTCAACATTCTGAGTTCAGAGTTCAGATCATACAGTCCTTAAAAAAAATGGCTAATGGCAATAGAGCACAGGCCACACAACGGCCAAGAAGACATTTTAACCTAAAAAGTCGTGTTGCCACTTGCTTCTTAGCCCTTATTGTTCTTTTTGGAATAAGCCTGCTGATCATTTGGCTTGTCATCGGGCCAAAAAAATTTGTTTACACCCTTGAAAATGGTTCAGTCCAAAATTTCAACCTAACCGATAACCATCTCAATGCCACGTTCGATTTTGTTCTTAGGGCATACAATCCTAATGGCAAAGTCTCTGTCTACTATGATTACATGGAGTCCACGATGACATACGAAGATCAAACTGTAGCGTTCAATACGATTGACCCCTTCTTTCAACCTCATAGGAATGTGAGTCGAGTAGAAACGAAGCTCGTGGCTCTGAATTTGACATTGTCACCATCAACATTTAAGGACCTCAGGATTGAAAAATCATCCGGGGAGATTGAATTTGATGTTTATTTTAAGTCACGGATTCGGTTCAAGGTAGGTTTATGGAAGTCTAATCATCTTACTCAAAGGATTGTGTGTTCCTCCGTTACAGCGTACTTATCTTGGTACAAACATTTTGAGAAGATACCATGTGAAGTAAAAGATTACATGGCTGAATTGTTCTAATGTTGCCATTTTGTCTCTTCATGCTTACCTATTGTTTTCTCCTTTGATTAATATGGTGTGAAAATTGATGCTGTTGTTTTTACCTGCTATCATAGAGTATGTATAAAAATCAATGTATTAATCGGTGTTCAGCTTGTCATTTAAACATTTTTATTTCAAGTTTTTCTTTTTTAAAATATTTATGATTCAAATTAGTTGTGTAAATGATACATTAGTATTTACAAATTATTCGAGTTTAATTTGAATAAAATTCGAATTCGACTTGATTATTATTGAGTTGAGCTCGAATAATTCGAATCATCAATCGAACCAAGTTCGAATATTTTTACATCTGATTCGAATAGTTCGTGAGTTTAATTAAAGTTTTATATTTAAATATATTATTATTATTTTAATTAATAAAATATCTCTAATTCGAACTCGAATTTGAACACAAATAATCAAATTTTTATCGAATATAAGAATCGAGCTTATTTTTACATATTAATTGAACAAGCTCGAATAACTCAATTTTTATCTCGAGTTGAGTCGAGCTAAAACTAAAAAAATAAAATATGATCAAATTTAAGCCAACTTTTAAACTTTAAATTTCAAATAAATTTAAACTTAAATTTAATACTATATTAATTTAAATTCAATCGATACACCCTTAATTCAAACCTATGATTTCACGTCATTAGAAGGAAACATTCCAATTTCCAAGTATAGGCCTTTTATACAGTAAAGCCTTGGTAATAGACCGAGAGGTCATAGCAAAATTGCAAAATTGCCTGCAGAAATGGCCCCGACCTGCTGGAGCCAGTCTGCTGGTCTGGCCCATAACCTAAATGGGCTAAGCTATAACTGACTTTATCACCGAGGCTTCCTTCTAATAATTTGGAGAGGAAGGTTTCGAATGCTGCTCATTGAGCCAAAAGATCATGCACGGATTACTGAACCAAATCCTGGGTGTGTCTCAGTTCTCTGTTTAATGGTTAAAATGCTGATCTTCTCCAAAGCTAAAAGGGAGTGACACTATAAATGTAGCCCAAAAAGTGAGAAGATTTTACATGTATTTTCATTTAAGATAATATCAGCGAAGGATTCATTGATGAATTGTGGTGAAACTGCCTGACCTCTTGCTGTTGGTAATTAGTAAACATCATTTCATTTGTTCTAAGGTTAACGTTGACGCCAAGTGAGTAAAAACTCAGGTTCATTTCATTTCATTACACTCTTCAAGAGCTTACAACTACAGACCCCACAGATTTATATATAGCACTGAAAGTTTCATTTAGCTTGATGTGTTGTTGCACCTAATCCGACTAATCTTTCATTAAATGAGACGATTTTCATCCTATGAAAATCTCATGACTCATTCTCATCTACATATATGGAGTAGGTAACAGACTCTTAATCGCCATATTTACAAAGGAAAGTATGCCATTAATGGTACTCGCCACCAACCCCGAATATATACATATATATACGAACAATCCCATATTTTGATTTACAAAATCACACACGTCAAATCTGTAAATTTTAACCTGAAAATTAATAAAGGAAAATGATAGAGAGGGTATAATCAATTAGGACTATATATATGGTAATAGTAGAAACTGTTTCGATCATTTTTTTATCAGTTTTCAGTCATTTAGAACCAACACCAAATTCGTTTCGGACCTAAAGTTTATAGTTGTCGATCATTAGTTTGATAATCATTAATCTCTGATTGGCAAAAAAGTGGATTAACTGTTCATTTTATGATCTAAAACCCCACTAGTAATCAATAACTGGTCACTGATAAGACTTTGGGGTTCGACATCATCAGCTACATTATGACTGAGAGAAAGCATAATTATAGTGATAAACTACTAGAAAGCACCAGTGCAAGACAAGATATGCCCCCTCTTTTGACAAAAATCTTGCCTTAAGAAAGAGGGTATGCTTCATTTTTGTGTGGTGTTGGCCCTTCAAAAGAGATGCAAAGGAATTCCTTTAGGCATAAGTTTAACCCCCATGTCTTGGGGGGCCCTAGGTATGCTGTCCTACCATTATAAAACCTGCAAGATGTGAAATTTAGTAAGAGCATGTGCCTTTAAAGCTGCCAGTTCTGATATTAATCAAACTCTCCCACCCCCACCCCCCCCAGAAAAAAAAAATTGACACATTCCGCATATATGGCATCTTGCAGGAAACAAGGGCAAAACTAAAGTTCAAGGACAGTGAGACTGAAAGACAGATAACCTAACACTCTTAACTGATGCTTTCATCTCTTTGCCTTTGTTCTTGCTGTTCACGGTTTTGCAGAACATGAATCAATTAGACAGACCGTTTCTTATTAGTTTAGGCCCATCAATAGTAACCCAAATTATGCGTGCAACCACATTTTACAGCAATTTATTGATCTCTTTGTCTCTTGTTTCTATCCCTTCATTATTTTCTTTCTTTTTCCTTTCTTTTCTTACTTTTTTCTAGTAAAAATTATTTGTATTTGATTAGAATGTCTAGCATTGGGCATTTTTGCTTTTTTTTTTTTTAGTTGAACACACTCCACTTTACAGCTAGCATTTCCTATGTAAGAGCAAAATTCCCACCCTATTAAGATTCAATTCTATTTGATTTGAATATAGATGTTGTTAAGCATTCAATTTAATACCTAAAATTAATTAGTAATATGTGAAAAGATCTAATTATAATATAAGGCTATAAAAATTTAAGATTTAATATATACGACTTATGAGATAATTCCATTTAACAAGTCTCATACAAAATGATTAAGCACATGATAAATTTTAAAAGAATAAAGATAAGAGAGCAAAATAAACAAATGCAGCTTAGGCAAAAACAAAGCATAAGAAATACAAGTAGGGGACAAAGTGACCTACCATGTGATAAACTTAAAAGAAGTAAGAGAGACAAGCATAACAAATACAAATAAGAGAACAAAACAAACCTGAACTTTAATATCACGTAAAATATTTAATTTAAAATTAATTGATAATAGATCAAGAGATCAAATTTAAATAAAAGATTACAAAAAATCTAAATTTTATCAAATTTAAGATAACTTCACTTAATCGATACCATATCTTCCTTTTTATAGGCCTAAAAGATCTTTTTTAGAGTTTACTACATTTCTAAAATTGGCATTATGATTTTTTTCAAATGAACAAACTAACAACAACCATTAGTCAATTAATTCTAACCTTACAAGCATCTGGATGCATTAAAGTTTTAGAATCAAAGTTCAAATTAATTAGTAATTGCTTTATAAGAGTGAAACTTATCAAAATGGTATCATGTCAACATATATGTATGCACATTTAATTGAACATTAATTTAAGTTGATTTATATATAACGTTGACTTTGCATTGTTTGGAACGTTAAACCTTCAAAATGAAGGTTATTTTGCAACCACCATACCAAATCTACATGTTATGTAGCAAAATGAGAAGTAAACAAATAGTCTCTCGCATCAGATGAACTTACCCTCTACGCGGACAAAATCTAAACATCTTAAGCTAATTCATGGCTATTTTCTTTTGTTGATTTAACATGTCATATTATGGATAATAAAGAAGCATAATGTGGGACCTTAATTCAAAATATCAGTGGAATACCAAAAAAAATCTTTAAAAAGCATAGATTTTATTTAGGCATGAGCTTTCCAGGTTACTTGGGGGGAAGATTCATGTTCATCTCGGACAGTATTGGTTGTAACATGGGCAAGGGAACATGATCTTTTCGGCCAACCCAGGACCCATGCCTGCATTTTGCAAGTACATTATAATGTGCCATTAAAAAGAGACAAGCTGTTGGGTTTACCTAAAACGGCCTCACTTTTGGCTGCCAATGCCCCACAATCATTTGAAGATTTGTTCCCCTAATATCTGTTAATGGATGGGTCATTATTCACTTGATCATATATATATATATATAAATTCTGTCCATTATTATTTAGATAATAATAATAATTTTTAATATTGTCTAATTATTGAACACTATCTTTATAACATTTATCAATTATCCTTGAGATAGATATTAATAGGATAAAAAATTGGATCGAATCAATAAAAGATGAGACTTAAATATAAAATCTTAAGATTTTATATGTATATTTTTGGCCATTAAAAGAAGACATCGTTGGCTTACTTTTGAACTTGGCATTGTTGAAATTAAGGAAACACAGCATGGATGAGAAAATTTTTGTACTTGATGAAGCCATATTAGTATTATGATCGTAACTTTAAATCCAATTTCTTTTAATTTAGATGGAGGTGGGTTCTTTTGATTATGTGGATTATGCATATGGATCGACAAGAAACCTCCACGATGGTGGGTGGATGCTGGCCAACACCTTAATCAGTTTTAAGTTTACAATTGGTCGGCTTTTGAACAAACATTTTGACCTCACAATAATCATGATAATTGCTCTCACAATCATCATCATGAATATATAATAAATAAATTACAGTATGATTGAGCACTACCCATGCTTTTGCCAAATGCTAGTAGATTTTGAATCAACCCATTTCCTTCAATTTTTATTGGATAATGATTTTGCAAATTTCATGCAGGTAATATAAAGATGAACAATTTTCTTCAATTATTGTGGTCCAGAATACTTTAGTTAGATTGATAAGATGGAAAGCAATGTTGCTTAATATAGGAACAAATTACCCTGAACCATTTATTTAGATATAAAATATTATTTCTATATTCAATTGTATATTTTACAATATATATATATATATATATATATATTATATAGTGCTTTCAAGATTGATACATGATAAAATTGACAAGCAGACTGAAATTGTAGAGTAGAAACGTGTAGTATTCCTTTTAAGGTGTTGCTTCCCTTTCTCAAATTCATATGTTGCTTTGAAAGATTGATGCATTAATTTACAAAATAGAAAAAAAAAAGAGAGAAATTGTTATCCAATATCCATGGCCAAAAAAATAGGATAAAACAAGATAAGCTTAATTTTTCCAAATATATTACATGATCATACTTTGTATCTTTCAAAAAGTTTGCATTTTTGTTTTTATCTTTTACACAATTGATATTGAAAAAAAAAAAAAATATATATATATATATAATGATTTTTTTCAATAAAGATAACAAAATAAGATATACGAATTGTTCTAATGTTAATTTTCATTATTGAGTATTCACTTAGTAATTGAATCATCCAAATAAACCCTAAGAAAAAGATATATGTTAATTCTTGGATAAAAATTGATAATCCAATATTATCTTTAATGTGATATTATATCAAAGTAGTTTATTGGTGATGTTTGAATCTAAAACATTTCCTTGTAGTAATCTTTCTTTGTGAAAATTAATTATTTTTTCTGGGCTTTTATATGTGAGAAAAGTGTACCCAACGTAAAAGTTAGGTAAGTTGTAAAGACAATTTATTAATCAATGGGCTTTTAACATACTGAATTATATAATATAAGGTGGTAAAGTTTGTATGCTATATTTTAAGTACTAATAAACAAAGATATAATAAGCTAGGCAATTGCTTTGCACTAATTAACATGATGGTTTTTTATTGCAGCCAACTTTTAACATCACATCCACTTATAGATTTTTTGGTTTTTGAAATCATCATATTTAAATTTTAATTATTAAAATTAAAACGACATTTTCATAATACAATTATAAATTTATTGATACTAAAAATTATTTAAATATAAACTTTATCTATTAAAATTAAAAATCTAATATTTTATAAGTCGATGATGTCGTGTTGTTCTGTCATTTAATCATAATTTTACGTAACCTAATCCCACCAACGTAAAAATAAAAAAGAAAAGAGGTGGCTTTAATTAATAGGGACAGTTGGACAGTTATAATCATAGGAAATTTAGTAACAATCGCTTTCCATTTTTCTAAGCGAGCATCCTAATTTTAAATGAGCAGTCTAACTTTTGGCCATTTGCCTTTAAAAGGTCCATCATTTCAATTAACTTACCAAAATTTGCCAACTTGCTTCTAGAAGATTTATCCATTAATGCTAACGCCCTATCTGCCTCTATTCCCAACCTACCACAAATAACATTTTTAGATACTCTTTCTTGGTGACATTTTGCAGTTTCTTGCAGCCAAATAAGGGTCATAAGTTTTTAGGTTTTTTAAATACACTTTTTTTTTTTGGCCTTTTGTTTAGCATTTTGTTATTAAAAAAAATCTTTAAATATCAATAAAAACTTGATAAATTTGTTGATATGAATAATAAGTAATTTTGGATTTAAAATTTATTAATGATTTTTTGTGACATTAATTTAGAATGCATAATTTTATGATAAATTATTATCGACATAAAAATAATTTATAAAATTATTTATGCACGTTAATATTATTTTTTTTCCCTTCAAATTTCAAATAGTTTAACAGAATTCATGTGTTTAAATATTTTTAGAATTTTTCAAAGTAATATGATTAAATATATACTTTGAACTACTTGAATCTAATTATTTTTGGTACTTACTTTCAAATTAAAAAAAAAATCTTCGAATCAAACTTTTTACTGCTAATTACGTTTTTTTTTTTTTTTCATAAAAAAGGTGAGCTTTTTGAATTACTGTTAATGCCACTGCATTACCGGTCATCACCATTCACCTTCGATGGTTGAAATTCCATCATTACCCTTCCTCTACCTTTATTTTGAAATTTCAACCCCCAACGGTGAAAGAAAGACCGCGACGTAGTCTTCTGCACTTCCCGTTACATCCAAGATTTATAAACTTCCATAATTAACCCCGCAATAAAAGGAATAATCCACGCGTCAATCTCCTATTCGCCTTTGCCCCCTGATTTTAAGACGTTACTGTTACGGCCAATTTTATAGTCACCCCTATCAAAGCGTAAAATGTTAAAAACAACAAAAAAGCAATTAAATTAAATAAAAAATGACGTGTCCCCCTTATTTCATTTATTAATAAAATCTCTTCATCTCTGTCTTCTGTTTCTCTCGTGAGTTCTTTCTAGGTTTCGTTCCTTTACTTCGAAATCAAAGAGCTCAAGCTTCTTTGGTACGTTTCTTCTTCTTCTCCTTTATTTTGATTCTACGCTCTTTAAACGGTGCCGTTTCTTCAGGTTTGTTGTTGTTTCGATCTTTTTTTTTTTTTTTGAATGTGGATTTGTTAATGTTGTTCGTTTCTCTTGTTTGGTTGCTAAGAAATGTGAGGAAAAGAAGAGAAAAATGAATTCCAATTTCTAAGAAATTGTAAAAGGTTAATTCGTGCTCTTTTTTTCAAATTTTTTGGATAATTTTTTTGTCAGTTTGACAAATTTGAGATTTGGAACATTTTGTTATCTTTCTACATTTTCTCAGCAACCAAACAAGGGATTAATCCTATAAATTTATCCTGATTACGCGTGTTTGGTGGAGGTTGTTGTAAATAGTTTCCAGATTTCTTTAATTCTATTTTTCTTCCTCATTTGCCAACGTGAAACATGACATTTAGGAAATTGCATTTCAGGAGTGTTATTGTTTATTTATTTATGAAAATAAATTAGAAAAAATCTGAGATTCTTTGTCGTTTTTGCAGAGTTTTGGAAGATGGGATAAGTTAATACGTGTTTTATTACCATCCTCCTATGTTTTTGCTCTGAAGATTGATAGAGATGATGATGATGATGACTTTAATGCCGATGCAAATGCTGATAATGATGATGAAAAGGAGATTTGCTAGTTTTAGGTGTTGATTGATTTTTTGAAAGGGGATTGTCTGCTATATAGTTTTTTTTTTTTTTTTTTTTTTTTGTAAATAAATGCAGTTTTTCAGGCATTTGAAGCAGATGGGTTGGAAGGGTTTGGTAGTCTAGATATTGGAGTAATATGGCTATTGCTGGTCTACACAATGTTTCTGTGCTTGAAAATTCATTTCTAAGGGAGTCTCAGTCTCAAGCATCGAGAAGGCGGGAAAATGGTAGCACCCGGGCATCCTCACTCCTGCAGATGTGGCGGGAGCTTGAGGATGAGCATGTGGTGAGTCATGCTCAAGAGAGAGTTAGTGAAAGAATGCTCCAACAAAGGGGTGATGACCTCTCCATGACTGATCTTTCTGATAGAAATAGTGATTTACATAGTGGTGTTTCAGAGGATATGAGCGTGAGTGAGAATGACTTTGGACAATGGTCCCCAGATCGATTTGGGTCGCAGAGTGGGAATGAGGATTCAAGTAATTTTAATTGTGAACACTTGTCTGATTTGGGGGAAGTAGAAAGGGAAAGGGTAAGGCAAATTTTTCGGGAGTGGATGAACAGTGGTGGCAGGGAACGTACATCTAATGGTTCCCATAGAAACAACAGTTCAAGGGCCCAGTGGCTTGGTGAAACTGAACAAGAGAGAGTTAGAATTATAAGGGAGTGGGTGCAAATGAATAGCCAGCAGAGAGGTGCTTGTATTGACAGTAGAGAAGAGCAAGCTTCTGATGTTGGTGGACAAATTGCACGCGTTCTTGACGGACTGGTGGTTAACCAGAATGAAGGCCGGACTGAGCACGTGCGTAGGGGCATTAGGAAATTATGTGGTCGACAGGCCCTGCTTGATATGCTTAAAAAGGCTGAGAGAGAACGGCAGACAGAGCTTCAGGGGTTGTTGGAGCATCGGGCTGTATCAAATTTTGCCCATCGCAACCGCATTCAGGTAGATGCATAAAAAGTCTTGCCATTTTTCTTTGGTGGCTATTGTCTTTATTTGTTCATATTTTGTGCATGTTTGTCCATAATTTCAAACAAAAAGAAAGACAACAAAAAAAAAAAAAAAACACTATAAGGTAGATGATAAATTGATAACATAGTAGTTTTGGTATTATAGATTCTCATCGGTAATTGAGATGCTTTTTGCATAATTGTGAGAGCTATTGGACTCGTGTCAAGCACATAGGTGTTCTGTACGTGTGATGGGACTGTTAGTTGCCTCAATTGTCCTGGTCTCTTAAAAGTCATTTTTTAAGTGTAATACATGCTCTAACAACAGTATTTGATTTGTAATTATTGATTTATACTTTCGGGTTAAAATTCTTGAAAATAACCTCATGGCAATTATGAAATATATACAAAAAAGAGAGAGTCCACATATCATACTAACTTAGATAGATGTTAAATGTGAAAAAAGAATACTATAATTTTGAACTAAGAAGAATTCTGGTTTTTTTTTTTTTGTTCAAAGTAGGAAATGCTAGTATGGCTGTCAACTACTTGCCTTTTTATCTTCTTATAGTTAGTGACGTTACTGTTGTTAGCTTGTCGCTTGTTCTAGAAATTAAATGTTTCATAGATTTATAACTCCGAAGAGCAATTAGGCTACCTATTGACTGTTTTTGTTTGCTGCTAAAAGGCTGTCTGAAAATTTTAAAATGTTTATGGATATTTATATGTGTCATTTGTTTTTGAAGGCAACTGTAGTTTAGCTTAGCTTGGCATTGGTATCTTTAATTCAAGTGACTTAAAGCTCCTAGTGATAATGTTTAATTTTTTTATAAGTCTTATCATCTTGATTTTTACATTACTAAACATGGACTGGTTTTACTGGAGTTATTTATTTCCATGTCTTGTTTTCTTTTTGTAGTCATTATTGAGAGGTAGATTCTTGAGAAATGACAGAATGGTTGAAGATGACAGATCTATCTCCATTGCAGCCAGTGAATTAGGCTTATTAAGACAAAAACAGACCGTATCTGGTCTAAGGTACATCATTCTTTATTTCATATAAATTGCAAAGAGTTTTTTATTCTGCAAAGTTCATCTTAATATTCTGGGAGAATTCCACTCTTTTTTGCTTTCTGTGTTTTCTGTAAGCGTTTAAATTATATGGAACTTAATTTGTGATAAACTTTAAGAGAGGAACTTGTACTGTTTGGTAAGTTGCACTGTCAGTGTCAAGTGTGGCAATGTTGTTTCAGTCTTATTACTTCCATATTTACCTCACTTCTCATGAAAACCCAAAGCTGGATTCAGATTCTTGAACTTAATACAAGGGATTTAGATCTCTACTTAAGTTTGGACATTTTCACAGAAGCTTAAAAATAATGCCCTTTCCTATGATTTAACTCAAATAACTCACTTAGATTGTGGCATGCAAGATAGAAACTTATGTGGTAACATTCAAGTTGTGGAAATTTGTAATACTACCTTTGAATGTATTGAGCAATATGATAAATAGGTTGAGATTCTAAATGCTAGTACTTCGGACACGTTTTCAGTCTATTATCCAAGTTCTCAAATGAAGAATTTTAGTATCTTAAGTTATGAAACATCGGTTTGACTGCTTGATTGTGGCTGGAGATCATGGTTTCAACTTTCAAGTCATGAAAACAGCATCCTGCAGTGCAGGGTAAAGCATCCAGCATCTCCCCTTTCCAGACCTGCAATCCTGAATCATGTTTACTACGCTTCTTTTGAAACATTATGTTTGCAAAGCAAAATGCCTAGGTGCAGATACAATAAGGAAGAAAAAAAGATTTGAAAATTAAACAGTTATCACAGCTAGAAAAACTGGACCACATCCTGGTACTGCAAATTTAGGCATGATTGATTGGTTGGTTAGTCTTAACTTAGGACCTTTTATTGAGCTCGTGCATTAGACTTCAGAGTCCATTGGGCAAGTCTCCCAATTTCAGGGAACTGGGAAGTTGACAAATCTTTGGAGTAGATGACTGAAAGTTGCACAATTTACTTGTCACAGGGAGGTCCCTTATAAATGATAAAGTGTCAGGGTTGAATTGTAGATTGCACTTTATATAGCTGTTTTTTAGCCAATCATTTTATTGATTTTTGGACTTAGCATTGCCCTTCTAATTAGTATCATTGGTTGCCCTTCTAATTAGTATCATTGGTTGCTACTATTATGTGGCTGTTGTGCCAACGAGAGGTTAGGTTTGATAATATAGAATTTTTTGCTGAACTCGGTTTTTTTTTTTTCCTCCTGAAATAGCCTGACTAGAGTTGCTCGGAGGACATTTTGTATACTTGATTATAGCAAGTTCACAAGGATGGTCGGGGTTGAATTAGATAATAAGTTTCCAATCCCTTGTTCATTTTGTTTATATGATGTCATCTTCATTTTGGTATTAACATTTTGCAAACTGTGCCTTTGTATCAGGGAAGGTTTTTTCTCCAGACTGGAAAATTCTGGTTGTGGTCCTGCAAGCAGTAACCGTTCCGATACATCATCTTACGCTGACACTAATGGTGATAGAAATGTACAAAACAAAGTATATAATTCAGATGAGGTCATAGATGGATTAAATGACCAATCTGAACATGATAACGAGGAAACTTATAACCAAAGGTTTTTGGATGGTAGAACTGATTTAGAGGCTGATGTTGTTGAAGACATAAGTTGGCAAGAAACTTCTGCTTGTGTAGAAGAGTGGCATGAACAAGTTTCTGAGACTGTGGTTAGAGAATGGCAGTGGTTGGCCAGTGTTGAGTCCAATGAAAGCAGAGATGTTATTGGACAAGTCTTGGATGGGGACTGGCAAGACAATCTTGCTAATGAGTTGCCCCTTAAAACTTCACAAAATGAAGCCGGAGAACATAGTAATCTAGAAGAGGTTGTTGAAGCATCTTACGAACATTCTCCCCAAGCTGGTGAGAGAAGTGGGACCCATGGGTTAATGAATGTTCTAGAAAATCTAGAAAGGAACCCGGTTCAATATATTGATGGGCAAGAATCTGCCTCTCAAGTTGAACAATGGCAGGAAGAGTATCAGGAAAATGTGGATGCAGATTGGCAGGAAGCTAGTGTTGAGTATAACGAGTTGATGGATGGTGGTAATGAAGAAGCCTCTGACATGCATCATGAGGACGGTGGGAATGAAGATGTAGGTTATGATCATCTGCAAGAAGCCCTTGACATGCAACACGAGGATGGCAGCTTGCATGAGGCTACACAGAATTGGTTGCAAGGGTCTCACAGTCAAGAACCTGTTGCGGTTGGAAGAACAGACACATTTTTTCCTGATGATGATAATGTACACAGTATGGAACTGAGGGAACTGTTAAGCAGGTGTGAATTCTATGTAATTGGATCTTTTTGGGAGATGTTAACCAGTGTCTAGTGGCATTGGTTAAGGTGATATTTAAAGAAAGAAATATGTAATTAATGCATTGTCTTCCCTTGAATTTAGTGAAAACAATGCATTGAATGCAAAAATCTTTCCTTAAATAGTATTTTACCTGTCCTTAAACATTGCCTAGTGGCACCCATTAACTGGACCCAATCTTTTTCTAATAACTCCAATCTTTTTTTAATTCAGTAATTTTCTAATGTAAGTTATTTTTAATATTGTAGGAGAAGTGTGTCTACGCTTCTTAATAGTGGTTTCCGTGAGAGTCTCAACCAGTTGTTACAATCATATGTGGAAAGGCAAAATCATGCTACTATTGACTGGGAGCTAAATGAAACATCTGCTGCTCCTGCATCACTTGAACATGATATAGAAGAGCAAAGAAGGGATCAGAATGAGGGTCAAGGAGATGCTGAGAGTCCTTTAATTGGTCTTCCTTCACCCAGAATGCCACCTATGCAGCCACTTTGGGACCAGGATTCACACCATTATAATTGGGCTCCAGATGATGTGCATCAGCGCTTTGGCATTGTATGTCCATTTCTTCTTGCTTGCAACTTAATTCTGTTCTTGATAATCTTTTGAAAATTCATTAATTTACTATCCTAATTTTTTAGTAGATTCATCTGACCAAAATCCAATATTTTCCTGAAAGCATATTGTTTCTTTTATTTGTTACATTATTAAATTTAAAACTGTTGTTTTATATTGCTGACATAATGATCTCTTAATAATTGTGCCTTCTTGGTGAAGCTTAATATTGAGCTGCAACAAGCTTGCAGAATAGATAAATTCATTTAGAGTTTATCTAAACAATATATGCTTTTGAACAGTCAAACTGCTATATGCTTCCTCTTGCTTTTGGATAGCCAAACTGTAAAATACTTCCTGCTATCTTTGCATAGTGAAACACTTCCAGCTCTTTATGCTTCATTTGTAGCTAACTGGATGCCAGTTTTTAGTTCTGACTAAATCTAGGGTTGGTTGGGGGGATTATGGTAGAGCTTAAATATGTTAGACAACTATTCATTTGGTCTTGGTCTCCATTTTAATTGAGCTGCACTGCTAATTTGGTGCAGGAGTGGGAGATCATTAGTGACTTGAGGATTGACATGGCTAGACTGCAGCAAAGGATGAATAACATGCAGAGGATGCTGGAGGCCTGCATGGATATGCAACTTGAGTTACAGCGGTCAATTAGACAAGAAGTTTCTGCTGCTCTGAACCGTACTGCTGGTTCACAAGGTTTGTTTCTTCTTTCCTAGCATATCTGCTCACTCGTGTAATAGGTTCTTTAGGATTATTCTGGGTAAGTGAATCCCCCTTATTCTTTCTCTCTCAGGAGGGCTTTATTTCACTTGACTACTTTCATAACCCTTAAGAGGCCTTATTTGTCCTGATTACTCCCATTTATCATTTACGGGACCATGAGGAAAAAAATTCTGACATATAAACTACTGGTTTTTAATGTTTGTAACAATATGTTTCTCGTTGTTCTGGAATGAAGATGCAAGTTTTCTTATCCCAGGATTTGTTCGCTGTACTTGCTTTTTTTTTTTGTTAATCTTCATGTTGTTCTGCTGCAGGGATGATTGATGACAACTTGCCCAAGGATGCATCTAACTGGGATAATGTTAGGAAAGGAATCTGTTGTATATGCAGTGAAGGCAATATCGATTCATTACTGTACAGGTAAATCTCATCAAGTTTATCCACCACGTTCATATTGATTTTAGGCGTTTTTTCATTTCTGTTTCATATTGTTACAGATGTGGGCACATGTGCACATGCTCAAAATGTGCCAATGAGCTGGTCCAAGGTGGAGGAAAGTGTCCAATGTGTCGAGCACCAGTAATTGAGGTCATCCGTGCTTACTCAATCCTTTAATATGAAGAGTATTTATATCTAATAAAAGAACAAAAGAAAATAGAAAAATTTGGATTAACAACTACAGAATCTTTCATCAGTTTTTTGCTCCTGGATCACTCCAGGTATCTAATTTTTTTTTCCCTTTCTTAGTCCCTTGCCGTGATTTGATATACAGTACATAAATTGAGTGTATTGATTGGAACAGAAAATGTCATCATTCAAATATTACTAATCCAAATAAACTCTTTGAGTTTAAGATTGTTAATTATATCTATACATTTGATGAAGGTGATGAAGAATTCTGCGTATGAGATTGAGATAACTGGTATTGCTGTATAGATTTCAATAATCATTTGCCGAACAGGAGAGCATAGCTGCTAGGTGACCATTCTCATATTTTTCACCCTGATTCTACCTTTTGGATTAGATTATTACCTTAGCGAAGGTGCTTGTGGTTTTGTTGATGACATTTTCATCTGGCAATCAGTGTTGAAAGCTCCTAATGCATAACTGTGCAGATCTTTTGTCTAAAAAGATCTGAAGTACAAATGCAGAACATTAATTCATGCAATTGCAAAATTGTCACAGTGCACGCCAATGGAGATAAGAATAGGTCAATAATCTTGCAATCTGTTAATAAGTGTTGAATTTTTAGTTTTATTAATTAGATTCAAATTTTAATACCTTCAAATACCAAAACAAATTGAGACAGGAACATGCTACCATATTTTTGTTTTTGAGACTTATTTTTGTATGGCTTGTAGTGGTTTAATTGGTGTCGGTTGATAATTGTAATAAAATACTCTCATGTGGTTATAATTTTCAATTTTAATATCATAAGATTACACTCGATTATGCCGAAGAAACGTGAAGGATTAATCATTGTATAAAATCCAAAAGATCACTCAAACTTCGGTGTTGATTTTTGGCTCAACACAGTGATAAGATTTTAACGTCAATCAAGTCCTTTCATGAGTCATCTGTCTGAATTTGTGTCTGCTGATAGTTTCACCAACCTGCTTTTTCAATTTTCTTCGGTATCAAGACCAAAGTACACAGAAACAAAAATTAAGAATAATAAAGTGGATAAGTTCAAAGAGTTTTCTTTCTTTTAAATCTTCAATAAGATTCTCTAAAATAATGCAAAATCACTTTCTCCACTTTCTTCTATGGCTAAAGAAAGGAACTTATCAACAAATTTAATCAAAAATCAATCTCGAAACCCCTAGATTTCCCTTGAAACTATAGTTATGAAATAATTAAGAAAAAAAATTATGTACTCCTTACTATCACATGAACACTTGTCACCTTGTAAGTATCAAAAACTCAAAGTCCTTTGCATTATTGCTCGTTGCCCTAAACTCGAACAACTATTCGTTCTCCTCACGCTCGATGTTATCCCCATCACCATACACGTGTCCTCAACCGTTGTTGACTGACTCACATTCTGATCAATTCTCTCCTGCACTACACCCAATCCATCATCACCGCCCTTGATCTCGAACAACCTGGTCCCTCTACAAACTGGACATGAACCTCGGGAAGCAAGCCACGTGTCAATACATTCCACGTGGAAAACATGTTTACAGTACGGTATCGTTTTAATATATTCCTTCTCTTCAAACTCGCTAAGACAAATGGCGCAATCTATCTGGTACTTCTCATTCCCATGGTAAGAATACACCGGCAACGATCGAATGGTTGTTGGGTCAAGTCCTTTACGTGAAGCTGAGACATGATGAGGATCAGATGGGAATGGAAACGCGTAAAATGGGCCACCACGGTAACGTCTTCTGCGAGAGAGATGGTCTGTTGGGTCTTCAGTAAAACGGCGAATATAGATAGAGAAAAAGCCCATGAAGAAGAGAGCTATGAGGAGAACGACTATGGTGAGAGCCATGAAGGGGTCAAAAGGCCGGTTAGGTTGTACTTGGGATAGCTCTGCGGAAGAGGACGGCTGAGATGAGGAGGCGTTGGTGATGGTGGTGGTGTGTAGATATGGCGGTGGTAATGAGTTGGTGGAGTAGGGAGGGTCATAGGAGAGGAAGAGTTTCCGGATGTAGGGCTTCATTGAAGTTGAGAAAACTGAAAGAGAGTGTTGAAGATAAAGTACTACTTAGGTAGGTTTTGGTTTTGTTTTTATAATATGAATTTAACTAAGGAAAAAGGGATAAGGTGGGCTGTCGGATTCATGAAGACTAAAGAAAAAGGGGAACAAGGCGATGTTTTTATTGTTTTGGTTTGAAATTATGAATGTAATCTCAATCTAGTTCACCGTTTAAAAATGATAGGATTTGAATTCAACAAGGGTTAATGCATTTTCAATATAGATTTTATTCGCTAGTGGTTGATAGAGGATATTATCTCACTAATGATGTGAATAAATTTTTTAAATAATATTAAACTTTTGTATATATTTATTTTAAAAGTTAAAATTTATACTAATTAATAAGAATGTATTACTTGATTCACTTAATTTATTAATAATACAAATAAAATAATGTTTTTTCCTTAATAAGATTTTAAAAAATATTAATTTTTTATATATTTATTATAAAAGTTAAATTTACTTATTAAAAATTGTATTAAATATAAATTTTTTGAGTAAATAAAAACTTGTTACATTAATTTTTTTTAAAAAAATTTATATACGATACGCTGCATTGAATATATTACCAATAAATTTATTAATGATTAAATATAAATTTTTATTAATTCATAAAACAAATATATAAAAATTCGATGCCTTTTAAAAAATTAATGAAGAGATAATATCACTTAATTCCTTAATAATATATAAAATTTATAGAGTAAAATATATAAAATATAAATTCTTTATGAGTATATACTATCATAAATTCATTAGTAATATATAAAATTTATATACTAAGATACATAAAATATATTCTTTATAAGTATATACTATCATAGTATATTAGTGGTTAATTTGAACCCAATCTGTAAGGAAGCCGAAAGAGAGAAAAACAAACCTGATCCTGCCGACATGATGTAAAAATACAACAAAATTCAGATTTGATACTCTAGAAGTTTCAATAGACTAACAGGTGAAAGGAGATTATTAAGGCACCTAATCAAAGTAATCTTACCAAGTAAACTGACACAAGGAGACAAGAGGATAAAAAGCTTGTAGTAGTAGAAAACATGTCATCTAACAAACATGTACCAGACAGCACAACGACAAACTGAGGCTTCGTAGAAACCCCAACCGCACTGCCCATGTTCTTACAAATACAACCCCCTTTAATTATAGTACAAAACAAAATGCAAAGGGGGCCAACATGGAACATCAAACCTAAAATCTCGTAGCATCCTAAGAGACCTAATTAGCCTGTTGTTATTAGTTACATTACAAACAACGTACATTAATCCAATTTGGGCCGTTTTTCGCTGTAGGAAGCATAGTTAGTGACAGCTTTACTGCCTTCTGCCACAGCATGTTTTCCGAGCTCTCCTGGCAAAACTAATCTCACTGCCCCTTGAATTTCCCTTGAGGACAGCGTCTTTCTCTCGGTGTACTTGGAGAGTTTGGTTGCCTCTTCTGCAATCTTCTCGAACATGTCATTCATCAAGCTGTTGATTACTGACATTGCCTTGGAGGAAATTGCCATTCCTGGATGAACCTGCTTTAGTACCCTGAACACGTATGTCTTGTATGCTTCATTGCCATCCAATTCTTTTCTCTTCCCTCTCTTTCTCTTGCCATTTTCATTGTTCTCTTTGCCTTCTCGGGTCTTTGCCTTCCTTTCATCTTCTTTCTTTAGTGGTGGCTCTTCTAGTTCCAAAGCTTTGGAGGTCTCATTGCTTGGTTCTTTTTCCGAAGCCTTGGGGCACTCATTGCTGCGTTCCTCTTCCAAAGCCTTAGGTGCCTCTTTGCTTGATTCTTCTTCAAAACTTTGGAGGCCTAAATGCTTGGTTCTTTCGAAGGTATTTGCTGTGTCTTCTGTTCTTTTTGTGCTTCATTTTTCCTTGGTTCTTCATTAGGAACTTGCTTTGTCTGCTGTTCTTTTCGCACTTTGTTTTTGCCTGGAGCTTCCCCTGGAACCTGAGCTGTCTGAGGATCTTTTTGTGCTTTATCTTTGCTTAACCCTTCTACTGAAATTTCAGTGATTATCCTTTCTCCTTCCTCTGCTGTGTCTTCAACAGGAATCGTCTCCAACTGTTCCTGATCACCACTATCTCCCTCTGGTTTCTGAACTACAGCTACTTGAACAGTTTCCCGAACAATTTTCTCAGTTGATCTCACTAAAACATTTGCTCGAAGCTTGGGAGCCATTTTCTTGTCTATTATTATTTCTTTAATTTCTTTGTTTTCTTTTTACTGTAATGTTCGTTTCTTTTCACTCTTCCTCAAAAGTTGCAAATCCAATTCAAAAGTGAATAACAGATTACATTGAAGATATTTATAACCTGCCTTAGACATGGCTAGAGAGTGAAATGTAGGGAGGCAGGTGTCACACTGTCGAGTTGTTGCAGATTGCAATTGCTACGTTGGGGGGTAAAAGTGAAATGAAATGAAATGGTAAGAGGTTCTGGAGGGGATATTCCAAGTCTGGCTTTATTGAAGCGTTCTAGTAACTTGAACACTCTTCTTCCTCCTTCCTGTTAAACACTAGAAATTTCCCCTGAAGAGGTTTCTGGTGTCCTGCAGCTTGGGTTTCGAGCCCTTTTAACACTGACTGTCATTAGCCCTTACAAGACCATGTTAATATGTTTTTAAGCCTTTACTAAGGTGAAGAGTTGTTGTATAGTTTTCGCTTACTGGCAATTCATGAATCACAAAAATGATAAAAAGGGCATAGATAGAACCAAATCTCCTCAAGATATATGCAGCAAGCATTACAAGTGATCTTTTGCCAGACTGTGGCATTGGCCCCAGAAATCAAACCCAAAGTCAGGGCCAGAGATTAATTTCTATTTTCTAGTGTGTCAGGTAAAGTTTTGTCCTCGTCAATTCTTTGAGCACTTTACACAATTCCTTCGCAAATAGGTGCCATTCACTACCACGTGCGTCTTGTGTTTTTGATAAAAATTCTCATTTAATTTATCCAAAATTCAATTGAAAAAAAAAAGAAAGGAGACAAATTATAGGAGTCTGACAGTAGTATCTATTTGGTTCTATGGTGAATCGAAACATTTAAAATAGCTCTCTAAAATTATCTCATCAATTATTTAATGATTATAAGAAAATGTTCCTTTAAATATGTAATTTATTGCTTGCAATTGAATCCTTGAAGCTATTCTTACAGTGAAATTTTTACGATTGGTTTTTTATGATAGAATTATGAGAACTGAATCTATAGTTCTTCACAGGAAGAATGTTAGATATTGAGCAATTAGCAACTTCGTTGATAGAGATTCTTGAATAATAATATAATATATTGTTTTGGCAGTGCATGGGCATAAGAGAGCATGGAGACAGACATTGGGATGGTGTGTGTCCGTAGTCTTGTGAACAAATTTGAGAAGTGAGGAAATATTGGACACGTAAAGGAAGGCCACACCACATGCTCATTCTCGATTGCTTACAAAAACAAAATTGAAATTCAACTCTCTGGGGTTTAAAATAATGTAATCTACTGATATGGGATTAACTTGTTCTAAAGTATTTTGAAAAAAATATAAAAGATATACACAAAATTTACACAAAAACAATTTGATAACATGGGCCGATCATACCAATAATCATGACAGAATATTGGGCATAAAGATGGCAAAACAGCTTGTCCTTAATAGGCTTTGTGCTACACTTTCTTCTTTCAAATAATGCATTAGTACAAAACAACTATAAGAAGTTTTTCTTAAATTTATCCTACCAAGTACCAATAGCATTTGTGAAATTTACATGCAATAAAATGTAGCCATAAATGAATAAAGGATCAGGATTTTAGTAACTTGCAAAATAGAAGAGTTCACATGAAAGTGAAGCAAGCCACCTTGAATTATAATTACTTTTTTGTCACATATTTCCAACAAATAGTACTCTTAATTGACAACCCTTTTTTTCCCTGAGATAAGTCAAGCTAACTTTGATCGTATCATATGCATCGATCATACATGAGGAATACTAAAAACAAGAAAATTTGATGAAGAAAATATGAAGGGTAAGTAACCCCAAGAAAATTTCGACATGGAAAATTTACATGGCGAGATGATATGATCAGAGAGATTGCTTTCATCAGGCACTCCTACATCTCCTCTTGCTACTACGAGACTCAACAGTAAATGGCTCAGAGTTTGATCGAAAAAACGACTCTACCTCTTCGCTTCTTGTAGTTTCAAAGAACTGCAACTCCGATAATTTCCTCTTGTGGGAATTTACCCTAACTTTCTTCTTGGGTGTCGGTGGGCAGCTTTGAATGGTTGGTATTTTGTGATCACTCGAAGTCGGTGTTTTGCACTCTTCTTCACCATCTTTCCTTGAAGAAGCACCTTCCTCTTCTTCTCCTCCTCCTTTTCCATCTTTTTCATGCCCTCCTCCTTCTTCTTCTTTTTGTTCTTGTTGTTGTTGTTGCTCAAGCTTTTGTAGACTTTCTTGCAGGATATTTTCATGGTGATCCTTGGACATGAAGGTGAAAGTGAAGAATACCTATAGCTAGCTAGGTATATGGAGAACTGTTGGAAAACTGAAATAGGTTTTGAGTTTGGAAAGTGAGAAAAAGAGAGTTTTTGAAATTTGCAGCCCTTGTAATTTGATTTTCTTTCTTATGATATTTTCAAACAATATTATTGTCTAATTTCTACTCAAATTTGGCACCTTCATTTCTTTGTACTTTTTACCGTCTTTATACCCTCTCTTAAGACTTTATTTCTACCTTTAGAATTAACCTTTTCCTTCGTTTAGAAAATGCTCCTAACCACGAAAAGGCAGTGATCTTATTATAATGACAGTCCACTGAAATTATGTCACTGCCAAGAAATGAAACTTAAAACATTATATTCATAGTCCCTATCAAAACAGCCCAAATCCCAAAATGAATGGTTATAAATTGACTTGAAGATCAGCCTATGCACTTCCCTATTATTCTAATTAATTTCACTGTTCTAATTTTCCTCTTTGGATAGCAACATTCCCTATACAATACTTAATCAAGAAGATTTCAGTTACACTGAAACGAAAAAAGTGTTGAAGAGATAAATCATATTTGGAGTTTATGAGAGCACATAAAAGAGTCTATACATATATATATTATTTGAACTCAAAAGCATAAATTATTAGGTTTTTGAGTCTTTCATGCATATATAGGATATTTCATTTAAATTTTTTATTGATATAAAATTTTTTACTCACATGTGAATTATATCTCAACAAAAAGTTGATAGGTTTTTATCTCAATTCTTCCTATAATGCATTAGACAAGTTCCTTTTATATATATATTTTTTTATATAAAGTAGGTTCATTCTAACTTAGAGATAGAAAAAGGTGTTGTGATATTAATATTTAAAATTTAAATTTATTAAATATTATTTTTTAAAAAATTATTTACAATAATCAATTGAATTCAAATTTTTTATATTATTTGACTATTTCCTTTTTCACCTAAGTATCACATGTACCTATTAAATAATGATATTTTATTTCTTCATTCCTTAAGGATTGATTTTAAATATCAACATTCATAATCTAATTTTCATACTTGAACATATTGACAACCAATGTTGGATTTTCATGAGCAAATTAGCTTTGGATTCAAAGCTGGGGGAGAGGACCCTCACCTTTCTCTCTGTCATATCAAAAAATATCTCTCTTTAGTTTGTCTGCATTTACAGCTACGGGCATAGGATACCGTTTTGGACTTGGAAAATAATTCGAGTCTTGACAAAGACAGAGAATTCCCTGTCACTTTATAAATTTATAACCTAAATAAATCACTGAATTATATATTTTTTCTCCATATCTTCCAGTCGCCCCATCATATTTCACCACCTCATCTCTTTAATGGCAAATCCCATGTTTTTATTAGTGAAATAATATATATTTTTTCTTGATTGGTGGCTGCAAAAACTAAAGAAAAATAATAATATTAGATGCTTAAAAAACCTAGAGATATATAGGCCTTTGAGAATATTGGGAGGGGAATGTCGGGTATGAAGGATAGAGCCATAGAGGGCATAGGGTACCCTTCAATAAGCAGCTTCCTTTTCTCTTCTTTCTTTAACATTTTTTGTTGTCTTCTTTTATACGTTTAATTTGTACCAAATTTGAAGGGTACCATATAAACAGATACTCCGTTGAATTTACCCTATTTTGTTCTTGCTTTCTTATATTTGTCTTTTACTATTTTTTTCCTTTTACCTGCCATCAAAGAAATTATTATTTATGTTACATAAAAAAATTAGTAATTTGGTTAAAATTTTACTGCAATTCAAATCATTGGTATTAGTTAATACAATCAAACATGCTCTTCTTATCAATTATAAATTATAGTATATTTTAAGTTTTTAAACATATTATGACATTTTGGGAATAAAAAAAGTTGCTTATGTTTTTTTTTTTTAGAGTAAAAAAAAAGTTGTTTAAGTTAAATGAGTAAAGAGTAAAGATTAAAAATTATCTCACAAATATATAGTCCGACTGAGAAATTATTTAAAGTAATCAGCGGCCAAGTAATTAATTATCCTCACAAATCTTCCCTATGGATGCGATCTACTGATAACTTTTATTCTTAAACCACTTTGAAAAAAAAAGTACAAAATGATGGGAATTAAATCAAATAAAGCTCATGGAAATCATGAGATCTGTTCACATATAAAAATTGAATTTTTAATTTCAATAATTAAAATTTAATTCCTGACAACTTCAAATATCTAAAAAAAATTCATTAAATTATTAATTTTCCTATTTACTTTACTTTCAGTCAAAAGTAAGTAACAAAAAAGTATAATCATATTTGATTTATCAAGACTAGCTTGTAGCTATAAAACTATACTTTTACACCCTCCTATAAAATCATAACACATCAGACTTTTTACACTTTGAAAATAGACTATTTCATGTTAGAAAATTAGAGAACGAAACAAAAATAGTTTAAAAAAAAATGATGACTTTGAGACATATACAACACTTTTCTTAAGACTTAATATACTTTTAGGATACAAAAAACCCTAAATACTCGAGCAGAAAAGTAAAAATGATTCTATGAAAAGTTCGTATAATTGATGAAAATTCATGTCTTTTCATAAGACAACTCTTGATGAGCAAATATAATTTTTCATCAATAATTAAACATAATTATTCTTAGTGCACAAATACAATTTTTACATAATGGGCAAATACAATAGTTTGTCACTAATATTAAGTATTTGGTCCACCAAAATTATCTTTTCTAATAAGAAATAATGAAATCCACCAATATTTGAAATTACCAACAAATCCCTTTCTAATTTGCTTTTATAATTTTCTGAAAAGCAAAGCCTCCATACAAGAATAGTTTTCCCCAAAAGCCATATAAAAAATTTCACATGAATAATTTTGGGGAAAAATTTTGTCCATTTGCCTCATTATGGTATTAACCTCATATGACGTCGTGGAACGTTTCATCAAACCAAACAATTAAAAAGGCCAAGCTGTTTTTGGTACATCAAAACCGTTCATGTGTATACATAACATTTACATCTAGCATGTCTCAAGCATTAATTAATGCACCATTATTGAGCCCTAAAAGTAACTTACACCTAATCTTTCTTTAAAGCCCCAAAAATCTTTCGTTTTAATTGTCAATCCGATAAATTAGAATGTAAAATATTATTAAAATTTATCACGTATGACATTATACATAAATTTACATATTCTATTATACAAATTAAATCACATGACATATTTTGACAAATTAAATTTAATTAAAGTGATAAAAAAGTCAATATAAAAATAAATAATATATACCGACTTAATCGGGTCCTTTTGGTTTAGGGCATGGACCGCCCTCGTGGTACCTTGTGAAGGAATGAGCTGGATAATATATATATATATATATATATATATATATAATTGTATGGAAAGAAAGCCTTAAAAGCCCTAAAAAGCAAGTTTATTAGGACCCGAAAGGTGCCCTATGAGGGATGCCTTTTCTTCTCCTTGAATTAGAATGAGCTGTAATAGGCGTGCCTGTTCTATACATTTCTTGTGGGTTTCCTTCACGCAATTCTTCTTCTTCTTTTGATGGCAATCTTCTCGCCGTAATTCCTTCTCTTGTTTGTATCGTTACTTCTTCCTTATTGTTCTTGTTGCTTAAAACAAAGCTCGTGTCCCCCTTTTTCCTTATTCCAACAAGCTGTAATTTTATAATTAATCATAATCTAACTTTGTTTTTAATCAATCCTTTACCTAGAAAAAGAAAAAAAAAAAAACTCGAAATAATGACTAAATGGCTATAATTTTTTTTGAATGTTTTGAAATTTAATATCGAATATTCAGATGATCATGAATCAATATCGTAGCAATGGAAAGTGTGAGCAACATTTGAAAGGGAAACATGAAGAGAAAAGTTAATTTTGAACTAACCTTACATCCCAAAGAACAGAAACGAAAGGGATCCAAAAGAGTTCTGCTACAAATTTCACACAAATGAGAGATCCCTTTGCTGCTACTGCTACTACTACTCTTTGGTTGCGGCCTCTCATTTAGGAAAAGAACTCTTGCACTGTTTATCACATATGTTTGCACTCCACTTATATCCAAAACCTTTTGAATTTCAGCAACTCTCACAACATCATGGTATGATGACCGTCTGATCTGCATTCAATCTCATCTTAGATGATATTCGATTCTATATATATATATATATATAAATACAATGATAAAGAAGCAAAGAAAGAAAAAAACTATGTGCACCTGACCTGAATTACAAGATGATCTTTGTGTCTTGAGGAACGGCAATAGAAGCAAAATGCATCATTCATGCAATCAAGGCAATACATATTACATTCGTTTCTTGGTGTGTCTCTATGTCTTGGGCAGATGGTGAAGAATGTAGCGGATAACAATGATTCAAGCCATGGCGGCACCATCATTTCTTCCTGTTTTTACGGTCCAGAGAAAAAACAAGTGATGAAAAATGATCAGTCAATCAAAAAAAAAAAATGAAATGGGAAATTTTCTTTTGTAAAAAAAGAATCAAATTAAGTTTGCATTACCATTAACAAAGATGATTAAATGCAGTAACGGGAGGTTGAAGGAGAAGAGAAAAAGTAGTTTAAAAGAAACCTGAAAATGGGACATAAGATTCATCAACTAAACAATGGGGATCAATTAAAGGACAAAGGAAGGCCGAAGGGGGCACATAAAAAATGTGGTAAAAACTTAGAATCGTAACGGTTTGGATTAAGAGAGGGTAGGTTGAAGTGTGTTTTGGACCGTTGGATTTGTGGGGAAGATTTTACAAAGAAAAAAAGAAAGAAAAATTTTAATGAAAGGTTTCTTTTTATGAGCTTACGCAATACTTTGGTTCTTCTTTGCATCTCTTGCTAAGTGACAACAAAATCGACGTATTGCATTTGGGCGGGTCAAGCCCCTTTTAGGAAAAGTTAAACTAGCCAGCCTATTATTCCCAAAAAAAGGAGAAAAAGCAATAAATAGATAAAATTGTATAATTTAATTTTTTTGAAAGGGGTAATGTTATAAATAATCTCTAAATTATAATAAAATATTTAATGTGTTACTTAAATTTTAAAAATATCTAACGTGATATTTGAAGGGATAAAATATTTAATATGATATTTGAATTTTAAAAATATCTAATATGATATTTAAAAGATTATTTATTCGTTACGTATCATCATTTAAAATTAACTATGTTAAAGATGAATATCATATTAATTATAAATTCAAATTTTATGTACCACATTAAAAAATTTTAAAATTTAGGTATCATATTAAATATTTCTCTCAAACATAAATCTCATTAACAATATTAACCTTTTTTAAAATTATAAATGCAAAATGCATGTGCTTTAATGAGCTAGACAAGGCAATTGAAAACTTCAAATATTGCTTTTATATTTAAATTTTAAATTTATTAAATATTACCTCTTAAAAATAATTCTATAAACTAATTGAACTAAACCTGAAATTCTAGTTTATTAGTTTTGCAAATTCAAGATGTTTAACAACTTGAAATGCTTCAATTTTAATTAATTGTGTAATTTATTGTAGTTAATTATATAGTGGGGTGCTTTTCATTTTAGATGTTTAATGTCATGGGAATTGAGGCTTGACCCAGTAATGACATTTATAAACATTGTTCTTAACAACATAAATTCTATCGAAAGAATAACAGCTATGGTGCCAACTGTGCTAAAATTGATTAGGACAGTGTTGTTTTCTTTCACTAGTTGGTCATGAACTTGTTTTATTTCATTGTAAGAGAAAAGATGATAGGCTGGAAAGCTTTGTTTGGTGGGTAAGAAATAATTAAGGACATCTATGAAGTTTAACTTTATTCATTAAATTAAGAACGAATTGAGAAATAAGAAGAATCTTTTGTGATAGAGAACAATTATTCAAATTTCATAATAGATTTGTTTGGTATTTGCTAAATATTGTTTGATGAATAAGAATATTTGCAGAAAAAGAATTTTAAGAGAAAAAATTTTTAATAGATAAGTTAAATTACTGTTTCTTGTGTACTTGATTGATTAATTATTTAATTTTACTTCCATTAGTGTGATTAAATTAGGGCTTTTTACCTAATAAATGGTATAAAAGCCAAAGGTTCGAGATGTAGAAAGAGCTAAAAGTTCAAGACATAAGAAGAGGTAAGCTTAGAGGAACTCGATTCAAGAGAAGATTTTGAGTTCAAATTTTGGGGATTGAAGATTGGTTTGTATGAAATATGAAGGCACATAAGAGAAAATGATTGTGAGACTTTCATTGCAGGTAGAGCCAAACATGTATAGTACGAAAACAGATGATTTGGTGAAATTTGAGTCAACGTGGGATTACTGGTAATAGTAACTTAAATCACATAATTTATTTGAAATTAGCTAAATATTACTTGATAGATAAGAAGACTTGAAAAAAATATTCTAAAAGAAAATAGATTCTTAATAAATAAGTTTGACTTACAGAATAAGAATTCTAAGAAAAAAGAGATTCTTAATAGGTAAATTTGTATGCTTATAAATATGTGAAGTCTTTATAAGATTAAGTATGAAAAATAGATATAAAAGAGTTGTAAGATTTTATGAGATAGATTCTTTATAAGACTACTGAATAATTATATCTTATTGGTGTGTATGAATGTTATGTTTGTGAGTAGACTAGAAGAGACTGAAATGATCCATATATATATGGTGCATCTGAGTGGACTAGAAGAGATTGAAATGGTCTATATAGATATGGTGCATGGGTATACAAAAATATACGTTTGTTTGAGTTGAGAATACTCCATAGAACTAAAAAATATTGAGAGGGTCTGTGGTTATTAGTTATGAGTGTTTGATTTGATTTGTATATTTGTAATTCTCTATAACTAGTAGATCTTATTTCTTATTCATGGACGTAGGTCAATTAGATCAAACTACATTAAATTATTGTTTCTTGTGTGTTTGATTATTTAATTGTTTGATTTCGCTTCCACTGATATGACTAAATTGAGATTTTTTGACTTAACAAGTGGTTTCAAAACTGTAATGATCCTCAACATTTTATACATTAAATCTTTTTATAATCTGAGATACTTATGTGATTAATTAATGGTACATAATAAAAAAAAAATTATGTGAAAAGAAAAGAAAAAGAAAGAACTAAGGGTTTAATGTAAACGGTTCATGAATTCTTTTAAAAAGTGGTTTCTTGTATGATTAAAGTTTATCAATCTTAGCATTTACAATTTTCTTTTTTAATCCCTTAAATTTTAACTTTTTTAAAATATGACAAAACTTCAACGGCTTGAATTAATTGAAAATAATGAAAATTTATTAATAATAAATAATTTAAAATTAATAAATTTATTTTTAATCAAATAATGATTTTATTAAAAATTAATAATAATGTTTTTGCAAATACTAAATTACAAAATAATATTTGTTCACTTAATTATTTAGGGTCTAGTTTTTTGTTTTATAATTATTTTTTTATTTTTAACTGATGATACATTTTTACATCTTAAAATAAAAATAACTAATATAATTTGTTATTTATATAGTTATCTATTTTAATTAATTACTTGATTATAAAGATGTTTATTTTTATTTATTTATTTAATTGTAACTTAATTGATTATAAAATTGATTATTTATTTATATATATTTTTTGCTATTTATTTATGAATTAGTTCATTAAATATTTATATAATAATTTGTAAAATAATTATAAGGTTATTTGCATAAATTTAAATAAAAAATAAAAATTAAACAAAATAATAATAATGACTAAGGGCTACACGTGGTGGTAAATTTTTACCTTTGAATTGTAATTTCAAAAGTAAAAAGAAAAAAAAAATATAGGGGTATTATAAAGTAAAGGTTCATTTGGATGGATAGTAAAATTTGTTTGATAAAATTAAAAATAACAAAAGTGATGAGATTAATTATTATAGTAATGAGATTAAAATATAGTGAGATATGTGTTTTGATAAAAATGTAACTATGACATTAAGATAAAGTGTAATGATAAAAAGAAAATAATCATTAAAGATATTAAATTAAATTGTTATATAATACAATTTATAATATTTTATATTTATAAAATTAACAAATAATTAAAAATTAATAAAATTATTTCTATATCAAATAATTACTAATTAATTTAATAAATGATTATATAAATTAATTTTTAAATTGTTATAACAAATTAATTTTTAAAACTTTAAATTAGAAAAATAAAAAAAAACAAAAATAAATAAATAATAAAAATGTCAAATTAAAGTGACCATGAGTGTAATACGTTATAATTTTAAAGGCATAAAAGAAAGATTATAGGAAAAGAAAAGCGACATGGTACAATTTAAAGGATCCAATTATGGTAGACTTGTTTGTCAAACGAGTGTTGAGTGTGCTTAAAGTTTTTAACTGTAGTTTGTTAGAATTAGATTTAATAATTTATATATTTATATTATGTAAAATATTAATAATTTATATATTAATTTTATATTTTATACAAAAATTATGTATCTGAATTCGTATTGATACGAAAATATAAAATATTTTTTTTTTAATTTTATTAAACTTGTTTGTAATTTTTGTTAAAATTTTAAATTGTATCATTTTCGAATTTTTTACTCATATCGTTTTCTTATGTGTTATTTTATCATATTTAAAATTATTAGAATTAATCGGATGTAAGTAGCCTTCCAAATAGGTTCTAAGAAATATACCCCATTGGTTTTTTTTTTTTTTGTTTAATTTGATTATTTTATTTATTTATTTGTTTTTTATTGATAATAAAAATTTATTTGGATAAACAATAAAATTAATTTTGGTGAGATTAAATTTTATTTATTTAGTAACATAAATATCCAATTAGTGTAATTCTATCAAACAATCACTATAAAAAAGAGAGAGAATGGCTTGGTCAAAAGATAATATTATATTGTTCAACAATTAAACCTTTAATTATTAAAAAAATGTAACATACTTATATTTTATTAATTGAGTAATTGAATTTTTGAACATTTTAATAATTTTATTTTTAAAATAATTATCTTAAATAGTAGCACTCGCTAATTTAATGTGATAATATATTAAGATATATAATAATAATAATAATAATAATAATAATAATAATAAAGAGAAGATTTATATGAAATTTTTTTTAGATAAAATGTGTTAACTTTTTATTAAAAATATTAAAATTAAAATTAAAATTGAAAATAAAAATTTATAAATTGAAAGGTCTTGTTACATATATTAAGTGAGTAAAATTTGAAAAAAAAATTAATATATTTTTTATATAAACATTTTTAATAAAAATTTTATTAAAATTTTTATAATAAAATAAATATTTATTAAATTTGAATTATAAATAATATTTTTAATAATTTTTTATATATTATTATTTTTTACATTAAATTTCATCAATCTATCAATTTAAATATTTATTAAGTCATTTTAAAAACTAAAAAACATCACCTAAAAAATTTTTATTTAAGTTTTTTCTTAATAACAATAATAAAACCATTACAAATTGTTATATAAAATAAAATTTTGCCTTTAGCATTTTAGAAAGTCAAAAGATTACGATGGCCCCCAAAACGAAAGAGTCAACGTAAAAAATGTACCGTTGAATTACAGGAAGTTAAAGCCGCCGACTCCCAAAAAAAAAAAAATCCGCGAATACCCGATTGGCTGATCTCTAAAACCCTAGGAAAAAAGTCAATCCCTTTACTGTTTCATTGCTATGGCAAGGGCGGCTCTTCTCTGTTTGTTAAGACATCGCACCGCCGCTGCCACCTCCACCTCACCTCTCTCCACGTATAGATGCGTGAGTTTGTAATGCCTTCTTTTTTTTTCTTTTCTTTTGATCATTTAATGATTCGTTTGATTGATTCGTATTTCCGCTTTATGGTTCTTTAATTGTTTAAGCAGCTGAAGACTAGCAATAGTAAGACACCAGCAGCTGGGGTTGGGCGGGCAAGTTTTTGCAGACCTTTCAGGTTGAATGGGTTTTTGGGTCTTTTCCTTTTTAAGTTTTTTTTTTTTTTACTTTGAAAAAACTAAGTTTTGAATTGGTTTTTGTTAAAAATGGGTATTTGTTTATTTACTCAGTTCAAAAGCTGCTGTAAATGATGTTATTGGTATGGATTTCGCGAATACGGATTCGGGTGTTGCAGTCATGGAAGGAAAGGTAAGAATGAAATATATATTGGAAGTTATTGCTGATTTTTTGTGTCATTTGAAGTTATTGTTCAAATTTTCCCACATGATATACCAACAAGATACTTGGGTGTGCATTGGTCTCTGTGATGCATCATAAGAAATAGTAGTGATTAGATATGGAGAAACAGAGAGAAAATAGTGAAGGGAGAGAGAGAGCAACTTCTGATTTCAATTTCCAAAACACCAAGTCAGACTAAAATTTACGATAACAAGATTTATAATGTGACATTAGCTATATCTAGAACAAACAGGGGAATTCTTTGTAAAACAAAGTAGGGGAATTGCATAAATTACCCTGTCTATAACTGGAAAAACCCAACGGTGGTCCCCCATCACTATATCTTGATACTGCTATCATTGTTTCCAACTTGTACTTTTTTGTCCTGAAGAAAGGGGGGAATAGGGTTGTGGAAGGTTTCAGTTTTATGATTGGTTATTTCATCTTGTCTGGTAGTTTTTCCATATTTCTGTATCGTAGTAAAGCTGCTTGAAGGCATTTATATGTTGAATGTCGTTTGAAATTCAAATTAACATGCCTGTAAGTGTCACAAATTCAGTTATGTCCCAGGGTTGAACTCTTTTCTGATTTTGGGAGAGTGTAACTGAAAAGAGGATAGTTGCTTTTAGAAGACATTCTTGCTAAATGAGAGGTAGGTTTCCCTAAGATGAGAAATTGATGTTCTTAAAATAGTTAAATCTTTAGGTTTATATGGCTCTATGTTACAGAATTGGGTTATGGCTGATAAAGGAAAAATTGCCTGTGGTGGTCCTCCAGGTCCTCTCATTTGTTAACGAGAATTTCTTGTCTTTGGGAGATTGCTCAATAGCAATAATGGAAGTCTGGCCAGGTGTTTGATCATGTTTGTAATTGTAACTGTAAAACAGACTAACAGTTAAAGAAAATGCCTATGTTATTTGGAAAATTTCTCCTTTGGCATGTCTTTTATTTTTAATTGTTGTTGCACATAATCTCTTACATATTCCAAACGTGTCCTGGAAGAAATACTTTGTTTATTGCCCTTTCTATCTTGTTTTTGTTTATCATTCTACTGAGATAGTGGGACATTTTCCAGGAACGACTTGACCCGTTTTCACTTGTTGCTGATGAACTGTCAGTTATTGCTAGCAGGTTGCGGTCAATGGTTGTTGTTGAAGTATGAAAATGTTCTTTCTCCTATCATTTAACAGAGTTTTATTAGTTTTTCCCTTTTCTTGTGTCAAAAGGGAAAGATCTTGCTATCTTGTGATAATAGCTGGATATCCATTTCCTACAGGTTCCTAATCTTGCTTCAGCTGCTGAATACTTCTTCAAAATTGGGGTAGAAGGAAAGAGGTTTCGTCCCACGGTAATAACAGTAGTGATTGAATGCTAATTTTAAATGTTGTTGTCTTTTCTTTGACCATAGTTAATTTTTTGGGTCCCATGAACTATATGCCTCTTTATTCTTTTGCATAAGGATCACATTGTCGTAAAAGGCCTTTGAGATTAAGTTATTGTCTACATTTGGTGCTCAATCTCAGTCCTTAAGTTGAGATTTAAGTAACCTAAGATACTTAACTTGAAGCTCAGGCTTCTAGTCATTCCCCATTCTTTTGGAACTTGCCTTATTCACACAATATGAGTAACATAGCCCAATTTAGATGTGAAACTTTAGCATAAAACTATTTCTTTGTGGTTATTTCTTTTGTTTTTATGTTTTGAGTTCTTAAGTTTATTTTATGGGTATTTTAGACTTCTGTTACTTTGAAATCATTGCTTGTGATTTTTAAACCATTCATCTATATTTCAGATTATGGTTACTTTAGTTGTTCTATGTAGGTTTTGCTTTTGATGGCAACAGCTTTGAATGTGCATGTACCTGAACTACCTCCTGCTGGAGTTGGAGATACCTTACCAACTGATTTACGTACATGTCAGCAGCGCATAGCTGAGATCACAGAGATGATCCATGTCAGTTAGATATTTATGTTCCCTTTTTGTTGTATGCGCTCAATTTTACCTCTGCATTTGCTTTCATGTCAAGTAACTTTTTCAGAGTTGCTTCTATACTGATGTGGTCATTCCCTTGGATCAGGTGGCAAGCCTCCTTCATGATGATGTCTTGGATGATGCAGACAAAAGACGTGGTGTTGGTTCATTAAATGCTGTAACGGGCAATAAGGTTATCTCATTTTATTTTATTTTTTTTGTTCCCATGATCTGGAACTGATTGCTTTAGTTTTCCTTTTCTTTTCTTTTCTTTTTTTGACAAAATAATTTCTTCTATTGGATTTTAAATATGTTAAGTTTCCATCTCTCCCTCTCTCTCTCTCTCTCCCCACCAGCTCTCCCTTCTCTTCCAAAAAAAATTCAGTTCATGTAATTTTTTCATGCAAGTTCTCATTGTTGTTTTGAGACTCTTTTTGTGTTAGATCTCTCTTGACAATTTCTGGTTTTATATTAGCAATTCTTACCTTATGCTAATCAAGTTGTTTATGGATCTTTCATCTGGCTCAAGAAGAAAGTTAATGGAGGATTATAACCAAATTTTCTTTTCTAAGAATTTTTGTTTATTTATAATGCAGTTGGCTGTGTTAGCAGGAGATTTCCTGCTTTCTCGAGCATGTTTGGCCCTTGCTTCTTTGAAAAATACAGAGGTACTTTTTCTCCCTTTTTTATCTTGTCGATGATTGTGTGGGTGAGTCAGGAGATGTGATTATGTATTGACAAGCGATATGGACTTTCACCTGTTACATACTTTCTAAATCTCTGTCTGGATGCTTTATATCATTGTTCCTTTTCTTATGTTGGTTTTCTAGTGACTGACATTCATTCATAAGTTGAAGTTAACTAATTATCTGTGGTTTTTTTTGGGTATATTTAGGTTGTCACCTTAATTGCAACAGTTGTGGAGAATCTTGTTACAGGTGAAACCATGCAACTTACAACTGCTTCTAAACAACGTTTTAGGTATGCTGCTTTGCTGCTTTTCATTTATTCACTTCTGACTTGCATTTATTTTATAAGAGTTGACTAGTAAAAGTCCTATAATAAAACATCGTTCTTTGTTCTTAGATTAAAGTGCTGTTTGATTCTGGACTGTCCTTTGTTCCTATTGGGCTTCTGGCATTTATAATGATTGTTTTTATTTTGCTTCTCTTTCTGCTTAATGCTTGGCATGGTCACCTAGCATTGATACTGCAGAATAGATGTAAAATTTGATCATTCTACTTTCAGAAGTAATGAAGGCTTGATGTTATCTTCAGCCTTTGACCTTTTCTGATGCTTTCTGTTTTCTGATGAGAACAAATATTCAAAGCCAGATAAGCAGTATGCATAAGGCCTGCAAACCCAAGTTTTCTGCTTACCTAGAAACCACCCTTGCTGTGAAAGAAATCAGAGCGCATAACAAAAAGAAAGGATAAAATATGGAAGAGAAAAAGGGAGTGAATTAACACTTTCCATTGTGCCTTTACCAAACACACTTCTCAATCAGCTGCCAAGAAATCTGTCCAACTGTGTTACATTTGAAAAGAGGGGTTGACAAAGGGAAGAAATTTAGATAGAAAATGGTTAAAGTTGATGCAGTTGGGTGTTGTCTGAAGGGAGAAAAAATTGCAGTTTCTTTGTCTCTATCTGATTGTGTATCCATGACCAGGACAGACTAATTTTGTGAATTATTGCTGTCCTCCTTAGCAGTTTCAGGATCTGCATTTTTAATTAACTATGTAGCTTTTTTTGGTAAATGCAGCATGGAATATTACATGCAGAAGACATACAACAAGACTGCATCCTTGTTATCAAACAGCTGCAAGTCTATTGCTATTCTTGCTGGGCACACGGCAGAAGTTGCAATGTTGGCCTTTGAGTATGGCAAAAATCTGGTTTGTAAATTCCACAAATTTTCTTGGCTGGAAAAAAAAAATCAAAATCCTTTGACTTTCTTGTATCTGCCTAGAAAAATGCAAGTTTAGAAGTAGCCATTTTGAGATTATGCTGCATGTTATAATAGAGGCAGTGGGGGAGAACTTTGTGGATTGGAGTAACACCACACTCTTAAAAACAAATTGATGAAGACTTCTCTTTATAACTAATAAACATGTATGTGAGATATGGTTGCCCTATATACGGGAAGATTACTAAAAGGAACTTTGATATCCCCATTTTGTTCTTTTTTCAGGCTTTAGTCAATGAAAAATGATGCAAAAATATGGTTCTGAAGATATAGTAATAATACTCTTTCACTCAAGATAGTTTGAAGGGAGTTTTAAGTTTTGGGTCTGGCTCAATCATTTTTGTTGCAATTATGACATGGTGCATGAGGTATAAAGTTTGTTACATGCTTTTAAAACCATGGTATGCCATGTTGATATTCAGTATTTTATCAACTGTCAGGAACTTTTAGGTACTCTAGACTAGAATATTAGAACAACTTAACACCAATTCATGACTTTTTATGCCATGTCATCTGGCAGTATTTACATTGTCCTATTTCTATGAATTATGTGTCTTTAGGCTCATCATCTGCCTGTTTTCTTTACTTTTTCTTTTTTTTTTTACAGGGATTAGCATTTCAATTGATAGATGATGTTCTTGATTTCACAGGCACATCAGCATCCCTTGGAAAGGGTTCTTTATCTGATATCCGACATGTAATTCATCTACCTTTATGTCTTATCACAGTGCTTGAATCTTTTTTTCTTTAAATGAGAAATGGGGAACTTCATAAATGGAAATGATTTACTTGTTAGAAATGATGGAAAGATGAACCTCTTGGCAGTCTTGGATAAGCCTTCTACCCACACTTGGTCTTCAACATTTAAGCTATATATTGCCACTTTATGGCAGCTGCATTCCCATCCCCCTTAATGTCTAAGTTTGCAATTCTTAGTTTCAAAACTTTTAAACCCTTGCTGTGTCTCTACCCTTAGGGCAATGGGTCAGCTGATGCTCTCTGAACTCATCCGCGAATCTAAAAGCTTGTCTAAAGGTCAGTGGAGGCATGTTATATAAATCATGATAGGTACCATTGTGCAATACTTTTCTTTATGGGAATGTTTTCATCAGTTGAGCCTCTCTGAACTCATTTAGGAATCGATTGAGCAGAAAAAAAAAATGAACTCATTCAGGAATCTGAGACTTGCACAATATTGTGTGAGCCATGACAGGTGGCCTTGTGAAATAGTTTTCTATGTGGAAATATTCATTCTTATTAAAGAGCAGAAATGAAGGGTTCTTTAAGAATATAAACAAGGTTGTATTTTGAATGGAATACTGTGTTAAATGAATGTTTGTCAGTGGCATATAAATGATAATACATCCAGTTGTCATAATTATCTTCTTGCAGGGAATCATAACAGCTCCAATCTTGTTTGCCATGGAAGAATTTCCTCAATTGCGTGCAGTGGTTGACCAGGGATTTGACAACCCTGCAAATGTTGACATAGTAAGTTTATATTTACTGATCTAGTTTTGTATTTAATTTCTAATACCATTCTGTTATGGTGCTCATTATACAGAATTTTTAAAATTTCAATTGTTACTATGTTGGTGAAAGCTTAAAGAGAAATTTAGCTAAAAGTTCTTTCTAGTTTCAACTTTTCACTTTACTTAACTATTCCTAAGGCTTTTAAAAAAATTGTTACAGATTTTCACTGTTTTAGTTGTTCATTAATAACAAAAAGGAAGAAAAAGGAAAGGAACAAAATTATTCTTTTAGACATGTCAACACGGTGAACTGGTTTCTTATTTTAAAGAGAAATTTTGATACCTAATCTGGTTCTACTTTCCTAGATGGCCAACTGATGATCTATTCAAGATAGTTGTACAACTTGTAGATTTTAAAGTGATTATGCTTGAAACAGTGTTTGATTTTAACCATGTGCTCTTTTTGCCATTTGCTTTAAGGAACCTTTTTTTTTTTTGGATGAATTAGCTATTAAGAAACCTTGTTATTAATTGTATCATGTATGTTATCTTACCAAGTATTGAGTTGATCTATTAATGAAAATATAGGCCCTTGAGTATCTTGGGAAGAGTAGTGGAATACAAAGGACCAAGGAACTAGCCATGAAGCATGCTAACCTTGCTGCAGCAGCGATCGATTCTCTACCCGAAAGTGATGATGAAGATGTAATAAGGTCACGGCAGGCACTTGTAGATCTCACTCAAAGAGTAATCACCAGAAATAAGTGAAAAAATATTATTAAATTAGATTATAATACATTCTGCAACCTTTTTTGGTAGTATGTTGTAGGTACCACAAGTTCAAGAAAATTTTAGTTTTTGGCCCACTGATATTTGGTTTGTGGGTTTTTTTTTTTAATCTTATTCTTAACATTGTATTCAAAAACCTTTTTCCCAATGTATTGCATTTTTTAACATGTCTTTTTTTCACCTTAAATTTGCTAAAGTAATGAAGTTAAACCTAAACCCTAATCTTTCTGGATTCTCCATTTATCAACTGAAGTCGAAGAAAGGGGTTGCTGGCAATGGAAGTTGAACTTTAGATCCGTTAAAATGTCTTTCACATGAACCAGCTGAGCTAAGCTTTATTTGCTTGGTCTGTTGTTAACTCTACCTTAACATTATAGAAGTGTTACTAACCAAGATTGGCTGGCAAAGCCGCCCACCTTCTAAAGAGTAAGATCCTCGAAATGTCAAAAGAGTCTGAATTGATCAGTTCAAAAAGCCCTGTTTAGAATACAGCTTTGGAAACAACTTTTGACTTTGGGGGGTTTAAAAGGGTTGGGCATGATTAGACCATATGGACAAGACCAAATTATTGAAGATGTTGGATGTTTTCAAGGATCCAAACTTTAAAACTCATCATTATTATCTCAGTCCCCCTTTTTCTTCACCTAATTGATTGATCTTGCATAAAATTATATACATTTGCTCTACAATTTTATTTGGATCATTTCAACCCCATTTATATTTTTGCTTTCATCTAAACAAGCTCTTTCTTTCTTTGATGATACTTGAATTGGCAAGAAAATTTGTAAGAGTTTCATTGTAAAAAAAGTAATTAAAAATAAAAAGTACTGCATAGATTAGATTTACAATTCGCTGTTTGACAATCACACATCAAATAATGGTGCAAATAGTTTGGTTGGTAACATATGGGAAATTGTCAAATTACATCATGATTGACCTTAAAAAAGCAAAATGTTTGCACTCTCAAAATCACATTTTGAATGAGTCTCACTTACACGTAAAATTTAATTTGTTAGCTTGATATAGATAATGAAATTCAAATAAAAGATAAGATACTCAATCAAATCTAGAAAGAATCTATAATTACTTAAGATTGTTAAAAGATAAAGATTCATTTTCTTTTTGGTGAATGAGTCACATAAATTTAAAATTAAAAATCAAATCATCTATGATCATTAAGTAGATTTTCTTTTAGCCTCTATCTGATTTTTTTTTCTTTTTGGTACATTAAAGAGAAAAGGGTGATCTATCATATATTTACAAGAAAATGCTAAAATATACATTGGGGAAAAAGTCAAAGGAATATATAATATTGAGAACAACAATATATAGATATATTTTTTTTTATTGATGAGAACGATAATCTTAACATCAAGTAACATCGACCCATGTCTCAAATTATGTCGAATTTTGTAATAAAAAAAAAAAAAAAACTATGATGACTTTCTTAATCATATAGTTGTAATGATTTTCCTTTTAAATGGTTGGTGACAAATTGATATAACTTAAGTCTTTGCATCATCCAAGGAAGACATAATGTTATGAAATAGTAGTCCTTTTGCTTCTCATTTTTGTCTTCTCATCCATATTTTTCTTGATTAAAAAAAAAAAAAAACCAATGGCAACAAAATCATAAAGACTAAAGAGAGAACAATGCCTTTGTAGTTTCCACTTATGCCAAAAAAATGGCATTTTCAACTGTATAAACATTTCTTAACAAGGAGAGGACATTAATGAGTACTTCAATTTGTGGTTAGAAGAGAAATTTAATAAAGGATTGATGATTCCAATGTTTGATGATTAATTCAAGGCTTTGAAATTAATCAAACGACCATTTGTAGCCTTTAATCCAACCTTTTGATCTAAAAGGTTAATTGCTTTAATCTATTTGTAACTTTATGCTTTATAGCATAAATCATAAGTCACTTTTTTAACCATATAGATGAAATGAGTTTTGATTACTTAATGGTCCTAGAAAAATAACAATGGCCAACATCCTTTTGGTCGAGTAGTTAAAAAAAAAAATTATGACATGTTAGCAAGTTCGAATTTAAATTCTAAAAATCTCAAACTCTCTCACAACCTCAGAAAGGATATTTTAAAGTGGGATTGTGGGCAATATGCAACCGTTTTAGGCCTGATGTCATGTCAATCCCCTACAATGTTTTGAAGGTTATGGCTCTATTTCTTGTGCAAATCATGATTCTTTTTTCTTGATTGTCCTTTGATGAAAAAGCTTGCGTATGGCTAATATTTACTGATCTAATCAGAGATTAGTAAAACTGATGAATGATCATTGATTTTTCCTTGCGATAATAATCAGTGATGCAAGCAAATCTTTTGTATTGGTTTCCCGAACAGAGATTTGTTTCACCCAGAGATTTGTTTCTTGAAACATATGAATTGCATGGAACCTCCATACTCCAATCAACATTCAATCATCAAATTATAACAATACTACAATTAAAAACTATTCGAGTTGATCGAGGAACAAGGAAGGAACACATTGGATTTTTCAAGTCAAACAAGCGTTGCCAGTAAATTATTGGTTAAACCCAAATTTACATTAATGGTCTCATTAAACAAAGTTTTGACTAAACAAGAACCAGATTTCATATAAAAAAACAGTTTTAATTATTTAATTCGTATCACAAATTACAATGGAGTGGCAATTAATCCTTGTTTCTATCCCAATGATGGTTCACCCTCTATAATAAAGAAAAAACTCAAAAAAGAGAGGCTAAATTTGATAGCAACATGTCAAAATCTCCAGCCAAAATTCCATAGTTTACAGCTAGATAAGAACATGTCCAGGACCCAAAGGGACCCCTAAAAGGTAATATGTCGTATGAAAATATAATAACAAAAAATTCTGAAATTTCCAGTATCTTATGGGATCTTGATTCTTGCGTGAAAACTCTGTGAAGGAAGGAAGAGTCGGTGCTTTGATGGGCTCCTAAAATATTATCCCAAATCCCTACAGAAAAGGCAGACATAAAAAAAAAAAACTCTATATATATATATATATATATATATGCATCCATTTAATAAATTCATTTCACACATTCATATAATACAAAAGTTTTCATAAAAATTATAATAATTTTCGCTCAAGTTTTTATATTAAGAAGTGAATATATCAAATGAGTGTATAAGGTAAGTGCATGTAGCTGTGAGAAAGAGCTCGTTTTCTTTAAAGACTTTCAGTTTCAGAGGGAAAAAAACACTATCAGAGGTCTTTTTCTTTAGGGAAGAAAACAAACAAGAGGGAACATCCCCACTCCACACCACACACCACACATCCAGTCATAGCACCATCCCTTTCTTTAATAAATTCCTTCCTAGCCTTAGATAATGTACTTTTTCTTTAAATAGAAGGTAAAAAAAAGAGAAGAAATTCTTTTAAAAAACCGAAAAACCCCTTCAAATATATATTGCAGAAACAGGGTTTCTGATCACCATGTGAAACCGTACAAAATATCTCAAACTTGATTAATGATTGATTATTGCCTTATTTACTCATTTATATTACCTATTGCTTGCTCTTCACCTACCTCTAATAATAGTAGTCAACCATATATATAAGGATAGCTCTTAAATTTGTTTTATTTAAATATTTACATATAAGTTTTTGGCCTGCAGTTGAAACTGATTTTAGCATTCAATAACAAAAAAAAAAAAAAAACAGCCTTTGAAGTTTTCACATAGTAATATTGTTTTTATTCTGTGACAGACAGAAACAAAAAGTACATATCCTATCACCTACCGGCATGGTGTATGTGTATATATTAGCCTCATTTACCGCGTCTTTGCTTCAAAGTTGTGAACTGTGCAGTGGATATCTGGAAAACTTTTGCTTTTTCATAATGGAAAAATTCAATGTTCGTCTTCTCCTGGTTTTCTGTTCTCTTTCTTTGTTTGACGGAGGAATAGCCAGAGCTGTCAAATCCCAAGGTGGATCAGAAGAATGGGGTTATGTTGAAGTGAGACCAAGTAAGCAAAACAATAGCTTCATAATTTGTACAATCCTCATTCATTTTGCTGTTTTCTTCAATCCAAAAGTTTTATGTGAATGATTCTCATCTTGGCTTTTTTTTTTTTTTTGGTGTCCTCTTGAGTTGTATTATAGAAGCACACTTGTTTTGGTGGCTTTATGAAAGTCCTTACAGAGTTGAACAGCCTTCCAAGCCATGGCCAATCATTTTATGGATACAGGGTGGACCTGTAAGTTATCTATATGAATCTGCTGCAAAATGAAATGTCATGAAAAAAATATGTGTAAAGTGAACTAATGAGCAAAGCAGAGAATAGTTTTGAATTTTCTTTTTCATGTTTCATTTGTAAAAAGCTTAGACTAGATTTCAGTTCTGCTTCAATTTTGATATCGTTTGGATATTTGATTTCTTCTCAATATAGGGTGCCTCAGGGGTTGGAATTGGAAATTTTGAGGAGATTGGGCCATTAGACACAAACTTGAAGCCAAGGAATTCTACTTGGTTAAAAAAAGCTGATCTTTTATTTGTGGTTAGTTAGCCTGCCATAATTCAATTCTCTGACTTAATTTACTTTGAGTTTTAATGGAATTTAATGATTTTGATGTGATATAGGACAATCCAGTTGGAACTGGATACAGCTATGTGGAGGATGCAGAGTTGTTTGTGAAAACTGATGATGAGGCAGCAACTGATTTAACTACTTTATTGATTCAATTATTTAATACAAATGAAAGCCTCCAAAAGAGTCCTCTGTACCTTGTGGCAGAGTCGTATGGAGGAAAATTTGCTGTCACTGCTGGATTATCAATTCTGAAATCCATTGAAGCTGGAAAATTGAAGCTAAAACTTGGAGGTAAAACAGCTGTTAATTGGCATTATTTTATCCAAATAATTGTCTTCAAGAACTGACTTTTCTACTATGGTTGATGTGAATTTGAAGTTTTGAACTGAATTTTGATATGTAGGAGTTGCATTGGGAAATAGTTGGATCTCACCGGAGGATTTTGTGGTAAGTAGCTTCATGTAAATAGTAAATTTCCCATTGTATCTAACTTGGAAATGGATTCTGAACTGGAATTCGCAGAACAGAATGCCTGCATTGGGGTATTATCTAAACATTTCTTTCAATCTGAATGCTACAGTTTTCTTGGGGGCCTCTTCTTAAGGATGTTTCAAGGCTGGATAACAATGGTCTGGAAATATCAAACAGGTCTAGATTTTTTTTTTCTTCATTTGCAAGAAACAAATGTAAATAAAACAGTTCTATAATTAAATGTATATGTCATCTGATGAAATACCAATTTGGAAAATCAGCCTGGCTGAGAAGATTAGCCAGCAACTCAAAGATGGTCAATATACTGAAGCAACAAATACATGGCTTCAACTTGAGACCGTAATTGGTGACAACAGCAATCAAGTGGTATGGTATTTTTTTAATTCTTTTTATCTTCATTTTTCTGGCCTCAAATTTATTATTTTTTCTCGTTACCCTGAGAGTTTTTGAGTAAATTTGCAGGACTTCTACAATTTCCTTCTGGATTCAGGAATGGGTCCAGTAGCTTTAACAGGTTCAGCTTTCTCCAATGGGAATTTTGCAGTGAACAGATACTCAAGATATCTGAATTCCTTGAGGTTTGCTGCTGGAAATAATGAGGGTAATCTTGATAGTTTGATGAATGGTGTCATCAAGAAGAAGCTTAAGATCATCCCAGCTAATGTGTCGTAAGCTTTAATTTCTCTGCTTTTGAACTATAATCTCTGCTAAATCACTCTTCAAATTTTGATCAAAGTACAATTTTATGTGTTCAATAGATGGGGAGGGCAGTCAAGTTATGTTTTCTCATATTTAGAAGGTGATTTTATGAAGCCAAGGATTGCTGAGGTAAAAATCAGAAGTCAAATTTTGATTAAAGCAAATTAATCCTGGAAAAAGACATTGCACCTATTCCCAAATTCTTTTAATTTTTTGGTCAATATTTTGAATACATGCATGGTTGCTGCCAAATTCTGTCATTACCATCTTGTTTTATCAAAATTTGTTTTTTCTTTTTCCAGGTTGATGAGCTGCTTTCTAAAGGAGTCAATGTCACGGTCTACAATGGGCAAGTAAGACTTCTTCCAAACTCTCCCAGTTACTGTTACACCCATTTTTTTTTTCACAAAAAGGAGGAAAGTAGAAACTAATATAGATAAGAATAATGGTGATTTAAGAAATGGACCACCTGGTGGCCAAGTTGAATAGCTGAATTTTGGACAGCTTTGACTTATTTTTGTTCTTTTTCCGGTTTAAACTTTAACATTAATGATGCTATTGTTGGATGGATGGGTCATTGCAGCTTGATGTAATTTGTGCAACAAAGGGAGTTGAAGCCTGGGTTGATAAGCTCAGGTAAGACTCCTATTTTCCCTTCTATCTATGTCTTCTTGGCCATTCAAAATTGTGCCACATCTACATATATATAAAAAAGATTTCACGGTTTTATCTATATCTTTCTCTAGTTACTTCTATTAACAAATTTTTAAGCTTGTTTATTGAAAATCTAAGATAATTTATAGTATAATTAAATTTATCAAGATGATATTGACATGTACAAATAAAAGATATGAGTTATATATTTGGAATTGAGAAGATTTCATTTTATATATTTTCAGGTGGGAAGGACTCAAAGATTTTCTAAGCAAGAAAAGAACTCCTCTTTACTGTAAAGACGATCAAGCTACCAAAGGCTTCATCAAATCATACAAAAACCTGCAATTTTATTGGATTCTTGAGGCAGGACACTTTGTAAGTAAAAAACTACTAACATCTTACCAAAAACCAAAAAAACCCCATGTTTTCAATCTGTAGAAATACTATGATTGTCATGTCTCCATCATCATCACCATCACTATCACCGGCATCAATCTAAAGAAGTACAAATTCATACACAAGCAAAAACAAATGCTTTCATTAAACAAGGAAATCCATAAAATACATATTATGATTATTTTATGTTGAAGTTTTCCTCAAAATTTGTACTATTTTTATATAAGAAAACAAAGAAACAAAAAAACAACCCAATTTTGATGCCTTTTTACAGTAATACTTGTGAGTTGAGGGGACAATGTGCAAACCTACCAACATAATTTTCTTACAAAAAATTATTACTGCACATTCCTCTGAGTCTAATTATTTAGAAACTAAAACATATACTAGTCTTAGTTTTAGACCATTTTTTTTTTTTTTATAAAAGAAGCCGCAATTGAAGATAGAAAAATGGATCTTAAATATTAAGATTTAAATTCAAACATAGATTTTGACTATATATTTACTTTCACAAGCAGGATGAAAGGGTGAGAAAGGTTGAAATTATTTTTTTTTCTTTTTTTTACGAGTGGAAATCTTATTTTTCCTTTTGTTGTTTATGTTTGTTTCCATCTGCAGCATTTGATTGACAAATTTGAGATGCAAAATCAGGAAGTAGGGTACATAAATTGGTACAGAAAGTCAATACATATATGAAAGTCATAAGTCAATGCAATAATCTATGGTGAACGAAAGACTAACCACTGGGCACTGTCACTCTGTCAGGCAATCAGCAGTCCTACCATCTGACAATTTGTCTGATATTCTCATAATTTCACAATATTATAAAACAAAATAAAAATGTTTACATATCTGTCTTTCAGAAATTTCCAATGCCATTAGAAATTATATGCATTTTGCAACATAATGGAGGTGAATTTATGGCTATTACTATTATTAACATTTTTAATTATAATTATGAATTATTTGATACAGGTACCGGCGGAGCAGCCCTGTGTATCATTAAACATGGCTGGTGCAATCACACAGTCGCCAGCTGCAGAAGCTTCTTAAGTATTAAAAAGGAAAATGACATTTCAATAAAACAAACAACAAGGAAACAGAGGTTTGCTTATCTTCAGAAATAGTTCAGAAGCTGAGACCACACGAAAAGCAATTATTGCACAGAGAGAGAAGATTATCGATGAAGAGGAAAGCTAGCTATCTGCTCCAGGTTGTACTTTTTTATGATCACGTTCACAGGGTAAGAGAAAGAATACAAGTAGGTTATTGGTTTTTTAGAACATTGCAAATGAAAAATCGAAGAAGGGAAGAAAAAAATTTTAACCAACAAAAGCTGAGATCCATGGTTTTTGTTCCTTTGGTTGTCACACCCAACATTAAAAGGTTGGGACATTATAGTATAGGTTTGAAAATCTTTAATTTCTAAGACCCAAACTTCAATGCACAACTGTAAGAGATAATGAGACAATATAAATGGCATTTCAGCAATAAGGCCGTTTGATATTGTGATCACAATTGTCAAATTTGATCACAATAAAACGCAAAAATATGATTAAAAACTGCAATAGCTTGTAGGTGTCTATAAATGTAATTTAAAGTAATTGCAATTGCAATGCCAAATTTTAGACTAAAAATAATTGCTAATCAACAAATAAATAACAAAATCCTCATTGAGAAACAAATCCTCAAATAAACAACAAATTCCTTTTTTTTTAAATGGGATCATGAATTTTGACTGAGTAAATCTTTGAGTGTTGTAGTGCTTTTTACTGGGTCCCAAGAAATACCCAAAGCCCCACAAAAAAGGGTCACCAGGGGCGGCCAGAGTTGCTGTTGACGGAAGACTAGCAGGGGGTAAAAACAAACTTTCAAATGTCTTTCTTAACTGCAGGAAAAGAAAAAAGTTCCCAACAGGCCAAAATTTCATTTATAACAGCCCGTAGCCCATGCCCAATGCCTTCTTTTTTTAATTCCTTCACGGATTTATTTCTGTTTTCTGCTTTGCGAAGAGTGAAAAAAAAAAAAGATGAATAAAAAACCTCTAGTGAACATTTATCAGAAACTGCTATTTCTTTCTGGTACTTGATAAAATATTGCTGTTTGTTTCACTTGCTGACGGAGTAAATGCTATTGCTACAGCGATATACAATTGAGAGGGCAAGACTTGTCTCAGACATTATATTTATTTATTTTTTTATAGGACAATATATTTGCCATCATAAATAGGGAAACAAGTACAGTACTTCAACTTATAGCTCAAACGTCAGTCTATAGATCACCCTAAATGGGATGGGTAGATTTTATATCTGTAAGCAAAAACGAATGGAGTAAGAAGAGAATTATTAAAGAAGAGGCAAATTTATAGGATAATTTGCCTAAGGAGGGTTGTATTTTGCACATGAACTACCCAATTCACCAGCTAATCTAGTGATTATGTTTAAGATTATTGATCCTATATTGTCTATTCTATATTTTTGTGTTGCCAATTCTTTTGCCCGACCCTGACCCTGACCCCCCGACCCCTAGCTTATGAATCAAAATTTGAAAAAACCTTAATTTTATCCTTTTTTGAGGTTGGATAATGATGATAAAGTCGTGCAAAAAATGCTTACCCCATCCCCATTCCCCATTGCATTTCCAAAAAATAAAAATACCCTACCGTAAAACAGACTGATGACTTGTTTGATACCTACAAACATGATCTGTGGGTAATAAGAGAATAGTCAGATATGGTCATCTAATTCCACTCAAAAGGAAACTGTAAATTTTTCAGGGTTTTTCGCTTCCTTTTAGTTCACGTTATAAGGTGATAACCGTAGCTCTCCTCTCAACTTTTATTGTTTCATTGGTTGGCAGATATGATACATAGCGATAATAACCAGTTACATTTGCTTCTTCTGTATCGGAAGGAAGATTGGACGATTTAAAAACAACAAAGATACAGAGAATTGCTTATGCTCAGAATGGCTTATTACCTTTTCAAGTTTAAAGATATAAGAACAAAAATGGCTTGCCTTTTATCATCGCCTTGGGTGTTCAGGTTCAGCCAAATAGAACACCCAACCTTAACTTTGTATATATCTAATGCTAGTTCAAATTCTCTTCGCAGACAAACTACAAATTCAGAAGACAATATTATCAGCATTTTGACATCAGATATTATACCCTTTAAGGGAAGCACATATATTACAAACGGAGACATTTGGAAGATATACAACCTCAATTGCACTCAATCAAGAAACAATTGGATATACATCATTTTGTTACAAAGAAGAAAAAATTATCGGTGTGTGAAACTTTACACTGTAATTTCAAGGCTGGCTACATACCTTGCTTATTCTATCTTTTCTAGCACTTCCAACCTGGTTTTTCTTTTCCAACCTTTCATTGAAGCAACAAGATTTATCAACCCCACAATTTGATTCTTGCCGTATTCCTGCAACGCAAAAGTATTTTCAGGTTTCTAAGACAAACAAAAGCATAAAAGTATGAAAGCAATCATCATTTTGCTGGTAGCCAGAACACTTCTTACAGGATGAGCACGTGCCCAGTGTACATATTCAGTTTCAGGGAGATAATAAGCCTGTTAAGAGCAAACATAGACAACACAATTTGTCATGACTGAACTTAATTCTCCATATACATATCAAAATGAATGAAGAATCAATTTTTGCATCAGTTTCTGAATTGACCATATTAACTATGCAGTTACCTTGATGAAAGTTTCAACAATTTGAAACTTTGGCTTCACATTTAAGGAGGCAAAGTGTTGTAGGCCATTGGCTAAAACCTGAAAGGAAAAAAGAAAAAGAGGTCAGTCACCAAAATAGATAAACATGCAAGATGACAAGGATAACAGAGAAAATTCTTGTCAAAGTTTAAATTACCACCTGAAGGTCTAATGACATGAGAGCTCGTCCTTCATCAGTACATCGCTTCACTCGTGATAGACCTTCAATAAGAGTTTTTGCAACAATTTCAAGTCCATAGTCCAAGAGGAGGTCTTGAACCTAAGGCAACAGAAAACACAGCTTAGAGTAAATCATTTCACATTTTTGATGGTCAATGTATTTATTCTTCATCAGAAAGCAAAGACATCATAATCATGCACATGCATGAAAATAACATTAAACATCAATCTTTTGAATTCTTTATACAAATAAGATGCTGATTTCACATTTATCTTTGTTCTCCACTAATGACAAACACATCAGAAGCAAATTAACCTTCTATTAGGGACTTCAAGTCAGAATTACTATTGTCCAATCCGGTTATATTGTTTTCTTCTCTTTCTTCGTTCTTAACATTTATTTTAATTATTCTCTTCATTAGCAAATCAATCTGCTTACCAATAACACAAACTAATTTGCTTCCAACATGAATGATTACTCCAAGAGCAGTTCATCCAGTGTCAACGAAAAGCAATATGCAAACAATATTTTATTGATTAATTATGTTATTTAGTTAAATTTAACAGGATGGTGGCTCAAATTACCTCTTTGTGAATTCCCCCATGACCAAGCCTTGTTTTGTAGTGCTTAAATTCTCCCAACAACAAATCCACATACCTATTCATTAAACAACTCATGTCAGACAACTTGTCAAATGGAGGTCATGGATCTATTTAAGCAAAGATAATAGCAAGAATCTATGGCCAAATATGAGATCACAAACAGAAAAAGAAAATGAAATCAATGACTAGTAAAGAAAGAGGATGATCCCAAGAGAACAAACCCATTGTGCTCCATCCCAAGCTCTTTCAGTTCCCATTTTGCATTAGCGATTCGATCAACATATCTGCCAAAAATTCTGGTTTTATTAGGAGAATAGCCTAGACAAAAGCACTTCCTAAGACTGGCAACAATGTACCATGCCAGCCTGTAGGTATTACTAAATATCTCACTGAAAATATTGACTTCATCTTAGAATATTAAAATCCCAAAACAGCTAGAGCAAAGATTTCACTTTGGGCTAGGAAAAACTATGGCATGATAGTAAACTACATTTTTGCATTTGGCCAGCCAATTGCAGAACAATGAAACTAATCATTATTACAGTTTTTCTACAAGGATTTCATTTCTATTGTCAATGGATTTTTGCAGTCAAAATGGGGTAAAAGAGGGAAAAGGCCAAGGAGGTGGCTCGGCTAGTAAAAGAACCAAAATCTTGCCACATACTATAACTTCAATTGGTCTGGAATGTGAAGCTAAATTCTATCATCTTATCCCAAGTCAACCAGACACTGCAAATTACAGTCGTGAATAACTAAGCTTGATGGATTTTCTGACAGATAACCTCCAATCATCAAAACTAACAAGAATGGTTGGCCAAATGTCTTTAGCCTACCTTGAAAATTTAATGCCCAGGTATGACATTTGAGTTTACTCTCCTTCCCATTTCCCAAAACTCACCATTTTGGACATTTCAACTCTTTCATCACATTTTTTCCTTCAGAATTCAGATTATTTTTCTTCCTTGGTTCAATAAACTTGGTAGGGATTTTTCAGCTGCAAGCAAAAACTGTTGCAGCAAATTGGGTCACTACAAGGTTGAGTGGAGAAGAAATTAATCCTAAAATCAGTCCTAGCATTCAAAAGGCTATACATAATCGCGCACACACACACACACATATACATGCATAAATTAATATCAACTCCCAAAATCATAAGAAACAAACAACTATTTCTTTTGCTTCTTGCTTTTCGTTGCATTTGTTTCCTCAATTTTTGCATGAAGCAAAAGCAAAATCATAAATAAAAATGTTCAAATGTCAAAAATATTACCACTAAATCAATCATAATGATTTCACATAGAAGTCAAATCATGGTTTTTGTTTTTCCATGAAAGTCATTTTTAATTTATAATCCTTCAAAACAGTTTTTTGCTTGTGTCTATAAGCACCCTTTTTTTTTTTTTTGCTCCTAAAAGCAAGGCAAGCAGCATAGGAACAATAATATTTTTAAATGAGAAACTCAATTTAATGATCTTACCCATTAATGTGTAGCAGTATTCTTGCAGTTGTCCTATGCATGTGCTCTATAAGATCTGGCACAGAATCCACCTGGCAATAACCAAGTAAACTTAATACATATTATCAAAAATAAGTAAAATTCAACATATACATATAATAAGTCACTTGATAAGAAAAAAGCATACTAATTTGGAAAACAATAATGAATTTTATTAATTACATATTAAACAGACAAAGGGAAACTTAACAGAGAAAACATATTCCATATTAACCAAGCAAAAGCAAAATATACGTGTGACAGAGAGAGATGGCTTAAACTTGCAGTTGTTCCTTGTGCCAGAGCAGCTTAGCTTACGCTATGGCGGGAATTACATGGGCTATAAGCAGGGTTGAATGGGAGGAGTGACGACTTGGATAGGTATACATGCTTGTAAAGATAGTAGAAAAGTGATGGATTTGGTCCATCTATTTTTTGGCTTTGGTGGGAAAGCAATTGGAGGGCCTTTGACAGGGAAGAATTACCTTCATCAAAGCACTTGAACAAGTGATCCAACACACTTAATTTTCTGTGTTAATAGCCAACAACTATTGGGAGTAACTAATGCTTATAAAAAAAAAAAATTTTAAATGAAGAAGAAAGAAAAGAGAGCAGCTTTCTTCATGGGCTGCCCCCACTTGCTGGTTTGTCTTCATCTTATACTGATAAAAGAGAAATCTTAAACTATATCATAAACTACATAAAGAGTAACTCGATACAGTCATCATACTAATCTAGCACAAAATCTTTATAATTTACGGCTCCCACAACTATTTGTTCAAGAAGCCTAGCAGCTAGATTTATTATTCATGAATTTTCATCACATTGTACCAAAGAAAGATTCAAACAAATTTAATATAAACAACAAACCATAAGCTTCAATACATTGTGATCCATTCTATTTGTTAAAAAAAGTTCAATGTACCAAATTAATGAACCATCAAAATGGGAAATTGAATTTCCCAATTCATCAAGCTTTGCATCCTTTAGCTCTTTAAATTAGCATTTAGTTTTGCCATTTGCTATTTGGATCAGTTATCTGGGTACACATAAACCAGCTTGTATGATAATTTTTTTTTTTTAGCTCTTTAATCTTTAACAATAAATTTACATTTCTTTCCATTTTTTTGCTGCTTGATGGACTATGGCACAGCATTTTGATTTCATGGACAAAACACTGATGCACAAAAAAGAGAAATGATTAAAAAGTTAGCACTTGTGCACAAGAGCTCATAGTAACTCCAGCTCACAAAAACTCCGTTACTGACCTCACAAACCCAGAAGATTCAGTAAAACGACCCCTATCCTCATCTACATCTACAAAGCATTTAGAACTTGCCTTTTTATGAAAGGTGAAACTAAAATCCTGACCACTTAATACTTTGACACTTTATTTAATAATACACCTATACTTTCAAATATCTCAAAACAGAAATCAGGGCATCCTTTGTGAAAGAAGAGAGAACTAAGTGTTTCTTATTACTAGCATCCTTTAGTTCCAGAAAATATGGCTAAGCAGTGGTCCTGTATTGCTATTATAACTATTCTAGTCTTATTCAGACATATCTCACTAAAATGTAAGTCAACATAAATCACGCAGGTTTCAGTTTTGCATTTTCTTAACCCATATGATTGAAAATGAGAAACATACCAGGTGCATAAAGAAATCTTCAACTACAGCTGTATTACTCTTCAGTAGCAATGATTGGAGATTAGTTCTAGATCTATGCAATATCTGAGCAACAAGGGCTACAGTGTCAGCACCTGCACATCTTTCCTGCAACATAAGCGACATGTTATTTATGGGCACATATATTAACAAATGCTTCCTTCCTGTTTTAAAACAAAATCCAGAGAAAGCACCTTAGTTTGAAGAAATCAATATAAACCAAAAAGCATTTAACGCAGATTCTTTTTGTTGAGTCAGCGCAATGCATTTTTATGAAAAGTGTCACATCAATAAACAAAATCTTTTTTTCTTAGTTAATATCACATTGAGAAATACAACTACCAAAATATAGGGTGGGTGATGGGAGAACAAGAAATCAGCTAACGATGGGCAATTTTCACCATCCAATCTAGTAGAAGAAAAGAACTTGGGGAAAAACATATTGTGATCAACCTATCAGTGAGTAAATATCTTATCCAAAGAAATTTACTTTATACCTTTAGACCAAAGGAGGTGCCTGCTGGAGGACCAAAATTTGTACTTTGAGGAGCAGTAGGTGTCATATCTGCATGTGCAGGTGGAGATGATAAGGATCCTGATGGAGTTTTTATCCACTGATCGCAATCTTGTGTAATTCTTGATAAGGCTGTCTTTAACCGATCTAGTAATTACAAACAAATGAAATGAAAATGCAGAAATGACAAGTGAACACATAAGCAAAAGAGATATTAATAGACAAATAAATTTACATCATGTATTCACCGAAAATTAGCTTACAAGTAAGAGAGTCTGTAGAAGCCTTTCCACTTGAATTCATGTTTTGCTGACCAAATGTTTCAAATATATAATAGAAAAACATCTCAAATAACTGGCATATGCCCTGCAACAATGTACTGAATCAGGAAAAATAATTTAGAGGGAAAAAGAAAAAAATAGTGTTCAGATTGTATTGAGCAGCTAAGGACTTGAGTTTAGGAAAAGAAAGGTTTAACCAGAACACACCTTAAAAAACTCAATATTTACTATTTCAAGTTTCTGCATCAACCTTGCATACTTATCCATCGACCTAATGTGCAAAAATTAGAAAACGCTCAATTGCAGTCACATATAAGAACATAATCAACATGCAGCTCTTAATAGAAAGATCCATTTTCTTTTCCGAATTGAATAGCATCTAACCTTAGAAGACAAAGAGATGATCCCGTTTGTGCTGTAAACTCATCATTAATGGAATGAGAAGAGTAACCTTTTGAAAGGCTGGGTTTTGAAATTCGACTAGGGAGTTGACTATCTTCATCAATAAAGTCAGCAAGTAAATCCTCATTTTCCTCTTCTGATATAGAATTGGAGCCATTGATATGATTTACATCACCATTTCGTGGAAAGACATTACCATGAAGATTATCAACACTTCCCTCATGTTCACCAGAGGTTGCTCCATAAAGTGGGGAGGAATTATGAGTCTCTTTGGGACTGCTGCCTACTTTTAGCAAAAATGGGTTTCCATTTCTAAGCCAAGGAGAAAATCCACTCTTCTTGGCACCTGTGTCAACTTTGTTTGCTGGTTTGTCAGTGAGAAGCACCCAAGGATTAGAGGAGTTACCATCAGATGCAGCAATTAAGGGTGCTCCATCACCTACAAGCCCAGCAAAACTAATAATTTGTGCTGTCTCTGGTGGCAATCTAAGCCAGATTTCCTTCTCCAAAACCATTTTAAGCGCCTGAAAATGAAACAAAAAGTAAGCCCCAGATCTGTTTCAACTGCGATAGGATTATGGGCAGAAGGTAATAGAATTAAGCGCAGAAATAAAAAAAGTAACAATTCCCAAAATTGTTGGTGCAATAAAATGAAAAGTATCTGCAACAGAAAGGATTTGCCAACAGACAAACCAGTATTATAATATGCTACAATATGCAAGAAAATAAACAGGTAAGCTTTGATATCTTCCCCCCAAAAAAAAGCTCCATGTTTCACTTTTATTAAAAGTTTCATGGAAGTTGGTGCAAATGAATTCAAAATCAACAGTCAAAAATACAAACAATAATGCATGTAAGAAGAAGCCCACAAATCAGGCATTATGATATGTGTAATATTTATAACCACAACAAGAACCTATGAAGACCATGACTAGCTATAACTTAATGGTAGCCTCACCTGCCTCCAATGAAAGTCTGGAACTTTAAATCCCAATTCCCCCAATACCAATAAAAACAACAATAACCGTGAAGAAGAATAAGCGTGAAGTCCAACTTACAGATATGTTTTGCCGATGAAATGCTGCAAAATAATTTTCACAAATAACCTTCAATTTCTGCCTGAATTCAACTGCCTTGACTCCACAGAAGGTTTCCCCAGCCAGGATAAATATGTTAAGATCTTCATAATTTTTCAAAAATTGATGAATGCTTGTAGAAGTAGCAGCAGAAGAAGACAGCAAAACTGATACTCGGCTAGTTGTAAGTTGCCAAAGATTCTTGCATCCCCTCTGAAGGGTTTGTGACACAAAAGCTATGGCTTCTTTCCTTAATTGATACCATGGAGATCCACCACTAGACGTAGCACCATCGCCATTTCTACCCTCAGAGACTGGTTCGTCAGATTCTACATATCCAGAATCCATCCTTTCTGATGCATCAGCTGAGCAAGTGGCTGTTGTAGACTCCTCCACGGAAGGTGAACATGATGTCCGGTCTACAGATTCAGAGAGAGAAAGAGCAGTCAACTCATTGGGAGTTGCAAGGATTTTTAGAAACCGAATCAATATGCTGAACCCCTACAGCATTCACAAAAAATTTTACCTTCCATGAATTTGGCATTTGTTGTTGGGCACTCTAAAACCTGAAACAAGACAAAAACATTTCAAAATGAAAGAAATCAAAAGAGACAGAGGCCCCCAAAAACAGAAAGGAACCAGGAACACACAAAAAACCATAGCATTACCACAGAACCCACAAAGACTTCATATAAATACACATACATTCACAAACTTATATACCATACAATAGATTCAAACTGACGCCTCAAAAGAAAACCTATATAAAAAAGGGCAAACTATGTAAGTCAAGGCATGGATTTGTTAACTCCAATACTAACTTAGCCTCCCATACAAGTTAATAAAAAGCAGCTACATTCTTGGTCTTGGATGCTCTAGGAGGATCCAATACTAACTTAGCCTCCCATATAAGTTAATAAAAAGCAGCTATATTTCTTGGTCTTGGATACTCTAGGTAGATAATGTTGACTAAATTCTTTTCCACATTTCCCAAAGCTTGAGAAGTGGAAAAGAAATTCCACATAAATTTAACAGGAAACTGGAATTATCAAGCAGCAATTGCCACTAGCACTAAACCAACAACAAATATTCTACATAAACAAGTGAGAAACAGTAAGATTCAAGTTGACCTTATTCTCCAGCTGAAAGCCCATGATTTCATGATATAAACACATCAATTTGAACAAGACAGCTAGTGTTCTTAACAAACACTGCCTAAACTTAGATTCAGGTATCTGAAGGCACAGATCACTGTAGGTAAGTCTGGAGTCAAATCAAAACAAAAGTTAGAAATCATAGCAAAGAATCAAGTGCTGGCACATAGTTGATAGAAAGACCACTTTAAGTTTAAAAGGCATACCTACTACTTTGTATATGTACATCATGTTCCTGCAAAATTGTATCAATCATCTAAGTTATCCTATAATCTGACAGTGAAAAACATAAGCATTATGAGGTGAACAAGGTAAAAAGGACATCAAGAAGACCAAGGAGAAGTTCACAAGGAAACATCCTCAACAGAACTGAGAAGAAGATGAAGGCTCAAACAAGAAACCTAAGATTAGTTGTCTCTGTCATCTATGGTTTCCTGTCGATAATGGTCAACCATATGTATTCAAGTTTCCTTCTCCCTTTGATAGACCGCTAATATATGTGTGTACTGAGAAGAAGAGGAAGGCTCAAACAAGAAACCTAAGATTAGTTCTCTCTGTCATCTATGGTTTCCTGTCGATAATGGTCAACCATATGTATTCAAGTTTTCTTCTCCCTTTGATAAACTGCCAATATATGTGTGTACTCTTTTATTGGCCAAAGTCCTAAAAATTATCATCCAATTCAACCAAATTTGAATCTGTATCAATATAATTAACTAGAATAGGCACCCTGTAACCTCACCATCCTTTCCTAGCCAGTGCATCTGCGTAAGTACACTGATAAATTGTATGGAAGAAGGCCTCAAATCTAGAATTGGCAGTACATAATTATCAGCATGTACATTAAAATAAATGTGTTTGAATACGTAAATAGTATATTATAATTAATTTGTAAATTAAAACTCTGAGGTGCCATATGTATTTTCCCCAGAACCTATTGTGAGTATTGCCAAAACATCAATATTACAGCATACCTCATGCACAATACTCTTCAACACAGAGTGAGTTTCTGAGATAACTTCTTGCATGAAAAAGCTTTGTATCTTTTCAGCAAGACCAGACGCATCTCCTATTAAAGCATAAGCGTCAACCACCTGAAGCATTGCAAATATACTAACCTCAATTTTGGAAAAATAATAAAAAATGATATTCATAAATCTCTAACTTGCAATTGGCCAAAAAAAGTCTCTAACTTGCAGTTTTTCCCTCAAAAGAATAAGACAAATGTCAATGAACTTGATAAGGCCTAGCACATAGACCACAGAATTGAGAAGATTTTTCTAATTGCAAGACAGCCCAAACCAAACAAGAGAGAGAGATAATTGGCTATTTTGGCAGAGAAAAAATAAAATAAAAGATAAACATTTAACATTTTCTAAATTGGACAAAAGTTAAACATGTGCCGTAGGCAAAAACTGACTAGCTCAGCAACTATAATGAGAACTATATGATATTTATAGTCAATCAAAATAATGTAAATCTCAAGCAATGAAAACTAAATAACCTTGACCAAATGGCAAAAAACATATCTGAGTTCTATGACAGACTATAAAGCAAATGAGTTTTCAATGCACAAACAAACTGAATAAAATACTTGGATTAATCTCCATACCATGTAAGCTGTTAGTAAGAGAACAAAAAAAAGTACTACACCAGTTGAAAACTAAAAGGGGAGCAGGCAGAAGAAGTATCTTCTCTAGTCCACAACAATAGACAAACAAAGAAAGCTGTGAGAGTGCTCATGCTCAAATTAATCAAGCATGAATCTAGCAGATCTCGTGATCTGCCTCCCTACCATTTTATGCATACAACTAAAATATTGTCATTCAATGAAAGGTGCAAACAATGATACATCACCCATTTGATAAAACATATCAACCACAAATTGAACTTATCATGAGCCAGCAACCACATGTTTGGATACACTTGAAACAAATAAAATGATTTGACAAAAATAACTTTACAAGTCTGACAAAATGGATGCATAAATCATCTAGAAGATTGAAATCAACAACTTCAGTGCACACACCATGTGCCAAGAACATGGTTATGATCCAAATCACGGCAGAGAATAAAAAACTGACAGTTAGATAGCCTTCTTCTTTAAACTCCTGGCACACCCCTAACAAGAGCGAATCCAGCTTCTGAAGTGTTCTTCCTAGCCAAACCTGCATTAATATTTAAGATAGAGAAAAGAAAGCTTACTTCAAATTTTACTCCTAAATTGACCATAAGCAAGTAATAAGAATGACCAAAAAATTGGTTCCTGAGTGCAGTGATACAGCATTGCAGCTTAACATATAGCTTTCATAAGCTCTTAATAGAATTAAAAACAGAAACTAAGAGAGGCAAACAGAAAGAGAGAACACCTTTTGGTACAAATTATATAAGAACTGCATAATAGAATTTAATGCTCACCTCAACCCCACAGCTCATCTCTTGTATTGCTGAGAGCTCTGAGAAACTATCAAGTAGTTGTAAATACTCAGAGAGTACTTGAAATGCCTGCACAATAACTTACATTAAGTTATCTCTTTCAGAGTGCTAGAAAATAATCATGAAAAAGTAAATTGGGAGGAAAAGAGAAACTGAAGAATCATAGGTAATATAATTTATGTTACTGGCACAAACTCACCTTGCAGTAATTACCTTCATCAACAAGAGACTCGAGAGCTACTTGCATGTCCCTTGCATGAAGAAGCTCAGCCAGTACAGGAAGCAAGTCCTGCAACGAGAAACATGAAGACTATGAAAACATTTGACTTTTCTACCAGAAAGCCATAAGATATAAAAATATAGCCACAGTCAAAGATAAAAAATGCTGCAGGGTGTATAGGAGAGGATTTACCATAAGAGCTTGTTTCTTCTTAGAATCAGTATTCACAACAAGGTCCCTTGAAACCTCATTCATTGATGAGGTCAGATGCCTTCTTCCATTCTGCAAACACCATAACACAAACTCTAATGAGATACAGATTCAGTAGCAGCATAAAAGCTGTACACGTAATATCTACTGTAGTAAACACACCAGGTACTAGGAAAAAGCAGAAATGATGGGCTGACATTTTCTCCAGATGAGATTCTTTAACAATCAAACATGAAACTATGTTACAATGCAAATGCTTACCATGCAGATGACATTTGCAATCTTCAAGTCGTTCTCCAATTCCCTGACCAAATTCATACCCTTCACTGGCCAAAAGCAAGTATCAAAACCTCACTTCAAGAAAGACAAAACGAATTCTGAACTTCTCATAAACCATCACCATGGTACACACAACAACTAAAATTAAAGTTAGAATCATAAAAGCTTAAACACTTCCAACCCCTCTTCCAATTTAGTAACTAAATTAAAAAATTGTCACCTTAATTAAAGAAAGAAACTGGAAGACAACCAAATCCTTAACCATTCTGTATAACCACACAGAAATGCATAGTATTTGTACATACATGCGTACATACATATATAAATATATATATTGTTATAGGCATCAATAAAACCAGAAATATAACATCATGCCAATTAATCAACTTACAAGTAATCAAACTAATATTTCCATCTTTCATGAATAATTATTGTCATGGAACCAACTTTAGTAAATATATACACATACAAAAAATCTCAATGTCTAGGGAGAAGATAAAGAATTCCTATGATTGATACTCTAGATGACCAGATATCATATGCCAAAACTTCCTTCAAAGATGCAAAAACACATGCTTTTCATTTTAACCATCAATAGATGAGCAACAATTTGTATATCAATACAATAGAATCAGATAATGTGTAAACAGAGGTCACATCCTTGGTATAGCAGAGCAAACAAGAGAAATCTCATTAGAAAACTTACCCATTACTTCATGATGCTCCATGACATTGCGGGATAAACATTCTGCTACTCTATCTAGTTGTGCTAATCTAAGTGTGGCCTACAAAAGAGATGAAGATGCATGGCTAATTAGATCATCTTAATGAAAATTCCAGATAAGAACAAAGCAGTCTGACGGCAATTGATTAGAAACCCCCAGAAAAAAAAAGAACCACTAACAAAACAATGAAACAGAACTAGTAACCTACCTCTCCAACTTTTTTGCCAAATCCTCATTTAACAACTAATTACATAATGCCCAAAACAGGTGAAATTAATCACCCATATTTAACATATGATGTAAGATTTTATAAATTTTCTGACAAAAATGAATTTATCAGAAGGCTGACATCCATAAAAGTAACCAATAGAACCCAAAATGTCATCAAAGCCATAAAGAACGGTATACCTCCCCATTGTTATAACCTTTAAAAATCATACAAATCAATTTCTAAATGCTTGAATAGTTAAATAAGGGGTAGGAAAGAATAGGTTGTGCATACATGACAAGGATGAAATCTTGTACATATTTAGCTCACTGGTACAATGTACACCCTAGGACCTTTGCTCCAAAATTGCTTAGTCAATCTTAGGCAATTCAGAAAACCCCAACACCTTTTGTTATTATCAGACAGGTCCCTATCATATGGCCAAACACTAATCAGTTATTGGTGTGTTCACACCAATAATAATGAGCAAAGAACTGTTTATGGACAACAAACAAGTTGCAGCAAGGCATTGGGATTATGGCGTGCAAAGGATTAACCATTGATAAAGCAAACCAATATTATATGCATTACTTATAATATGCACTTAATAAATAAGAATACCAGAAAAAAAGGATAGAACCTTTTCTCACAATTCAAACAAAAAATTTGGGAGCTCTAAACATTGTAGCGGATGGAAGTTAGCCAATATTGAATGGATCAAAATCAACAAGAAAGGACAATATAAAGCATTAAAATTCTAAAATTCACAAAACATAAATAATTGAGATGCTCAAATGGAAGAAGACAAGTAACAGAATTAACTCATTCTTTTCATCTCTTTTAAAAGCCTAATCAGTGAATCCAGACAATATTAGTAGAGAAGGAAATAGCCTACTTAAAAATAAAAAATAAAAAAAAAACTAAATCAAAATAATACCTGTTTCTCAAAATATTCTAGTTCATTTTCTTCAGAAGGAATATGCTCCAGAATGTGTTTTATTGGATCAAACTCCTGCCATAGATGGACTTCTTTAACACAATAATATAAAATTTTGGACCAACAACTAAATATAAGGAAACAGGTTGAAGAAACATAAATAAAATTAACATGCTTCAGTAGAATGCAGAGAAAAGGAAAAATTAGTCTTTCTATTTTCCTTTTGGAACTATTCTTGTATGTTTCCAATTAACTAGAGTTGCACTGCTCTTTTTCCCCCATCCCCAACCCTCTTTCCCTGCTTTCTTTCTTTCATTCTGCTTTCAAAATCTAATATCAAACAAGAAACAGCAAAGCATGAAACGGAATGCAGGCCATAACAAAACAGTTCTTTCTCATGTCCTTGCAGCTTACATATTCACAGCATATACTTTAGCACATGGTTGCTAAGGATAGAGAAAAGGGAGTGGTGAAGAAGAAATATAGCAATAAAGAAATATAAAAAAGAATAAAGGTTAAAACAACAAAAATAGCAATCATAATGAGTCCTTTATATTCAGCTTAATTATTTAGATAACTAAAACAAGTTGATATTATAAACATAGCTTCACTGATTTTGCATTGCACTATAGACAATGGTTCTCAAATTATATTTTATGTCTATGCAACCATGCATAAATATCAAGAAACACCTCTTCATAGAAGTCTTCCTCTAGCTCCTCCACTACTTGACTCTGAGGTCTGCTTCCATATATTGACCTCAGTTCTTCAGAACTTGATGGAAGACTATATCTCTGATGAGGTGGCAATCCTGCAAGAGCACGAGCAACAGCAGCTGCTGCTGCAGCTCGAGCTGGAACCTGCATAAGACCATTTGGTTCAACAAACAAAAATAATCATGCCAAGTTCCATCCACCGCTTTGCTTTCCATGGAGACCTTTTGGTAATTACTTTTGATACTTACTTTTTGCCTCCTAAAACCAAAAGACCGAGATATAAAAAGCAAACAATATTTTTGAAGAAATAAAAATTAGAAAATTACTTTCCTCCAGAACAAAGAACATGATATTACTTTTATATTGAACAATTATATAAGAATTCAATGTTGCATTCTAGTCATGTGTTCATTTTCATCAGTTATTGGTTTTGCTTTCTGCAATTTACTTTTACTTTATAGCATTTTTTTTTTAAGGAAGCAAATAGCAAAAGTAACAACCAAACAAAATCTTAGTCATTTAGAATGCAGCAATTCTAGTAGCAAGTCCAGTAACTAAAATAATTTCACTTCAAATCAAATCTAATTAAACTTAACTTCATAAAAAAAACCCTAATTTATTACTACTAACAATTTTCTCAAAACTAATCAAATGCAGTGGATTAAACCTCAATAAAGACTCGATAATCTAAATATTAAAAGATTAAGTAAGCCTTGAGCTACATTAATTACCTCGGGCCGATCAGAAGAAGAAACAGAAGGCAAGAGACCAAGTGATCGCGCGGACCGTACAGAGCTGAGGAATTTTTCCCCAACCTTGGACAAATCCATTCCACCTCCTTGGAATAACAAAAAAGGGACCAAGAAGAAAACTCCAGAGCTCTCAAATCCACCGACGCTTAAATCGTCACCGTCACCGCCAACGCCGCCATTCAACAAAAATGGATTCCCGAGAACGTTGCCGAACGGGAACAGATTCGGCTGCTGCATTTCATTTCAACTCCAGATCAAAAACAAACATCTCCGTCTTAAAACGCCTATCGTTTTCCTTTCTAGAGATCTGCTCTTTTTCCTTTTCGTAATCTGGGAAGTGAAGGAGATTTAGGGACTGAAATATTAGATTTGATATATTTTTGGTTAGGGACTGTTTGGTCGAAATTTCGTCGGTAAAAAATAGTGGGCCGTTGATGTTCGGCCTTTTTGTAGACTTTTGGAGCTCCCAGTAAGCATTAGCAGCTGAATGACCAGGCAGAGAGTCAATGGGCCAATGAGGAGTGCGAGAGCAAGAGGTTTGACTTCCAGCGCAAGATTGCGCATTTTCCTTGCGGCATGTTTGTTTTATGCTTTTACAAAGCTCGATTATTTTTTCATTACTATTATCAATCTATCTATTTACATATAAAACTCCTTTTCACTTGATTGGCTTAGTAAATACAACATTTATCAGTTATTTATCTTAAAACCATTGTTCTTTTTTTTTTTCACAAAATTAAAAAATATATAGAAATTAAAAATAAAAACATCTACCAACATAGTTGAGAAAGAATTTCAACCTCCCATCACATTATGTTGCTCAATCACAGGGGTAATAAGAATCGGAGCTCATGCAAATCATAGTAAGAAAATTATGTGATGAATTTTTTTGAAATATAAATGCAAAAAACGAATTGAATTTTATTATAAAATTTATAATTTGGACCGTCAATTTGTGTTATAAAATTTTAATATGTTTGAATTAGACACTAATCCAAATGATTAATCAATTTTTTTAAATAAATTATCATAAAACTAAGATTCAATTTCAATCATATTTAAATTTACTTCTTTAATTTCTCTAGATTTTGGTCTCTTTATAAAAAAATTGTAATATGTTTTAGAAACATGACAAGCCAACAAATAAAGTGGATAATAAGCAAAGCTTTCTTAAAGGTCAGAGCTGGAAACATAAGCTAATAACATGATATGTCCAATTCATTACAAGCTTTAACAAGGAGGCCTTCATTTTCTTTCGTCTCTGCTCAGTCTTTTGTCAAACTAAAGTTTTCATGGTCCAACACTAACTAAAGGTTTTTCTTTTCAAAATGTATTAGAAAACTTAAAATTTTCATGGTTAAATTGATCCAACTTTGATTATATACTTTACTTGATTTGATGGTTATTTGTTTGAAGTTGGTACTTGCCTACTTGGAACTTTCCAATGTTACCGAGTCAAACTTTTGTGTTACTCATTTTATAAACTATTTCATACTATGGAGTAACATAGTGATTTAATTATTATTTTGTTCATCTATGCATGAGTCATGACATCTTTTAATTTTGACTAGTCATCTTTTTTATCAGCTTAATTTTTATTTATTTTTGCTAATATTAAGTGTGAAATATTCTAATATAATTTATAAATAAAAAAATTATATTATTAATTTTTGAATCGAATGTTGAGCATGATTAATTTAATCAATACTTAATAGGGAATAAAATTTTGTTTAGAAAATTGATTAATAAGTATTAGTTACATCACATCAAGGCAAAATTGTCTATTAACTCTATGGTTTAGTTTTTCTAATTCAAGATGTTTATTAGTGAATCATTTTGAACAAGAAAGGATGAAAATTTAAGTGAAAAAACACATAAAAATTGTATTATTAATATTATTTGACTAATTCAGTTACGTAACAATAAATAATTATTTTTTGAATAATAACTTGATCCAATCATAATATAATATTAAGCAAATATGAGATATTAAATTTCAATATTTGTAATATTTTATTTGTCAAAAAAAATCATTTTAAAAAATTTTTCACTTATGAATTTTTGAAAAATAGAATTAAGATTAGTTTGACATTATATTTAATTTTTAAAAACTAATTTGAATTGCCCTATATAATATTAAATAATTTGAAAACTTCAATCTAAATTAGTCGTAAAGTTAAAAATATATATATGATTTTTCATCTTAATTAATTTTCTTTTATCATTTTCTCCCTCAAAGATTTTTATCAAATATGCCGTCATATCAAGATCAACATGACAGGTTTCTCATGCAAAGAAAATCCCAAACAGAAAAGAATAGAAAAGAAAAAAAAAAGTGTAAAAAGAAAAAAACACAGTGACACGATTGCAGGTGGCCGTGGCACCCATCATTCGTCACGATCCCTTTTGTCGCCTAGCAAATAAATAATTCAAATCAACCGTTTATTAACTATTCCAAAACCCGAAACCCAAACCCGACTCAGATCTTCATTCCCTTCCCTTTCTCTCCCTTTCTCTTTCTCAATTCCAGGAATCCTGCAAATGTCTCCGTTTCCATCAGAAAACGGCGTCGAAGGAGACGACGAGAGAGAAGAAGAAGAAGACGAAGACGTAGATTATGATGAAGAAGAAGAAGATGAGGAGGAGGAAGAAGAAGAGCCGAGGCTTAAGTATCAAAGAATGGGAGGAAGCATCCCTTCCTTGCTTTCCAGCGAGGCGGCGTCGTGTATCACCATCGCCGAACGCATGATTGCACTCGGAACGCACGACGGAACCGTTCATATCCTAGACTTTTTGGGAAATCAGGTGAAATTTCACTCGTTTCAGCTATTTAGATCTCATATTTCGTTTCAAATCGCAATTTCTCATTTTATTTTGTTATTTTGCATTTCAGTAAATTTGCTTGGAATTCAAAATTTTAATAAATGTTATTAAATTTTAATTAGTTAAGTTAATTTGTTAGTTGGATTCAGTTATGATTAGTTATTGAAAAGGCGACAATATTGTTTGTTATGCTTAAAATTTGTGTTTGGTTGTTTGTAGGTGAAGGAATTTGCTGCTCATTCAGCTGCAGTGAATGACCTTAGTTTTGATATAGAAGGTGAATATATTGGAAGCTGTTCTGATGATGGCTCTATTGTAATAAATAGTCTTTTCACTGATGAGAAATTGAAATTCGAGTATCATCGTCCTATGAAAGCCATTGCCCTTGATCCTGATTATTCAAGAAAAACATCTAGGCGATTTGTGGCTGGTGGTTTAGCTGGTCACTTATATTTTAATACAAAAAAGTGGCTTGGCTATAAGGATCAGGTTCGTGATGCTTGACCGACATTAATATATTTGAAAATGTAGATTTTTTTCTAAATTCTGAATGTTTTGTATTTTAATTCGTTTTTAGGTTTTGCACTCGGGTGAAGGTCCAATCCATGCGGTGAAATGGAGAACGAGTCTCATTGCTTGGGCTAATGATGCTGGTGTAAAAGTCTATGATGTTGGAAATGATCAGCGAATTACATTTATAGAAAGACCAAGGGGCAGTCCTCGTCCCGAAATTTTGCTTCCGCATTTAGTTTGGCAGGTTAGTCAAAAGCTTAAAACAACTGCAATGCTATTTGTTATTATTCTTTCTTTTGAAGTTTTCACTACCCCTAGTCTTCGAGAAGCATGGGGGTTGTTTCCTATCATTTTGCCATTGCTTATTGTCTGAACATATTCAGGATGACACCTTATTGGTGATTGGCTGGGGAACATCTGTGAAAATTGCAGCAATAAGAAAAAATCTGGATAAGGGAGCCAATGGAACGTATCAGCATGTTACAACATCTAACATGAACCAAGTAGATATTGTGGCATCTTTTCAGACTAGCTATTATATATCAGGAATTGCTCCTTTTGGTGACACTCTGGTTGTTCTAGCTTATATTCCTGGTGAAGAAGATGGAGAGAAGGAATTTAGTAGCACAATACCATCACGACAGGTTTGTGTCCTTTACAGTTTTGAAAAAAAATAAGTTCCTCGTTATGCCTACACCCTCCTATTTTGAGGTTATATTGTGCTATCTTCAGAGCATTATCTGTTCCAGGTCCTGCAAATTTGCCAATGTGATACCATGCTTGACAGAAGCTATGGCAGGGGTTGGGATAACTACACTAAGTTGTTGCTCTGATTTGAACTTTTAGTCTCTGTTTGTATGAAGAAATTTAATGCAGAAATCTTTTCCAATATGTGGGCCTTTCTTCTATTTATTTTTTACTGTTCCTGAGTTTAATAGTTGCGTGGTGGAGTGTCCTATCAAATGAATTAGCCAGTATTGTTTTCTCAAGAATGCGGGACACTTTGCTTGTGATTTCCTTTCTGTGATTGTCATAATTCTCATTGCCACGCATATATCTACTGTAACAGGGAAATGCACAGAGACCAGAGGTACGAATAGTAACTTGGAACAATGATGAATTGGCAACAGATGCCCTACCTGTACATGGCTTTGAGCACTACAAAGCAAAGGACTATTCCTTGGCTCATGCTCCCTTCTCAGGTTGATATCTCTGTTTTTGAAATTTATGGGCTATTTGACAGAATTTACAGTCAATAGTTATAGTTCTTTTCTTATATGAATGTAGGCAGCAGTTATGCCGGTGGACAGTGGGCTGCTGGTGATGAACCAATATACTATATTGTATCGCCAAAGGATGTTGTCATAGCAAAACCCAGGTTACTATCATTCTTTCAAATTTTGTTACTTCTGAAAGATTACGATTGCCTTTCATCAAAAAGAAAAGGATTATGGTTGCTGTATGCATCAATAAATAATTACATTTATCATTAAATGTTGTAGTGTCAATTTGGTTCTGGTTGCTTACTTTTCCTAAAGAAATGCCATTTTGTGAATAATCTCTCCTCCCAGAGTTGCTTTTTTTTTTTTTGGTATTCTAGCTTTTACACTTTTTAATTTACTTAAACAATCTGCCTTGGGGGTGTAAGTACATCTATTGATTTATCCTTGCCCTTTAAGCTGATCATAAACCTTTCAAGCTTCCATTGGGCAGGGTTGACATGACCTAAATATCTCTGGTACTACTATATATCGGCAACTGGGCAAAATGGTTATAATAGTCAAATAAATACCATAATTTTTCTTCAGATGAACAATTATGGTGTGGATTCTCATTGGACATGCAAGAGGTTTATAATAGTCAAATAACCACTGTAAGTTGCCTTTAGATGAATGATTATA